GTGAATGAATTGATCGATGAACGAGTGCGAGCTCGCGCCACGATGCGCAATAGCTATCATCAGTGATCCAGCGCACCTACTAAAAGACATGGATCTCGTCTTGCGCGTTAGCGTCAAAAATTGATGCGACTCCACTCGCTCGATAGTTCATAACGTCACCAGTACGCGGCTACCATGCGTTTTTTAATAGAAACTCGCAAGTGAAACCCAAAAGTTTGGCGCTTAAGAAGTGAGGCAATTTGACCGAAAAGACAAGATCATACTTCACAGGATCATTTCTGTAGTGTATCTTCACAGACTCTCTACCCAAAGTAGGAGTCGATGCAGCCACGAGGATGAGACGTGGCTGCCCATTCTGAGCGTGAGGCTGGCGGCCTCGAGCCTCTCATTGCGGAGGCTCGGCCTGCCAACGATGATCGTTCACCTCCGGGTTTCATACCCGGGGGGATGGATGGGTAGCTGTCTGAGTGGTCATGCTCTTAATAATTCAAAAATAATTCAAATGATCCGCATGTGCGCCACAGACGCACGTGCGGAAGATCAAGGAGGTTAATGTTTCACTGTAGGCAAAGTCAAAAGTTTGTGTGCTGACAGTCTGCATCGACTTGAATTTTCTTTTTGATGAAAGGGGGACTACGTATAACGACCATTATGATATAGCCGAGCGTATTTATAAAAGCCGAAATGACGAATACACTCTGATAATAGGGTAATTTTAACAACGCCGAGCAAGAGTACACAGAGTCAATAATTAATTATTTTGCCACCCGAGATTGCTCATCTCATCATTGATAACAAGTTTCAAATGCGAAACTCATGATAATTCGTTGGCGCAAAAAGTCCATTACACTTTCAAATCAATTACGGAACGACGTCACGCGCGCGCGTCGTTTGTATTTATTATTATTTTTCTCAAATGTTGCGCGCGATCGGCATCGATACGTCGATGTTTTCGAAGCGCGAGAAAATAACCGCGCTCTGCGCGTGAGTCATATTTTCTCGGGCTTGTGACACTATATGCTCGGCCCTTTTTCAATAACAATATTATGTAGCAGAATCACGTATTTATCACGGACCTTTGCTCGCTTCTCTCTGGTCGTTCTCTTCGTTGTACACACATCAGAGAGAGAGAGAGAGTCATTATCTCGCTTTAATAAGACGCGAAGAGTCCGGCTTTTTTACCCCGATAATCTCGCAGTGTATGTATGTGTATGTGTGTGTCACTATATTAAAGGCGCACTTTATATCTCCTTACGCATACAGCAGTGTATGCACATCGTCGACTGCAACGACGTTGCTTATATGTAATATATTATCCGTATAAATGCAGTTGACTCTCGCGACACACGCACAAACACGCGCACACACATTTTCAATTTATTTTCGGGTCATCTCCGCGGTCTTTCATCCAAGCGAGAGAAATTTTCCATTTATCCATGAGAGTTTATTTAGTCTGCCGCGCGCTCAGCGGTTGCGTCTGATGCAGCCGCCGCAATCGATGATTCTTAATGCGTATCTGTCTTATGTATACTGTATGGGTGTAAACAGAAACACGGACGCACGTACGCGAATTATTTATTTGTTTATGGGAGAGACTGCCCTAATTGTAACACAAAATCTACGAATTAAAATCCTGCGTGTTTTGTTCGAAATAATTGTCAATATTTTATTTGTAAATATATTTCATAATTATTTTCATTTGTATATAAGTATGAATCAATTGAAATTCAATATTATATATTTTTAAACTTTATTAAATACAAATGTATACAAGTTTTTATTTTCATAACAAACCGTGAGCCACATTATGCAGTTCGTCGCAATAAGGCGCGCGCAGTCTCTCTTACTTCCGAAATTTTCCTTTGCGTGAATCAAAGTCGGCTGCACCGCGCGCGTATTCTGGATTTTTCGGCGCAGCAAAGCCGTTGGACCACTTAAGAGTCCCCCGCGCTCTTTTTTTTGAGAGAGAGTGTTAAGTGTTAATCGCGGATTGAGTCATTTTTGAGGCCGTGATATATGGAAGCGATTTGCGAATCCCTCTCCACGAGATCGAGACTCGCGCCTCGATGCAGGATCGCAGCAGACGCACGGAACGAGAAGGAAGAGGAAGAGAAACGCGGAGACCACCTGGCACGTGCCATATATCATAGCGTCCTTTCGCGCCCGCGTATACGCCTCGATAATAATGATATTTTAACGTTTGTGCCCTGTATATAATAATACAACATTTTCTCTTCTCTCGTCTTTTCTCTCTCTTTTTCTCGCTCGAACGCGTTCGTTCTGGAGCTGTGCTCTTACGTTTCGAAGATGCACACATATCTTGGCGTTCGCTGCACATGGAACAGCGAGCGACGACGATAGTATATTATATAGAAAATCGCCGCTGCGTCTCGTATCGCATCACTCATTAATAATAATTCTCTCTCCGACATTAATTTAAATGAATTTACTGTCGCTGCGCGAAGTGACACAATTGAGACGATTGTCAGCTACGGAGCTGCTGTATTTATCCACGCATTTTTTTGTCGCCGACCCTTCTTGCAGTATATATATGTCGGACTCGCACACACACACACACGCGAGTTCGTGATCATGCAATCGAGATCGCATTAGAGAAAAGACCTCACCTGACGATATGTTTACAACTACCTATACGCGACTATTACTATCTATAGGATGTCGATGACGACGACGACGACGACGTTGGGGAGAGCTGCCGAACCGGTCGTGCAGTCTTAAGTTATGTACCTGCCTGGAACACACGTACACACGCGCGTGTATACGCGCAGCAGAAGCGCGCCACAGATGCACACGTCTGTGTGCATGCATAAAGAATTTTTTTTCCATTTCATCTCCCCGTGTGCGATCCGCGTTATACGTACCGAAGAGCTGCCCTTCCCTATGCCTCGCGAGCGCGCGCGTTGACGACCTTCGCGGCAACGTACAAACAGCATCATAATTATCGAGAAAGAGAGAGAGAGAGACAGTCGGACGCATGCAAGTATCAGTCCACATCTATACGCATATATATATACGAGAATGCACGATTCGAATGTTTTTCCTCCGATCGTCGATCGTCGATCGCCGTCTTCCAGCAGCTCTCAAATTTTCCAAACGACACTGAAAATATCTAAATTATGCGCGCATGCCACGAAGAAGCGAGAGAAGAAGAGAGGAGATTGTGCGTTGCCGCTGCTCGCGTTCCGATTTTATTTTTAATGACGCAATCGCAATCTCTCGTCTTTATAATGTAATAGTATTGAGACGCAGCGCGAGTGATTTCTCTCTCTCTCTTCGTATGTATATTATTATAATAATATGTGCCGAGCTTTTCCGCGGGAGCATTTATATACCGATAAGTCTGGACCGCGAGGAGAGAGAGATGTGTGTGACACATTCTTGCGTGGCGAGCGTGACTTGAACTCCGTGTCAGGATTATCGATAAATAATAATACGAATATAAAATAAATAATAACGCGAACGAAAGAGAACGACGAGATCTCGTGCAAAAATGCCGGATTAAAATAGCACAAAATCGTGCAATATCCTTCGCCGAGTAGCTGCACACCGGCGCGGTGACGCGCGCGATTCGTCTGCGGTCTTTCTCTCTCTCCGATGTGCCGCCGCACTATGTCAGGTTAACGAAGTTGTCCGTTACATCGCGTTCTGAATTCTTTGCATTTGTATCCCATTGTGCGCAGTCAAATGTTTATTTGCTGCTGCTGCACTAGCTCAGCTATTTCTTTGTCGCTATTATCTCTGTTAGCGAGAAAGACACATATTATAACACAAACCAACTACTGTTTGCTATCCTTATTTTTGAAATTACTTTTCTCTCGACTTTGTGCACGGCGAGTCGATTTTTTGTCGGATGCCTTCGCGCGCGTGTATCAACACATGTATAGACGAAGATGACAGGAGAAACAAATTATGATACGATATTTTCGCACATTGGCACGAATTTATTACAATTAACTGTAATAAATTGGTGACGAAAATTCGGAGTGTTTGCGTGAAAAATGTATCGTAAAATTAATCTGATGAAATCCTGCAATTAAAATCCATAAGATCCGTTTCTCGTCAATATTCCGAGAAATTATCAAATAAAAAAAAAATATAGCCATTCTACGTTGCGGTCATTACAAATTCATTATATCCAACGAGCTATTAGTTCTGTTATTGTTTTGATCGTGGCTCAGCTGATCGCGCCGATATATAGATCATTGTCCTAGTCCCGTCGTATATAAGCGCGCACCTATAAATATATACACTAGCTCCATTTATTTTCAGTTCGATCGAGGTTTTATAAATAGACACGTTTAAAAGTCGGTCTCAAAATTAATTAATCAAGGAACAAGCACAAAAAAAAAGAAATAAAGTAAGTCCTTCTCTCGTCGCGTATACGCATTCGATACAGTCATTCAACGCGGACTCGTTAATAAATCGTGAAATTGAAATTTATTACGCGCATAAATATTTGCAGGTGCTTAAATACGTTACACGCCTGTGAATATAGTATATCTATATTTATATGCACACACACACACACACACACTGTGCCGCACCGAGAAAGCACACTCACGTGCGTGAGTAAGATATAGTCGCGAGAAATCACCAGCTCTGTTATATACACGTATATTTAACGTTTATATGTACCTGTACAGAGGCATACATGCACATTGACGCAAAAAGTTTTTTTTTTTTAATGCCATTTTAAGACGACTATTTTCCGCCGATAGAAAGTCGGCGCTCGATCGTCGACGATTGACTCGTCAGGCGATGTGTGTCTATACAGATACACGCGCACACGCTTGTTTACGCGCGTACTCAGACATTATTTGTGTCGGTGCGTGATATTTTACACGCGAACCAGCGACTCGGACTATATAGGCAGTTTAATTCTATTTGTACTGTTTGACTATTGTAAATATATTTGCTCTCGTCCAACCGCGAATCGGAATTTTTTTTCTAATCTTGAAATGTTGTGTCTCCTGTTACAGATGATGATGCAGCAGCAGAAGCAGCGGACGCCGTTGAATCGGCTCTTAGCTCCAGTTGAATCGTGCAACGAGTCGGGCCTCGTCGACGTCAGGACATCGACGCGGAGCTCGTCCAAATCGCCGATAATCAGAAATCAGAGAACATTGGAAACGAGGACAAGGACGACGTCGAGCACATCGAGGGCAGCGGCAGCAGCAGCAGCAGCAACGACAGCGACGACAAAGACGGCAGTGTCGGCGGCGACGACGTGTCCAGCACGGCCAACGTCTTCGAGGCACGTCCAGCGATCAACGACATCGGTAGCGCCAAACTCGTCAGTCTCGTCGTTGTCGTCGTCAAGCTGGAACAGTAGTCGCGGGTCATCGTCGACGTCGACGTCGTCGAGCATCAGGAGACTGTCCGTGGCCGCCTGGGCCCTGGCGCTGCTGCTAGTGTTGGCGAGCTCGTGCTTCGGAGGCGCCGAGGCCGGCTCCATCATGGGCGACTCGTTCAGCAAGCGCAGCTTCATGGACATCCAGTGCAAGGGCTTCTACGACAGGAGCCACTTCGCCCGGCTCGATCGCATCTGCGAGGACTGCTACAATCTGTTCCGCGAGCCCCAGCTCCACTCGCTCTGCAGGTACAGTTTTCACTACCACCTCGTATCTACATACATTATATATTCTTTCTATTCGAAACGACGATATGAAAATGATCGAGTCCGAAGGGAAGAAGCAAAGCTCGCAAAAAAGGCCGAGCACATCTCGCTGTACTTGGACGCGCGCGCGGTATAAAAATAACACATACGCGGAAGAGCTCGTGTACGTGTGCGTGCGAGTGCATATAGCAGCAGCAGCAGCTCGCTCGAGAAATAAGAGAGAAAAGTGCAGTGTGTATAGGCGCGCTTGGTGGTTCGAGTTCACGCCAAACTCGGGAGACTGCTTGCCTGCGGCTGTCTCGCGCTCGCGAGTCTTGTACACGAACACACACACACGTGCTATACCTATATTTATCACATACGCATACGTATGTGTACGCACACGCATCGAAACTGTCGAGATTTCTCTTCTATTTATAGCCGAGGCACTCGAGAGTGCAGCGGCGGTGGCGATGGTGTGGTGTGTGTGCACTATATACATATATGCGTACGCGCGGTCGGAACCTATATGTGCAACCGCCGACACCGCCGACGCTGCCACACACACACACACACATATATAACGAGTGCAGCTAACACACTGGTTGGATACATATTATATATGTATACCTGTACATATAATGTACGCGTACATCCGTTATTACCTTACGAACGCGCGGGTATATAACGCTGCCGCCGCCGCCGCCTCGCAGGCTCTCGCGCGCGGAGAAGGTAAAAACGCTCTACTCCGCTGCCGCGAATATATTGCACTCGCGGGTGCTTTTCTCTCTCTCTCGCTCTTTCTCATTCACTTTTGCCGTACGTAGGTATATGTACGTGCATACAACCTACGTCAACGTTTTTTCCCCGGAGCGCGTAATATGTATACACACATATCTTACTTTTCAAAAGAGATTTTTCGTACGTGCGTAATCGCGGCCGATGACGGATGTTGTGTGTGCAGCTCGTGTAATCGACTAAAGCTACATACACTTTGAATGATGAATAAATAATAAATAAGGAGTAAGCAGGAGACTCGATGCAACAGTGAACATTTGTAAAATTAATCCATCCCCTCTTACAGAAACAACTGCTTCACGTCGGAATATTTTAAGGGATGTATGGACGTGCTACTGCTTCAGGACGAGGAGGCCAAGATACAGCAAGCGATCAAGATACTGCACGGAGCCGATCCTGGGGTTTAGGTGCTTGTTATTGCATTTATTATTTTTACTCTCGCTCATCTCTTCTCACCTTACCAAATTTCTGTTCTTTTTTTTTTCAATTCGATCGTATCTTTCTATCTGATATCTATCTTCTGTTTTTTTTTCTCGACAATCCATTGTTTTTTATGATTTTACGCAAAGTGTAGCTCTTACATACCCCCTTGTCAAGATAACGAGACCTTCATGCGCAAAATTAGGTAATTCCGTATCATGATAAATTGTTTATATACCCATGGTATATATACTAACAGATTTTTGATGGTATATACGGAATTTCCTTATCTATTTTTTGTGAAGGAACATTTTTTGTGACTTTCGTCGCAGTTTTTTGACCCGCAATGACAATACAATTTTTTTGATCATTAGCAGGGAACATTTTTTGATCCTAAAATTTTTCTAGGATACTCTACGGAAAGGCGATAAAAAAATATCAATCCTGGACTAACAACAGCACGATATACTTCTCATATAATGCATAAAACTAACTAATCAATGAACTTTCTTGAAAAGAGATAAGAGGCAATTTAGCGATCCGATCGAAAGAGTCTGGCTTTCCATTTCGAGCATTTGAATCTCTTGCTGGTTATTTATAAATAAATAACGATTGTCAGTCGAGATATATAATCAACGCGATCAGTTACGCGTTTTTGCCTGGTCATTGTTCGATTATGATCGTACACAGACCGCAGCACTTGTGCGAACGCTAAATTTATGCGTCTTATCTCTTCTCGACAGATCCGACGGATTACAGCTTAAAATCTCAATTGTTCATTCGTATCGATCCGTCATGTAACGTATATTTTTGTTTTTTCTGTCCCCTGCAGGCAAAACTGTTTTAGCAGCGAATACTTCACCAGCTGCATCCAAGCTTTATTATTGGAGGACGAGAAGGAGAAATTTCAAGAGTTTGCTGAGTATCTCGGTCGTAGGAAATAAAAAAACAAACAAACAAATAAGCATACAAAAAAAATCAACAACAAAAAATCATCAGTATCGATCGTATGAACTACACACCTCAGAATAGTTGTAATGCGGCTTTAATGGAATTAGAAATCTCAATGTAAGCTTTCGATAATACAGAGAAAATCAGTAAGAGGGAGAGAGTACATCGACGCTGAAAAGGAAGAAATCGAAAATTACACGTGCCTGCAATGTAAAAGATTGGCAAGAGCTGCAAAGAGAGATTGACAAAGGTGAACCGAATAAAAAAAAAAGGTTTTCGGCTATTATAAAATGAGTGTGTGTATGAAAAGTGTAACTGAAACAACAAAAGTAAAAAAAAAACAAAAAAAAGTCGTACGGTAGTCAAAATATTTATCCCATATATAATTAAAGGAATAAAATCATACAAAAATTCTAGTCGATGAATATAATATTATATTATAATAATAATAATGAATGTATAATATACAATAAATGTATATCCGCGCGCGGGCGTGCCGTGCACGATCACACACGAACAGAAAAACATTACTCACACCTGCAGAGATACGCAAACATATAGAGAGAAAAATAGTTATTGCGGGAGGACTTGCTGAAGATGGCGAAGGAAAAAAATTGAAATTTAAAGAAAAATTAATTAGAAGCATCAATTAGAAACGCGATACAACTAAAAAAAAATTTAATCAACTAAGACAGGAAAACTGTGCACCGCACGTATATCATTTATTTTATTATAATGAATTAGAATTTTTTTTCTTCAAACAATGAATGAAGTATCTATATGACTTATGCCTATATTATTACTGTGTACATGAATTAATTACTATTATATATAGTTCACTTTATTGTAATAGCTTTTAAAAAGTACTACTACGACTACTACAGCTGTTATTGCTACTACTACTTTAACTACAGCTATTTCTATTATATACAATGGTTTGTTAAGTAACGTAAAATTAGCAGTTATTATTATTATTACTATCACTACAATACTATAATTATAATTTTTAATCTAATGGTAACTTTTTTGCGTAAGATAGTTGTAGTAATTTTGTCAAGAGTATGCATTGCTTACATTTTTTTTATTTTTCTTTTTTTTTTTTTAATAGTGTACAATGTATAATGTATTTTTGCGGCTGAAAATGTATGTATAGTGACGAACTCTGCGCGCGTCGACTGGATTTCGAGGTGTTTACATTATATGACTATAATTATATACATGTATGTTTCGGGCCATAAGTGCACGGTATCTTTCACTTAGAAAGTCTAGTATTTGATGTATATTACATTAACATAACAAATATGAATTATGTGTGCAATTGGAGCGTCGAGGTTTACTATTACTTGGCATAATTTAGTTTGTTTCGACAGTGCCTGTGGAGAAGTGAATGACGGGGGAGAGAACGAGGGTTGACTTCATTCTTTGAATTTTTTATTTTATTTTTCAATAAGTTTCGACGCTGTGCCAAACTCGCATCTTTTCATTTTTCTCCAAATACGAACGCATTCGCCTTTCGAAGCGATTTATACATTTACCTGTAGTATTTATCAACTTTAGTGCAGTTAAAATGCCAAGTATTAATTGACTTTAAGTGTATTCAGGAGAATAAAATTGGATAACTGTGTCACCGAAATTCCAATTACTATGGCGAGCGAGGGATGAATCGCAAAATTAAGCTTTTTCTCTCTGTGTAACATGTATAACGTCGTGCAAACAAAATGATCAAAATTATTATAAGAACAAAAAAAACAAACAATTAAACAAAAATCAGAAAAAAAAAGAAAAAGCAAAACCTGGAAAGATGTATTTTCGCGTAACGGGTACATGAAAAAGAAGAAAGTGTGCGAATGAATGAGAGTAAACATTGCTAGGATTAAAAGCTAGAATATTAATTGTGTGCGAGGACAAGAGGTGCGAGAAGTATGAAGAAACGAAAAAGTTTAGAATAAGTTAATAAACAGACCATTCCATAATCAGTATTGTCAAGTCGTTTCGACACACAAAAGCGAAACAACTGCAGCCTGCATTTTATTGTTTTTATTTTATTAACTTTTCGTTTTTAGTTTTTGTATACGCAATAAAAAAGAAAAAATCCTAAGAATATAACTTTTTTTTCTTCTGCATCATGATATTTATGAATAATTTACCGGTTTCACGCGATGAGGAGGATCTTATCGTTTCACATCGATATTAATCACCTACAAATTTGGTCTCAAGCTCGGTCAATCGTATCTTTGTCATAATCAAACAATTGTTTTTTATCTGCTTCATTTTTTATCAATATCTAATTGTATTCACTTTAAAATATCGATCGAGTGAATTTCAAAATGAACGACAGTCAAACAGTACCAATAGTTCATTTTACAAGTCTCGCGAGACGAAATACTGCTTTAAGAAATAACGAGTTCATAAAGTAAGAAATAAGACTACACTTATTTTATTTTGCAAATTTGTAGATTGTAATTATACTTTCGATGGCTGATATATCGAGTCGACTGTTTTTATTTTGTTTATATTATTTTATTATTGCTGCGATTATGATAAACGGTTGATTAATTGCACTGGAATAGCGTGCTTAGTGTAATTGACTATGACTTTATTTTTTCACTAAAAAAAAAAAATAAAAGGAAAAAAAATAAGATTAAAAAAAGCGGAAAAGAAAAAAGAACATCAGTGCGAGAGTCGAAATGACAAATGTGTATATATTATTATTCCATTTGATTGTACTGAGTAAATCAATGAGATTTTTTGTCCCTTGTGCATCCTACTATTAGTAACATTATCGTCATTGCAATTACAGCTTTTTTTCTCATCTACATGTTGCTTTTTACTGGCGTTATGATTACTGCGATATTTATAAATTTTCATTTAATGTGAATTTGAAATAGCTGATATTTTTTGTTTTCTTCCAAAAATGATGGGTGAGATTTCTCCCTTCGATTAATTAAAAAAATTTTACTGATTGACGCTAATAGCTACGCTTCGTGTTGAAAAAAAAGAGAGAGCAGAAAATTATTCTATAATCTATGTAAAAGAGAAAAAAATATTATGTATAACACCGTATTAATAATCTAGAGAGAGAAAAAAACAATCAATTGTTTGCGTGAAAAAATGAACGATAAAAAAAATATAAATAAATACGCAAATATATCATTAAAAAAGAAAAAAATGATTTATTGATTTCACAGATACCCATCCTCTCTCTGTCCAAAAGTGACATTACCCGTACAAAGTGATCGAGTGCAGCTCACTCGATCAATTTATCTGAAACCCCCTCGGACCATCGTATAAAATCGGTAAAATCGCGAGCCAATTAAAGACCGAAGATACATGCCATATTAAGTCGATCTACATGCAACGTTCGTAACTTGGCTTTATACATATTATATGCACAAGTTATGTAGCCAATAATCGTGAATTAGTCGAGGCTTGATTTTTTTTATTCAATCCTCTGACGCAATGTGCATGTAACACACACACACGCATTTGTACACACACGAGTTGGTGCGTGCATCAAATACGTCAAACTAAAATTACATTTCGTTGAAAATAGAAGCAGCCTCAACTGCAGATAAGACGACGATTGCAAGGCGGGCAATTTTTCCTTATTTTTATTATAATTTGTGTATACAAGTATTTTCCACGTCGAGATTCGCTATCGCGGTGCTCTCGCACGGTATGCAATCGGATTATTTGAGCGACGAGCCGACTGACCCCTGACTGTGCGCGAGCCTCGCGGGTAATACGTATATTATACTTATAGGATGTAGCGCGCGGCGCATCGAGTCGAAAAATTGCAACGCGGTCAATTCGTTATATATAATAAGACGCCCGCTCGACGAATAAACGAATTAAACGAGTTCTCCCCCTGCGTGAGTGGCTATATCAAACCCATAAATTAAGGAGGTCTGTACCCCACTTACTAACCTACAAAGTCGAAAAAATTTGTTTTATTTATATCTTTTTTTCCAAATCGAATATCTAAAAACGGCTCTGTGAGAGCATTTATTTTGTTGCTTTGAATAGCTGGTAAAAATTTTAGCTAATTCCACCGACCAGATTTTTTTGAAAACGTGTTTGAAAATTTCAAGCCAGGGAAACGTGTGAAAATTTCAAACACGTTTTCCGAAAAATCTGGTCGGTGGAATTAGCTAAATTTTTTACCAGCTATTCAGAGCAACAAAATGAATGCTCTCACAGAGCTGTTTTTCGGTATTCGATTCGGAAAAAAAGATATAAATTAAACAAATTTTTCGACTCTGTGGGGTACAGATCTCCTTAATGCGACGATTTATATTATGCGAATTCGTTGACGTCATTCGCGATCGTCGTCGTCGTCTTTAAAGCACGTGTGGCGACGACTTTTTTTTTCTTCGCTGTCCTCTCTGCAGCTATACATAAACATAAACTATATATAAAGAGCTCATAATTTTAATTTTACCGGGGCAGTTGCGGTTTATATATAATACCCAAACGTCGATGGAAAATTATACGCGCGTACACGCAGATTGGACGAGCGCGACGGAAATCTAGATTATTTTTACATAATTGTAAACGGGAAAGACGAAGGTACGAAATGTGCACGCAGTATCGTGTACTTTATAGCCTCATAGATTTTCAGTTTAATTTGCTCGGGTGCGTAATATAGGTACGTTATTGAAGCATTCAAATCGTTTTTTTTTTTCGGTGCTGAGGGAGAGAGTCAAGGTGAATCGGCGAATGTTTTTAATATCGATCCCCGCGAGTAACTAACAGAAATCAACATTATAAATGAGGAGATACGTGAAGTCAGAGTAAAAATAAAAATTTTCCGAGAGCTCGACTGAATGTTTCGAACAAAATGAGGATGTTTGCGAAGCAAGTAAACGCACGAATTTATGCAGCTTTTTAAAAAAGTATATCCAAGTAAAAATCCGAGAAAACATGTTTGAAAATTTTCAATTTTACACAGGCATCGGTATCCCCTTGAAGCAAGAAATTTGAGCTGGAAAATATAAATATCGCATGTCTGTGTGTGTTCAAATGTATGTGCACACAATACATATAGACACACGTACATGTAAGATACGCCTGACGAGCTCACCTCTCCCGCTCCGTAATCCGTAATTAAACGTCAAAAAATAAAGGAAAAAACGATGCTTCTAAAGAAATAATAATTCAAAGCAAAATAAAAAACATTTACCTTTAAGTGTATTCCTGTAATCTAAACTGTCATCGTCGTCGTACTCTTCGGTCGCTCGGCAGGCAAGTCGATTTTTTTTATCATAAAGCGTATTTACGCGCCATCTTTGCAGAAGCTTAGCTTCCGAACGTCGGATAACGTCGAGTCTCTCTCGCTGCAATGATTCGCCGTATCACACGCGCGTAGAACATTGAGAGGTTATATACTTACGGCGAGAGTCTCGCGGAGTAACGCAAGATGAAAATGCACTCCGATCAGACGTTTTGCACTTTCGGCGTTCGAGTCGCGATCGCTGGAAAATGGAAATCTCTTTTATATTATTTATCATAAAAACTTAGCGAGCGGCTGATAAGGCTTGTTACAAGTAAACGCGCGCGCGCGCGAGGGGCAAAGGACACGGGTTGACCAACTTTTCGTATCTCGTTTTAACACAACACGTATTGCGATATTAAGCGCTAGATCTGCAGCTATTTTTTTGTTGGGCAACAATAAGCGCGCGGATTAACTGCGCGACGTCAGAGAGAGAGAGAGGCTAAACGATAAGTGCAAACGAATCTGCCTATATGTGCAATCGAACGGGGAATTGAGCTCTCCTAGGAGACACCGCGCGCACGCACGTTTTTGTTTTCGAATTGATGACTGCGCTATGCTTTATGTGGGAAATCTTGACACATGTGACGCCCGCACCATGTGCCACAACTACATACAGTACTATCGTGACAGAGCCGAGAGCAGACGAAATAGTTATGCACAGTATACCCATGAAGCCGCACGAACATGACGTTTCGCGATAGTTTCAAATTTTACAAAGCTAGAAAACCTCCACCGGACTTGTCCGAGGTGATCGACATTCGAAATCCCGATGGAAAAATTGTAAGAGAATCAAGTTTGACGTACGAATTGTTGTTCAACTGTTCTAACAAAGCTCTGCCTTCAATTGTTTTTTTAGGTTAAAAAAGTGAATGTATCTCCCTTTGGAGCTGCATGTATTTCCGAACAACTACAAACGGATTTGGACTTTAAACCAGTTGAGAATTGGAATGTTTTTGAATTTCCCAGTATACCAGGTAAATTAATATTCTTGGAAGTTTTTTTCGATTATTTTCAGCTATAAATCATTGCTTTTTTCAGGACTGCTGGTGATCGAAAATCCATTCAAGCCTGAAAGTCAAAGAAAATGGATTTTAAAATGTTTGAGAGATTATCCATGCAAACCAAATATCACCAATCTCGATGCACATGATGTACTAGAAAATGGTACTACGTGGTGGGATGCTTGTTGTGGGTAACTATAAATATCTAAATTTTACTGACATATTTTTAAAACAATAGCTTAACAATCTTATTTTATTTTAAGCTTGAATCCCAGAAAAGATCTGGTTTCAAAATTAAGATGGACAACTTTGGGCTACCATCATAATTGGGATACAAAACAATATTCAGAAGATTTAAGAACAAAAATGCCAGAGGATTTGACTCACATGACAAAATACTTTGCTAAAGTTTTGGGTTTTCATGACTTTGAAGCTGAAGCAGCAATTGTCAATTACTACAGAATGAATTCAACTTTAGCTGGCCATACGGATCATTCAGAAGTCAATCTCGATGCACCTCTCTTCTCTATAAGTTTTGGCCAGAGTGCTGTATTTTTAATTGGTGGGCCTACGCAAGAAGAACCTGCGCATGCCATGTACTTACGTAGTGGTGATGTCATGGTAATGTCGACTTCGTCGAGACTAAGGTATCACGGTGTGCCAAAAATTCTTTATGATCCTGAAGAACTATGGAATTCAAAAGACTCTTGTGTAATCGATGATGACTGGATTAAAGCGAAATCGTACATAGCTGATGCTCGAATCAACGTAAATGTTAGGCAAGTTTTGATGCCTGGACAGCTGTCATTGTGACAGTTATTAAGAAATGTTTTTTATAGAGACGTAAACAGAAATATATTTATCGTTTTTAAAAAAAACTCAAGTCATTTTTCCTGTTACAAGTGTATTCCCTTTTATGATCATTTATACACTGAACAAAAATTATACAACTTGAATGTGTGAAAACTTTGGAGTTACCGCTATGCGTCAAATCAGTGCGCATAGAACAAATGCGAGATATAAACTGCGTGTGTTGGCCTTGCGATGTCGCTACCTGTCGGGGACGTGAGCGCAATGTTTTGATGCGGCTGGCGGCATCGCACGTTTTGTCTGCTACCATTAAAAAGTCATACACGATTTTAAATTCAAAAATAATGTTCATTTGTTAAAAGAGTCATCGATATTAGTAATTTCCAAATGAAAGAGTAAAAATGGATTCCGAGTATGCGTGTAAACGCCTCTATTGCAATCAAGGTGCCATTAGATCAGTTAATTTTAGCGAAGATGGAGCATACTGCATCACCAGTGGGTCCAGCAAAAAAGTCAAACTTTGGAATCCCTACAAATCAACTTGTTTAAAAACTTACGCTGGTCATGCTAACGAAGTTATGGATGCAGTCTCATCATGCGATCAGAGTCAAATAGTATCATGTAGCATGGACAAGTCAGTAATACTGTGGGATGTTATTGCTGGAACACCTGTACGTAGGCTTAGATGTCATACAGGAATAGTAACCACAGTAAGATTCAATGAACTGTCAACAATTATAGTATCTGGATCTCAAGATAATTCAGTTATGTTGTGGGATGCAAGATCTAAAGCCATAACACCAGTGCAGGTTTTACCTGATGCAAAAGACTCTATCTCAAGTGTGAGAGTTTCTGACCGAGAAATTCTTACTGCCTCATATGATGGTTTTATTAGGAGGTATGATATTAGAGAAGGAAGACTGGTTACAGATTGTATGGGAGAAATTGTAACATGCGCTAGCTTTACCAAAGACAATCGATGTGTATTAGTCAGCTGTGCCGATGGAACTATCAAACTTATGGACAGAGATACTGGTGAACTATTAAGTGAATATGAAGGATTAAAAAAAAGTGATTACTGCATTGAATCAAGTGTAAATAAAGACGATAATATAGTTCTGTCTGGATCTAGCGATGGCAGAATATGGATGTGGAATTTGATATTAAAAAAAGTAGTTGGACATTTATCCGATGATCAATCACAAAAGCATCCCATCATTTCTATTGCTGTACATCCAAGCAAAAATTGTTTCCTTGGTGCTAATAGCCAAGATATTCTTTTGTGGGAAAAAGTTGAATCTGAATAAATATCTACGATGTGAAAATATTTTGTAAATAACCATAGCTTTTAGATATAAAAATTTTAAATATAGATATTTTTTCCATTTCTATAAAGAGTTTATTTAACATTATAAACATTCCTTACTACTTAACCAATACTTAAATTTTAACAAAGTTTTATACAAAAATAATCACTTATCTACAAAAACTAATTTTAAATCAAATTTTAATATTGTGAAAATAATCTTCATCCAATGTTCTTTGCAAGGAACGCAATGCCTGTTCAAAGTTATTAGCTGATTCCTGCATTTTGCACACCGCTTCCTGCAAAGTTAATTCACTTTTCACTAACTGTTTATTGGTGTCGACTAACTGTTCGACAGCATTGTTGACTGTTGTGGTCATGAGTTCTCTGATATTTCTATCAAGTGACTTATTGCAGTCTCTCAATTTTCTATGAAGCAAACTGTTATATTTGACGCAGCTTTTTTCGACTTTGTGCACCCTGACCTCGCTCGTGTACGAGCATGTGGATGGATCGACGGCATAGCCGACACTGCTCACACTGTTATTCTCGTCGTCGGACTCGAGAGCCTCGCCTTGGATCGTACCGCAGGTGTTCTGCACGAGCATAGTAGGGAAGCTCATGCCCGCCCTGATGGTGACTTCGTCGTCCGATTCAGGTGCTTCACCGGACACTATCACGGCTTTCGGTTCTTGCATAATTGTAATTTCTACAAATTTTCACTTTACACGATGCCACGAAAAAATTACGATAATGAGAAATCGACTCTCGATTGCACCGATCAAGTGCAAATCTGCACTTGCATATTTACCGTGCGTTCAAACAAACCACAACAATCTATCGACTGGACGGCAGCGAATGAATCAAAACTACGTGTATCTAACGATGCGAGTTTCGGGACCTGTCAAATGTCAGTCATGATTCAAAAGACCTTTAAAATCGCATGGTGATAATCGGAAATTTACACATAATTCCTCCACTTACTCAGATAGCAATTGAACATGCTCAACAATCGCTGATAATCGATTCCATATATTGAAAAATCCATAATTCACGTGACATCGTTGAGAAATATGTCAGTTATTGAAAGTTGAAATGAACGCGCAATCTAACCTTTAGTATCTGTTACATACGTTTCGCGACACCACATACAACGATACAATACAACTGTCGTGGCAGAAGATTCACACCAGACGCTAGACAGTTTGATTCTACACGCGACATCGAACAGACGCTTTTGCCTGTCATGCGTCGACGTTCAAGAAATTCATCATTAACATCAACATCACCGTCCATTACTGAAGGATTTTAATAGAATACAAAAATAAAATGTCGTGGAAACGAAGACAGGATGGCTTACTAGCCATGATCAATTTTCCACCTTACTCATTGCAGATGCTTACAAGCAGGCATGTTTTGGTTGGTGGTGGTGGTGGTTCATCCAAGACAGGCATTGCAAATGGTTTTGTGAGTATTTGTTAACATAACATTGGAAATTTTTTGAAATACTTAGTTATTTATGAAACTCTTTGCATGCGAGTATGATGCAGTGTGTGTTTCTTACATTGACATAAGTGTTTGCAATCTTTAACTGGCTATATTTTTTATTGAAATATAAATTTTCTTTTAGGAAATCTTTGAAATTTCTCACAATGGACAACAATTTGTTGCTGAAGAAGTTACACGCTATGAAACAGGACCTAATGTTGTAATGAATAGTGCTACTTACAATAATGGCAAAAAAATATGGCTTGTTGCTGGTCAAGAAAGTCACTGCCAATTGTATAATATACAGCTCAAAGTTGTGACAGCTGAAAATGGTGAAATTTCTAAAAAATATAATTTTCCAAAGCGAGAAGATCTTAGACAAAGAAGGAAAGGCAGTAAAGAAGAACCATCTTTAAAAAGGGAAAATATTGAAGATATCAAAAATGATACTACAACTGAAAAACATAAAAAGTTACAACTATTAATCAAACCTGCAGATAGTATACAAACAGATTTTGGGTACGTCATTACTTATAATAATTGTTATTTATTAAGATGTCAGTGCACATGTTAATTGAAAACTTTTATTTTTAGAAGTGGACAACCTTTGCAGAGAGTCGTTAGAATAAGTCCTAATGGTAATATCATGGCTACTGGTGGAACGGATGGCCTGATCCGCCTATGGCACTTTCCCCAACTTAATAGTTTACATGAACTCAAGGGTCACAGTAAAGAAATTGATGACATTGATTTTTGTCCCAAGTCAAAACAAATAGCTACTGTGGCAAAAGATGGCAAACTCATCATATGGGACGTCAATACTTTTAATAAAAATAAAGAACTGTCTTGGAACCCATCGGATACGGAGAAGTGTATTTTCAAAAGATGCCGTTTCCGTAAAACAGTCGCCGACGATAATCCGTCGAATCCTAAACTCTTATTTAGCATATCAAATTCTCTGCCTAGTAGAGATAGATCAAGAAGTAAAATGCATTATGGCTTTCTGCAACAATGGAACGTCGATCTCGGCCAAATGGACAGAGTCGTGAAATATAAAGAAAATCTTTCCGAGCTGGCCGTGTCGGACGATGGGAAATTCGTAGCTGTAGGTACCATGTCCTCGGGGACGGTAGACTTGTTCATAGCTTTTAATCTGCAAAGATTACTCCACGTGCCCAACGCTCACAACATGTTTATCACAAATTTGGAATTCTTGCCGACGTCTCTGGATGGACCGGCAATAACGAGCAATTGTGAGACTGCTGTAATTAGTTGTTCAGTGGACAATAAGATCCGTATTCACAGCGTACCTTACAGACGTAAGTTTCATTATTTCAAAAATATGGTGGTTTATAAAAAGAATGATTCACTAATTTTTTGTATATTTTTTCTACATTTTTACAGATGCACTGCCGTTTTGGCTATTCGTTATATTCATAATTGTAAGCATATGTGGTGCATTTATACTTTGCAGTTACCTGGGCCTCTGACCAGAAGCGCATTTAGCGAACATTGCTTGTCACAAGCATGTTCAGATTTTGTACATTAATTATTCTTGTTGTGGATTATTCGTGTTTTAGTAAGGTTGCTAATAGTTTCACGAGAATGTCAAACAGAACAGATTACTTTGTTCTTTTTCTTTCTGCAACAAAGATGAAATATTGCATTATATAAATATACTTATAGAAACCAATTGTACAAGGATTACAGATTATTATTATTATTATTATTATATTATTGCAAGTGAGCAAAAATGAAATTATGCATATATTTTCAATTATTATATTCTCTCTGCATGAAATACTATTATATTTTGTAAAGGGTCAATCGTCTTGCGCGACAACGTTGTTTTTTCTTTCTTACCGCCTTAAAAAGAAGATTATTCTTTTTATTGTGCATTATACTTAATGTAAATTTTTTTTAGCAAAAAACTAATGTTACTATTAAAATATATTTATTATGACAATGGCATTGTTGACAGTAGGGTGACGTTTGCTGGTTAATTAAAATTCATGCGAATTGAAGTTTGTTTTCTGCATTAATTTTTTCACTCATATTACAACTGACAAGATAACACTGAATCCCAAGCTTCCGAAATTCGGCACCCATAGCGCTGTGATTTTCAAGATGTGACAAGACACTCAGCATCTACACGCACGCACTTTACACATGCTTGTGTCATCGCAATTATCCTCTCCCACGCTCGACTTTATCTCCCGTTACTTTTCCATTACCAGCCGAGTGGAAGAGGTAGATTGTTTTTTATATAACTCGTCGTCTGTGATAGTTTTTATACTACGTTAGATATCTTGGAATATGCTTTTTAAAGCGAGACTACTACCAGCAGCAATCGGCTCGATCATGTCGAACAATTACGCAACTCTAACGAAGCCCGTACAGCAGACAACCGATTTTCTTTTCAGACAGGTAGGTTTCGAACGTATTACGATTGATTTTTGTTTTGTTTTCTACTTCTTCATTTCGTGCCTTTATTTATCGATAAATGTAATAAAGACCGTATGTCAATAAACAATGTGCAATGAATGATACGCGCTCATTTCCGTTACTTACGCGAAGATTAACCGATCGATCGGTAGGCGCGTTACGCGTTCTCAATAAGTTATAACTTCAATCGTTTGATTATAAAATTTTATTTGCACCCGTTTAGATTGTCAAGGTTAGCAATTTCTTATCAATCGTACGATATAGTTGCTATATTATCATCAACAGATAAATACGTATTCATAATATAAAAATATTCGAGCGGTAAAATTTCGAATATGCATTATGTACTTGCTTTCTAGTTTTTCGATCCTGTATCGTCGACGTACACTTACCTGCTGGCCGACACCGAGAGCAAAGAATCGATACTGATCGATCCTGTGATCGAATGGGCCGAGCGGGATGCCAAAGTCGTGGAAGAGCTCGGCCTCAATCTCAAGTATGCCAGTAAGTTGATTTCGCGTGGGTTCGAAAAAAGACAGATTAATTTTATATTGTATCGCGTCTGCAGTGAACACTCACATGCATGCGGATCACATCACTGGCACGGGCAAATTGAAGAAACTCGTGCCCGGCACGAGATCGGTCATATCTAAGGCCAGCGAAGCCCTGGCGGACGTGCACCTGCTGCCCGGCGACGAGATCGCGTTCGGACGACACAAGCTCACAGCTCATCCGACGCCTGGTCACACGAGCGGTATGTATAATTTTTTAAGCGCATAGTTATAAATATGATATCCTCTTTTAAAGTAATGATGCGCTGATTGGTGAACAGATTTGAAGCGATTCACTTCCCGCATATTGTCTCGAAACAAAGTTTACAGAATTTAGGCACCAACTTGAGGGATCGAACATTTTATTCTTTTCACAATCAATTGTGCTTAATTTTTCTACAACATTGTATCGATTTTTTCAAAAGTAGAACATTTGTTTATATAATGAGATAATATCGGAGAAACTAATGATATTATTATAAATTAAACATTTTTAATTAATCTTCCATTTATGTAAATTAAATTTTATACTTTTATTAAGTTATAATGCGTGAGTGATACACTATGTCGTTGTATATTTTGAGATTACTATTAGTTCAGATACTCCTTTGACTTGTATCACATGCACGTGATATTTTCATGTGCATTACATTTATGGCGCTTTTGATGACACGCTTACTTTTTAATTTTTGTCCGCATGTATGTGTGTATGTATTGTATGCATGTGTGCCACTAGGTACTGGGCGACAATTCAATATGCCGTTTTAGATTATTTTGTTGAATGAGTGATATTCTGAATATATCTCATGAATCTCTGACACAGTTGGTACCGAATCGATATGGATTTTAACACTTCATTTGTGAAGGAATGCCTTATTTCCACGTGTATCACATCTGCGTGAAATACAACTATGCACGGAATTAATGTGGGTTTTGAGATAACGTTTATTTGAAAATTTCTTTCCGCAGATATCACACATGTGAGTGATACCATTATGGACTGATTGAACGTGTGTATTCAGATCATACTTTCGTTTAAATGTCTTTTGACATACATCACACGCATGTCTGACACCGTTGTGCACCACATCAATGTGGACCTTGAGATACTGTTTCGTTGAAAATTTCTTTCCGCAAATATCACATACATGTGTGACACCTCTATGTACTATATCAATGTGAGTTTTGAGATTAATTCTGTGTGAAAACGTCTTGCCACATATATCACATGCACGAGTGATACCCATGTGCACTACATCAATGTGGACCTTGAGATAACTTTTTGATGAAAATTTCTTTCCGCAAATACCACATGCATGAGCGTCGCCATTGTGCATTGAATTGATGTGAACCTTGAGATACTTCTTCGTTGAAAATTTCTTTTCACAAATATCACACGTGTGAGTAATTCCATTATGAACTCGTTGAACGTGGTTATTCAAACTATACTTCTGTTTAAACGTTTTTTGACATATAACGCACGTATGTGCTATACCCCTATGCAAAGTATCAATGTGAGTTCTCAAATTAGATTTTTGGGAAAATTTATTTCCGCATATATCACATGCATGTGTGACACCCATGTGCGCCACATCAAGGTGAACCTTGAGATACATCTTCGTTGAAAATTTCTTGCCGCATGTACCACATGCATGAGTGATACCATTATGAACTGATTCAACGTGCCTATTCAGATTATACTTCTGTTTAAACGTCTTTTTACAGACATCGCATGAGTGGGTTGCATCATTATAAGACGTATCAATTTTCGTTTTGAGGTTACGTTTGTTATTACATTTTTTTGTAAGTTTTCTTTTATTATTTTGTTCGACAACTTTAGTGTCAACATTCATTTCTTCTGCGGCGTCACCAAAATATTCCTGCTCCCCTTATAAAAATTTCCTATAGGATTTCGCGAAATTCCTACAGGAGTCCTATAGGATTCCAGTAGGAATTTCGCGGGATCCTATAGGAAATTTTTATAAGGGTCCCCCTCGCCCACGTTTTCTATTTTAATTTTGTTGCGAGTTTCATAACCATCACTATCTCTTAGATTCCGCAAGTGATTTGGAAAATTATCTTCAATTTTTTTAACTGCTAACAAATCCCTACTGGGCTTGACATCTTCGCATTCTACAACTATTTCTACTTCTTCATTATATTCACTTTCAAATTTAATGTCACATTTTCGAAGAGTATGGATCTGTTAAAAAATTACAGGTTGAAAAATCACAAATGTGAACAATGTGGCATGCAATTTTTAAGGCTTACCAAATTTTTTTTTGGAAATGGCAAGAGTTGGACGTTTTTAAGATCTGGGTTTTCATCAAACATATCACGATCATTTCCCAGGAAAGATGTATCACTAGGCTCCTCTTTCACTCTGCAATAACCTCAATAAGTCGAAGTATTTTTCCATAATATTTTCGTTATTTTAACTTTATGAAATGTAAGTTACCTGACAGCACAGTCAAAGAAATCACTCGATTCCATTTTCTCTCTTGGAATTTTTTTAGCAAATAATCTTTTTGTGACGATTTCACATATCAAACTAGTTATAGCACTGAAAGAATGAAGAATACTGATCTGCTGTACTCACTATCTTTTGAAAAACTATGCAAAGAGCAGCAAGTAGAGTATAGGGGCTATCTAATCTTCGCATATTATACAGGTATATAGATGTACAGTGTTGTACACTGTACACTGAACACTGCGTACCGGTCAAAAAGACGGGGAGAGGTCATGGCATTCGACGCGCGACGTAAACAACAAAACAAGCACAACATTTTATATGCTCTAGTCCAATTTTTCCGTCTTACAGCTTAAATTTCGTGTTGCGATGTTACAAAAATATTAATGCAAACGATTGAGTTATTACAATTATATCATCGAAGAAATTATTCCAAGTATTTCATGGCTAATGAATAGCAAAAATATTTCTATAGCTGTTATATTATTAGAGAGAAACTAATTGAAACATTGATTTTTCAATTTTGTCACAGGCTGCATGACGTACGTGTGCGAAGAACAGGGAGTAGCATTCACCGGCGACACACTGCTCATACGGGGTTGCGGTAGAACCGATTTCCAAGTAAGTCCAAATCTCGAGGTCGATTTTCTCATTCAACATAGCATGGATATTCTTGATTTATCACTGTACTTTTTCTCGAAAGGGAGGCTCCGCGGAAACGCTTTATCAGTCTGTGCACTCGGTGATATTTAGCCTGCCGGACAATTTCAAATTGTATCCGGCTCACGATTACAATGGGCGCACCGTCACTACCGTGGCCGAGGAGAAGAGGTACAATCCAAGACTGACAAAATCCCTCGATGAATTCGTGAAGATAATGAACAACTTGAAATTGCCATATCCAAAAAAGATCGGTAAGTATCGAGATACCTGAGCGACGGTCGATTTTGAAGTTTTCACGCGATAAAATTAATTTGATTTTTCCTACAGATTGTGCTGTGCCAGCCAACAAAGTTTGTGGGCTGTACGAAGTCGAGGGCGAAAAATGTACAAAATAATGATTATATACTTTTTTAATAATTTAATATACTGATGGACGGGTATGCATAATGTGGATAAAATAAAGATTTTTCATTTTAACAACTCTATGATTTGTGAAAATAATTAACGCAATCATTAATTTATTTTCCATCGGTCGTACGTATATAACATGTAGGTAAATGTTTTTTCTTTCTTTAACGAATTGAACAACAATAATACATAAATGTCTTATAGAAGATTTCATAAGGCTACGTCGTATGTAAACAACGGACGCTGCTGTATAACTGAATCGATATAGAACTTCATTGCCTAGAAGCTTAATCTCGGACTTTAAAACTACAAAATATGAAGTTACACATAGGTACAACGCTCAAAACGTAAACAGATATCGTACATAAACTACTCTTATCTCACGAGATTACAGAGCAAAAAATATTTCAGAAGACTTTTAAACCTCATACATAAATTATACATTAATTTTATAAAATCAATAAATTTAGAGTATCGTATATGAAAGAGAGAGAGAAAGAGATAGATTATGAGAAAACAAGTGGCAATTCTAAATGATAAATACATTCGCGACCTAAATGTTACGTAGCGCACACATATATAATACGCACATACTATCGAGAGTCTGCATGCACAATTTTTTTTTTTTTTTGCAAAAAGCTGTGCGCATCTCCGATCGTCAGTGAATATAGATATATGGTTTATAATCCGAGGTGTAATACATATCGAATGAACACAGCGCATTATCCCCTAATTGATTATGCATTATAACGATGAGCATACACGCAGATGACCATTAATATCGTCGGTATATCGAGAACTTTTGAAACGTACACACAGCGCGCCATTGGTATAAATGTAACGTAATAAGCATTTTTTATATCATATATTTATGTTTATTCATTCTAAAGTTCTCTTTTACAATGTATATAGGCGTATAAAAAAGGTTTTTTTAAGTAAATATAATTAAGGACTTAGGAGTATATAAAAAAAAAAAAATATGTCAGCGGTATTCGCCTGCGAAGTACACGAATTCTCATATATTGTTATTTGTCTGTGTAAATATAAATAATATATTTTTTTATATGTATATCTTTAGATGTATAAAACTCTGAGTTAAAATCATTATATCGGGGACAGATTTTTTGCTATTTCTGTCTACTGGACGCGTTCTCACGTTAAGAATATTGAGTTAAATCTAAATTTTTTCGGTAGAAAATAATAATAAGCATATTGTTATTATGCGTTTGCGAACGCGTACGCACGATATTTTCAGCATTGCATACGCGAATAAATTTCACTCACTCTAACTAATCGCAAAAATTCAAGAGTTCTTCTCGTTAGCGACTCTTTTTTCGCGATTAAAACACATTGACTGATATACATCAATTGTGAAGCACCAATTTCCAATGTATCGCACGCGTACACGTTCAAATACATAAATAATATATTATATATAGCTGGCTCGTGTGAAAAGAAAAGTTACAAAAGGAATGTCTCGTAGTATAATACATGCTTAGCTCTCATTAATTATATTTTGAATTAAAAAAAAATAATAATAAAGTAAAAAAAAACCTGCTGACACGCAGTCGAGGTCAAGAGTCGGAAAAAGTGATGAACATAGAAAGAGAGAGAGATAAACAAAAAAAATATGAATGACTTTTGCTCGTGAAGGACGTCGCACTATTTTGACTTTAGCTTCGCATAGAAAGCGCCTTGACTATACTGTAGTAGATTCTTTTCTTTTTTTGTCACTGTAGGATCTCAATATATAATATTTCGCATTGTATCAATATGTAAATCGGTAACTTTCATCTGTATCAAAAATATAAGACTATAACAGCGAAAAATCTATGGAATGCAAAGTACCGTGATAAATGTAAAATATTGTTCTTCTCGCGGGTAAAGACTCGTTAAGAGTAAAAATTGCAAAATAATGAAAATATTGGTGATCGATTTATCAATCGCGGTAACATGTAGTATTGTGAGTTGTTCTCTCTTTCTGCGGCTGAACGAGAGCGGCGCGCACTTAAACTTAGGTTTTCTTTTCCCTTAAATCGCTCTACACAACCTTAAAGCTTGACTTCATAATAACAGCTAATTAAATCATTACGTAATTAATTAAAATTATTTAATCGTCTAATACTAAACAGAGAACACCTCGCGAGCATATTAAACTCGCGCACACACGCACGAGTGCCGTCTTTCTCGCACTCCACTGTACACGCGTACGATTCGTAATGATAATAATAATATGTATAAAATATAATCACGACGTTCGATTGAACTTTGAAAGTTGTGAAACCGTACAGTTGCCGTTCGTCGAGTCGTTGTTCTCTTGGACGAAGTAATTCTGATTGACCACGTCGTAGTCCTCGACTTTGACCGACTGCACAAAGTCCACTTGCACGAGCTGAGTGTAATCGTTGTTCTGCTGCTGATGGTGCGGATGATTCGTGGGGGCCGTGACGAAGTTATCCTGATAAGCTGGCAACTGTTGGTGCTGGAGCGATTCGGTGCCGTATTGCTGTTGCTGCTGCTGTTGCGCGTACATGGAATTCTATAGAAAAAAAGAGGAGCGAAAAAAATCGGTTTAACGATCGATGCCGAATGCAAATTTTGAATAAATAAATACACGAAACAAATTGGATTCTCACGTGGCTCGGTGACGCGTTTTTGCGCGTACAATTGTGCTCGCCGAGCATCTTGATGAGCTCCTCGCGTTCCGTCGACAGCAGCTGTATCTCCTTCTTCAGGTTCTGATTCTGCGAGGTCAGGCACTCGGACTCCTGCACGAGATTCGTCGTTTTCTGCCGCTTCTTCAGCCGGCACTTGGTCGCGGCGATCTTGTTGCGCTCGCGACGCTTGCGCCGGCGCTCCTCGTCTTCCGGCGTCAGCTGCTTTTTTAATTAAGAAAAGAAAAAGTGATAAATGTACGTCCTTTACTCTCTCTCTCTCGATCGAAATTCCGCACGATAATAATTCGAGAAACGTACCTCGTTGGTAGTTTTGCTGTTGCTGGACTCGTCGTCGTCCTCGTCGTCGGCGCTTCCTTCCTCTCTTTTCAAGCGCGGCTGCTTGACCGTCTCTTCCTGTATCGGCATGACGTTACCGTTGGCTCGTCTTTTTGTCTGCAGAGTCAGCTTCAAACCTTCCAAACGAAAGAGAAAAAAAACTCGCCCGGTTACGCAACGATCTCGATCTTTTTATTCTTACTTCGCGTCTATTATATTCGATTCACGATCGGGTGAGAGACGAATTAGCATATTATCGACGCGACAATGCATGCGTACCTTCTTTGATGAGCTGACTCCTCGTGTGCTGGACGCTCGGCGGACTCGGCTCGCCGCTGCTGGTCGAGTAATGCCTGACCCGGCCCGCGTTCGTGATGACGTTGCCGAATCTGCTGCTGTTGACGCAATTGGTGACCAAGGGCGACTGCGTCGGGCCGCCGTTGTTGTTACCGATGGCCTGACCGAACGTGTCGAAGGGATTGGTGGTCATCGATATGAGGCTGTTGACGATTTCCGGCGTGCGGGGCGTCACTTCCGCCGCGCCGGCCGCGGTCATGCCCATGGCGACGCTCAGCAGGCTCGGGGTCTGCTGCGACGGCGCCTCGCCGTTCTCCCCGTTACCGTTCAGATTCGAGCAGTTGAGATTGTACATGACGCTGATCGACTTCTGTATGCGTGTAATAATGTAGAAATAATTAACGACTCCAAATTACGTACTGTAATAATTATCATTACTCTGCGCTGGCCTAAATTATTACATTCATAAAATGCTGAATCGATTTTATTGTGCTACAAATGAGGCACGCGCTTTTGTACGCGCATCGACCCTATATATCGAGAAAACAAAAGTTAGCTCACGAATCGTTGGTCTCGAAGGTGTACAATCGTATAGCGTATATAAAAGTACAGATCGACCAGTGAGCGTACTCGCTGTGTGTACACAACACAGGCTCGGGCGTAAACTTTACAACACTATAAAGAACCCCGTGCGCCTCGAGTCTGACCTTATTTTTGCGAGCTCACGTATACCGGAGGATGTAAAGTTCTCTCTATTTTCTCCGGTTGATGTACGAAATACACGTATATGTATGTATGTGCATATCGGGCGCGTTTTGTATAGGCGCGCCGAGCTTTCCTAAAAATATCCCCCCCGTCGCATGATATACAGAGACGAAACGACGGCTCTTCAAGGGGATACGTACGCGAGATCGATATCGATAAGATGCATTTTTTACTCCTCTCGGTCTCTGATAGCACATTTTTATCATCTTCTCGACGTTCGAAATTGCATCGACGAAATCGGTATGATAATTCATTAAAATGTATAAAAGGTGCGAGTCGAGCCTCTCTCTCTCTCTCGAGATCATCGCCGCTCGTCACGATGCTTGTAAAATCACGGCGCAGCGATCTCGCATCGGTGGCGGCCCGCAACGCATACTGTACGGCGGCTCTAAACGAGCAGTGAGAAATTCGCAAGTCGAGTCGCGTTTATTTTAGCTTTGCGCTATTATTCGCGGCTCTCTTATACATCGGCTATATACACGCGCCCCCGTCTCTCGTGTTGAGCGCATGTGTGTATGTATTATATAGGCTGAAAGAGAGAGAGAGAGAGAGAGAAAGCCGCGTGGTATACGCGTTTATTAAAACCGACTGTGCTGCTGTTGACGCTGACTCGAGGTCTGTCAAACCCTTTGATCTGCTCGGCTTATACATACGTTTAAAGCTGCATTCTGTTCGGCTTATAACGCACACAAGCCGAGGAAAGAGCATCGATTCCTCAAAAGGTACGGAGCTGAGGCGTATATGTAGACGTCAAAAATGCGTTCGGCGCGTCGCGAATATTATCGCCGGGCCTGCGAGCAACGAGATTGGTCAAACTTGCCGCTCGTACTACTATAGGTTGCAGCATAGCTTATATAGTACATACGCATTAGGCTTTCGGTGACAAATTGACACTTCTCGGAAAAAGCTTGCGCGAGCGCGAAATAATGGGCGCGTCGCGCGCTTTCCTCTTGGCACTCTTCGGGCTCGCGCCTATATGCTCTTGTGCCGCAGCTAATATATAATCGCGTGTACAAAGGCTTATATGAGCGTATATGAGTGATCGCGAATCAATCGAATACAATCCTCTGCGATGATGCTACCTCCGGTAAAGCTCGACATTGATTTGCAGCAGCAGCAGCCGATATTTGGTCCGTATAATACACTTACGCGCGAACAATAGGAGGATACCCGCTGCACGTACGTAAGAGATCTATCTCTCTGTTGCGCTCGACCAATTGATTCTCTCTTTAATAAATAAATGGAAATGTATGCGCGCGGCCTTTTTCTATTGACTATATGGTATATTATGTACCGTATGTGTGTTTATAATACAACATCGTCGAGTACGGTAAAATAACTTTCAATCGAATTTATATACGTATCCTTCCCTCCTCCCCCTTTTGGAGTATGCGTGTACTCCATTATACATTCAAGAATGTATAATCTTCTCTTCGTAACACATGCGCTCGTCTATATTGACTCAAGATCCCCGAGACGAGTGCGGAGCTTGCTGCTGTCTATACACACATACGATGTCGAGCACGCACTCGTATAAGACTCGAGTGTCTCTCTCGCAAATTTCTATTTATCTCGCACGCACCGTATAAAAGCGCGTACAACGATTACGAGTCACCAAGTTCGCACAATGAATAATAAAGTTTGATATTTATGAAATGTTGAATAAAAACACACAGCGCGAGAGATCGAGTCGAAGCGGATCGACGTGCGGATGAAAGAGAGAGAGAAAAAAAAATCATAACGATCTCGGTCGCTTGGATCGCGCGGAGCTTGTAACAATGCGCTGCACTTATAGCAGCTCGCGTTATATCAAGTACTGCCACGAGTATATATTACTATATACTAGACGGCGAGAGGAAAAAACGTCAAAGCTCGCGCGCGGACTGACATGCTGGACGCAGACACGCACATAATATAGGCCTTGGTAAAATATCCATTTGTTATTGTATAAATACGGGTGGTATATAGTAACGAAGTTGTTTTAACGATTGTTATTAATTAAGAGGAGCTGTCGCAACGCGTGCACACGTCCACCGATAGAATCTTTCGTTATATTATTTAAAATATATATTATATATTATTACATAAATTCCTGTCTGTATAGTAGTATATGCGCGCTCGCTCTTAAGCGATGATCGAATATGACCCGAGAGCACGAGAGATTAATACGCACTCACGGTGAAGTAGCAGCAGTGGCAGTGCGACATAGCAGCGGAGATACACGGCCATAGATATTGGAACAATTTGCACATTTTTCATAGTGTTTATTGCCGCCGCCGCCGCTGCCACTGAGAGCCGCATATTATAAGCTCCTCGCTGCTGCTGCGGCTTTTAATAATCATAGACCATACCGATATATCTGCCTGGTTTGCGCGTACAATTGTGTTGTATGTACTTGTACGCCTATACACACATAAGCCAAAGATCGAGAGTACCCAAGGATTGTGTGATCGTCGTGTACCGATCATTATGGACGTGATTCTATATACCGTATTGTATGTGTGTGAATGTGTATGTGGATGTACGCGACGCACCTATTTTTCGTCGAGTCGTACTTGAACTGTACGTTCAAAGTGACGAGCGACTTTTCGAGTACCCATTCGATTGAGAATTATTTTTCTACATTAGCGATTGCGGCGTGAGAGACAAATTACGAACTAGTATGAGCGACTCATGCGAGTGAAGGGTCCGATGAAAGTTTCTTTTTTTTTGCGTTCCTGTCGTCCATTATAACTCTAAACTCCGTTTCTTGCCATTACAATATTATAGGTTTCGTCGCCGTCTTAGTGCTTTTCTGTAATAAGTATTTTCCTTCGGTAACGACAAATTGCAATCGAGTACGTCGAGTACTTACAATTTGTATTTGTATAAGCGCCTCGCGGCGCGTAAACGCACGCATCGCAATTATGGATAGCTCCGCGTGTGTGTATTCACATATTGTGTGCATTAAACGAGCAATAAAACGAGCGTGAGAAAATTGACTCTCGCGTGTATATATTTTTGTATTACAATATGCAAAGCGCGAATAAACAAAACAAGGCTGTGGAAACGTATCGCGACGTCGCGCATTACGAGAGGTTTTTGAAGAAGCAAAAAAATTCGCGTTCAATGTACACGGTGATCGTCTATAGAGCGAGAATGGCTTGACAGCGGCAGTGCTCGATGCTAGGACACACTCGTACACACACCCACGCGTAGTTTGAACATCAAAAGAAGAAGAATTTCAATTGGAAAAGAGCCTAGGATTCCGCAACTTCGCGACGAGACTCTTCGATAGAGCACCGAGTAAGTAAGTAGAGGGTCGTGCACCGATGTACGCCCGAGAATCGGTAAATTTGATGATAATTCATCGGTCATTCTTCTCTCGTACACGAGCACGGCGCGCGATCATGACTTTCCCTCTTACATACAGGATCTCCTCTTGTATACGGATCTCTCGAGGCTTTTCGGTCGCCAATAACGAGACGCCTCGAAATTGACGTGGGAGGCTCTTTTTTTTCTTCGCTCCGAAGCAAGTTTTGCGCCGGAGTATATACAGAAAGAGGAAGTCGACGCGCGTACGCAAAAATGTTCACGATTCGAGTCCGGCGGTATTTTTTCTTCTTCTTTCGCGCGCCTATCTATGTGATACTTTTTGCTTTGTTTTACTACTGACTCAAATAACCAATTAACTCGGTTTTACGCGCGCTGCAATATAAAATGTATTATTACGGCTGGCGTCGAATCGTAAACATTTTTTTCTATATACGTTTTTGTGCAAAAAGCCTAATATACATAAATGCGTTTGCAGCAGCAGCAGCAGCAGCATCAACGCGTAAAGCGGAAAGATGAAAAGAAATAAAAGAAAAAAAAATTGTCTCTTGATGTCGTCGTGTCTTACGAGTCGTCGACGTATAGTCTCGCACGCGGTTGGTCTATTATATATACGGAGTTGGACGCGCCGCACAGTGTGTCCGATTCTTCGACGTCGCCGCGCGCATCAATTACGGCACATTTATTTAAAACAAAGAATTTTCCTGTCCTATCGGAAGAAAGTACATAGCGAGCTATTATCGGGCCACTTCCGTCGCAGCGCGGATATATATAAACACACGTGACGTTGACGTATGTATATATAATCTATACACGAATCGATACAACGATCGATCGTTCGCGAGCGCGAACCGCATCGATGCCACTGCCCCCGCATATAATGTAATGAATGGCCGTTTTCGCGAGAAGACAAAGTGGATTGAAAAAACAAACACACGGTATACCTTTCACATACGTATACAATGCACGAGGTGTGTATTTCTGTGTGTACGCGCGCACGTGGATCTATTTTATAAATTCACGCACGCAGACGAGTTCAATATTTATTGTATCGTAGTGCGACATACGTGCGTATACCGCAATCGGTTGATAAACTTTGCACGATAACAAAGTGTAGTCATGTACGCGCGATCGCCGCGAGATAACGAGACACATGGTAATTGTCTTTTAATTCCTTCTTTCTTTTCGCGTTCTCGCTTTTCATCGTCGCGGCGACGATACGCCCTACATATTACGATGACACAGTACGGCACACATTTTTCGGGACGCCAGAGTCAATTTGCCTCCGCGTAACGGCGCGTCTGCTGCTGCTGCTCTTGGCCGCACGCGCGGGTGAAATTTCGCAGGTATGTCCGTCCGCCGAGTAAAATAGACGGGCTAATGCTGAATAATGAGAACGATACGACGATGAGTGTATTACGTGCTTCTGCTGCTGCAGTTGTTATAGTGGCGCTCGATTTATCATTTTTCAATTGGGTTAGACGCAACGCTCAAACGTCTTCATTCTCTTTTACTCTCTCTCTCTCTCTCTCTAGCCGTCGTGGCTTGGCGAGTATAAATCAAAGAGAGGAGCCCACTATAAACGACTACACACGAATACACTTATTGCCCACTGTGTGAAGGATGCCTGCAGCGTTAAAATATTTCTTGCAAATCGAATGAACTCGAGAAATGTATGCCAACTTGTGTATATTTCATAGAGAGATTAGTTTTGGTCTTTCTCTCTCTCTCTCTCTCTCTCTCTCTTTCACTCTGGTTTTTGAGATATATAATATAATATGCGCGTACATAAACGCAGAAGAGCTCGCGTAGTACAAGTATATGGTATGTATACAGAGGCGTGGGTGGGGCCTACACTACAAGTCGGAGCTTGCGAAATTCCGGATGTATATTCATAATGTCTATAACGAAGCTAAACACACGCACACACACACAGACAGAAAACGTATATAGTGCGGCGCATACGATATTAACACGCCGTCCAGTTTATGGTACAGTAGGACGAACACGAGGCTGGAACTTTTCTCTCTCCCTTCTCTATCCGTCTTTGCCAAACAAACGATGAGTCTTATCAAATAAAAAAGTCGCGGATACAGCGGCAGCGCGGAATCAGAAGTAAAAAAAAAAAGTTTGTTATAACGACAGGATCGTCGTCGATTTCGGACCGGTTTCGTCTAGATATATACCTATATGAGCATGCACGCCTGCGTATGCCAACGTTGCTGCTGCTGCTGTAGGTATGTATAATGCGACAAAAGTGAATCTCGATCGTCTCTCTCTCTCTCTCTCGCAGTCGTGCATAATATGCAAATGGACCTCGGCCGAGGTATTTCATTGATAATAATATATACAGAAAAATTCATATTTGGCCGAGAGGAGAGCGTGTCTGCGCGCGGGTCTAGGACTATACGCGTCTATATGGGCGCGTTTATACACATTATTTACGAGCCAAGAGATAAACACTTCACGAGACAGCAGATTTTGGGTTCGCGAGAGAGACAGGGCCCCACAACACTATGTGATGTAATAATAATAAAATAATGAAAAAAAGCGAGTCGCAGCGCGAATTCGATCGCTTTTTAAGGTTTTTGTCGTCGATTGCCGTGGAACCGATTTGCCATATATCCTATGTAAACATCGCCGAAAGATGCGATACCGCAGTCGAGCCCGAGATCGGCGCTTATACAGCTCTCCGTGGCACACAAGTATATATACGAGTGTGCTCCGTATAGTAAGGATTTCGAAAGGCCCCTTGATCTCGAGCTCTCGTACACATATACACTCGCATAATATCGAGTCGTTTAAGGTCATGGAGCAACCCACACACGCAGTCTACTTTTTTTCTCTCTGCGCCTTTTTTTTCGCTTTGCCTTCGTTCGCGATACGATACGTATATTAAACTGCTGCTGCTGCTGCAACTCGCGGACTCGCACGTATACGCGATCGTAAAACTTTGCTCCACGAGCGCACGAGCTATTATTCAATTGTTAATGTCGCGTAAAATTAAGAAAATTCAGATATTTAATAAAGCGCGTGCTGTATCGTGCATAAAGTGCGTTCGAAGGTCGATTAAGGCGATCTCGAGAGAGAGAGATCGGCAGTGCGTTAATGTCGCGCGCGGCAAACAACGCACACGTTTAACATATAGGTATACATCGGACGCGCGCGGAGACACACGTGCGAATAGGGTACTTTACGCAATCGCGCTCAATTAAGGTCGCTGCCGCGCTGTATATTACGATGAACGCAAGTATTATATATTAGGTGTGTTCGAAGCTCAGCAGCTGCAGCTTTCGTATACATACATAACATAACGTATAATAAGAGAGCACATTATATGTATTAGAGTAAAGCACGTTTTATTGCACACGTTCGAGGCGTGTGGGTACGCCGCAGCGACTGTATATATATGCCCGCAATGTCTCGTGCGTAAAAGTGTCGGACAATAAAAAGTTGACGTTTATAATTGAACGTTTTCAGAAGCTCAAAGAAAGATAGCCGCGAGAAAGAGGAGTGGAGGACTGAAACTCATATTTGCGGTGTGTAGCACAATAAACGAGTGCGAACATGTGTGTGTTTCGAGCGTCTATACGAGAATAAAAGAAAAAAAGAAAACGAGAGCTTCGAGAGATAAGAGCAAAGAGTTACAATGTTGCTGATATTGGCGCGGTTTAGTGTCAAAATTACTTACATCGCGCGCGTTGTCGTGCGCTAGCTGCGAGACCAGCTACGAGAGCACGCGAGTTTTTGACGTTTCTGGCAAACTGACAGTTAAAACACGGCATAGCGCGCACACATTAACACAGGCGGGCATTCGTATACAAATACAAAAAAGCGACAGCAGCTCGAAAACGCGACCAACGAAATATATTACTCGTCTATTCTGTACCGGCTGCGACGACCCAAACTCGTTCTGTCTCGTGAAACGGCAGATGACTGATAGTTTGTATATACGCAACGCGAGCTTACAATTGCCCCGGTGAAGAGAAAAAAAAAACGAGTTATTAAAGGTCACGCATGAGACGAGGGTTTTTCTTCTTTTGCTTCTTTTTTTTTTAAGGGAAACGTTGCTAACTTTTCGTAAAAAAAAAGAAACAACTCCGAGACTCGAGCGAGATTACGAAGCACGCGATCGCGAGATAACTCACTCGCAGCTGTATAAAAAAGTATGTATGAAAAGAGAAGGAAAGAAAAAAAATTAGCGAGACAATGGAGGATTATTAATTCGTTTCTATGGAGTGAGCTGCCGTCGCGTTACTCCTGTGCCGCGCGACACTTGAAAAAATTAAATTTGCCGCAGCAGCGGTAGTACGCCACGGCCTTGGGGGGTCGCCTCAGCCAGCGCGCACGCGAGAACAAATTAAAAGCACATTTTCTTCGGTATATAGGTGTATACGTTATATATGAAAAATGAAGATGTTTTATGCCTACATTATGCCGAGCGAAGTTCTATCTCTGTCTGTTTTTGTTGTACGCGGCTTCTTGCTCGTACACACATACACACACATAATATTGTACTCTATGTGGGATATATACATATACAGAGTGAAGAAGAGGCGCGTCACGGCCTTGAAGGATATAAACTTTGTCGCCGCGCACACATTGCGAAGCTTTTGCAAACTCTCGTGTCTGTCTGTGTGTGTGTGTGTGTGACTCGTGTATATACTCGATTATATAGGTGTATAAATGTGTTTTTGTGCGTATCATATGTGTGCCAAGCGATTAACAGCTTTTTTTTTTACTCGACTTCGCGGAGTCGCGAAAATGGCTTTGACAGGCATGGACATTTTTTGTCAAGTTTTATACGCGTCTATATATACAAAGTTTACTTTCGGATATACAGAGCGCGCGTGGAGGCTGTGCGCTTTAATACGTCCCACGCACCTGTATAATTGCATCGCGGCCGAGCATGTGCGCGACAACGTGTATATGTATATCATGGAAATTCGACGTTGTGCAGCAGCAAATTAAAGCACATGTTGTTGTATTACTGCAGCAGCTCTCGAACGTTGCATAATGTAATATCGATATAATACGCGTTCGATTCTTCTTTATTTTTTTTTCCTCTCTTTCTTTGGAAAAATCGCTTATCGCGCGTCGATTCACCTACGCTAAAATACACTCGGGCACACGTACGTGTGACATTAAATATTTTATCTCATAAATATCAGACATTTCACAAAGCTATTATACAGCTACACATACAAGAGAGACACAACAAAAAAAAAAGCGAGCGAGAGAGAGAAAAATGCGCTTGCGGCCGAGGATCAAAGCGTACCGGCCTCTCTCGGCCGCGCGCGTATCGCTTTAACGCTATAGTAGTAGTAGTAGTAGTAAACTACAAGTGCATTTATGCGAGTGATAACGAGGCCCGATATTTAGTTGCATCATTGGCACGACCGCCAAGTGCCTGCTGTAATACATGCTGTACCGGGCCACTATTATATATGTGTGTCACAATTTTTTAACAACGCACTCTCATTATATTTCAGCTTTTTCTTTCTCTCTCTTTTTCGCGTTGTTTCTTCTTTTTTAAAAACAATTTTTTTGTCGCTCCAGACGACAAAGATACTTTGGTAGATAAAGCGAGAGAGATTCTTATCCGCTTTCCGCAAATCTCGCGGCGACGACGACGCGTGTGTATGTGTGTGACTTTTTTCCGAGAAAATGCATTCGCGTATTAGCGCGTTATGTGTGAGTGCTCCGTAGCTGCAGCGCGTTCGTTTACTCGTGTGCACTCTCGGCTTCTCTCGCGAGGTTTTTTAAGCGCGGCACTGCCGAGCAAAAATTCAGGCCGTTTATATGTGCCATGTATGTATATTGCTAAAAGTTGATTAACATCTCTCTTTCTCTCTCTTTCTCTTTCTAGTTAAGCAAAGAGATGATAAATGACGTTTTGCGCGCGCGAGTACGCGACGTCGAGATGTGATAAGAAAAACAGCTGGCGCAATGTATTTGCGATGAGTGCCTGTCTGTGTGTATGTGTGTTTATGCGTATACGTGCGAACACTCGAGTGTGGCCGCGCACGACAAATCGTGCACCGCGAGACACACGAGTGCACTTGAAAAAAAAAGATCTCGACGCGACGATCGACTTTAGCGGATAATTTTGCTATATTTGCTAGTATGGGTGTTCATTCATGGCATTATAATAGATGCAAAACTTATTCAAATATCGGCGTGTTTCTTAGATCTGCGTACCTTTTCCTTGTGCAGAGACGATGGAGCTGCTGCTGCTTCTGCTGCTCGGAATTGCAGTACTTTAAATGGCACTTTTGACACTCGGCAGAATGCTCACCAAAAACAACAATAACAACAGCAACAACAAAAACAAAGGACGATGGTTGACTCTCGTCAGTCAACCACGGGCAGCACGAGCGAGTATTTTTTTGTCGAAACAACGAATAAAACGCACCAAAATAACCGATTCTTGCTATTATCGCATGGGCAGATCGGTACCGCAGACCACCGGCTCGGTACTCGCGTACCTTTTTTCTCTATTGTTATTGCAAACGCGCTGCAAAAAGGCCCGTGTTTATTCAAAATACAACAGCGTACAGACGGTCGCGCGCGGCCGCGACGAATCGTTGTTGTATTATATATAATGGGAGCCGTGCTGCGTGCGTGCGACTCGGCGGCTTTCGTCGAACTACGCGCACGCACGAGGCGGCCAGCCAGCCAGCCGGAGCAGTAAAACAGCAACACAAGCGCGCCGAAGCTCGCGCGACGAGCTGCCAAAGACCGAGTTTGTGTATATGTTGTGTGTGTGAGTGTGTGTTATATCTTATAGCCAGCCAGCAGCAGCAACCTAGATCGCGCACACACATACGCGCGGCATGGGCTTCTACTGCCGCCGCCGCCACCGCCACCTCCACCTCTGCTTCTGCAGATGAGTCCGAGATCACCAGCTGAGCAGCGGCACGGCTCTGAACAATAATGATGATAATAACACAACGAGGTATAAGGTAGGCCTGCGTGCGAAATGTCGGCGTGTGTAGCTCTATACTCGTGCTCGGCATATGTAGAGGTATACACACGCGAACGAGCGAGCGGCGTGCCGATTATTTTTAGCGACTGTCGTCATGTGGACGGTATCCGATTGGCCGGCGATGACGACTTCAGCAGCGGCTCGCATTGGTCGCTCGTAGCGATTGGCTCGACCTGACGATGTCTCTCGCGCGATACATACGCTACTCATGTATTCCTCTCCGACGACGACGACGACGACGACGACGCTCCGAGGCATATGGACAGTGGAGTAGTTTTCTATATACACATGTGTATATGAGCCGCTGCCTTGCCGCACTCAAGGCGTGGGTGATGGATGGATCGCGTCTCGAGACTTTTATACGTATTGTATTGTGCGTACGCGTATAAGATTTGTTTATTGTACGTTAGGCGCGACGGACATCGACCGAGTTTGGTTTACTTTCAGAGATAAATCGTTATAGGGTGACGAGAAAAAATCGTTAAGCCCTTCGAAAGCTCGTTCGTCATTCACACCAATTCCATCGTACACTTCACGACACGAACTATTCGCGTCGATACGTACGAAAAATGCAGCTAGAGATTCCCTCTCACTCTCGATATCACGCGCGCTCGAGATTCCAAGAAATCCATTAAATTCCTCCTCGCGACGGCCTATCGTTGCTCATCGGATTCAAACGCGTACACAACAATAACGTGTATATCATTATAAAAAAAAACAGAGAGAAGAAGAAAAATCACACGCGCTATCTATTTATCGCGATATTGCATACAGACGCAAATCGATCGGCAATGGATAAAAGCTATGTGTTGCTGCTGCTGCTGCTGGCCGATCGAGCCGACAGTGTTTACGCTACATAATGGCCAATCATGAATTACGAAAATTACGATCCTGCCATTGAGTCACCACCCAGCAGCACATGGCACGTCTCTCTGTATTATATACGTATAATGGATATGCATTTTATTAAGCGGCAAAATGTGGGTACGTGCGTGCTACGACGCACGTGGAAAAAAGCCGCGGCTGCACTCCTCGAGTCAAGAGTCGTGCGTGCGGCTCCTCGCGCGCGCCCGTATACCTGCCCATACCTGCCATGTCAATCGGGTGCGTTATGAGCGCGGGGTCGATGATTCGATCTATGCTAAACAGCATACATCACGAGTATAAATGCGCGTCATGTAATAATATGTAAAAAGAAAGAGAGAATATTGCGACGCTCGAGAGGAGCACACACACATACCAATTCTAATAATCCATTATATTCAGCTATTGTAGTAATTATATGCCTATATAGCACGTGTATCGCGTCACGTATAGATCAGAGCTACGTTGCTGCTACTATCATAACGATCCCTTCGCTCGTGCATTTATATTAATATTATACACGCGCGCGCGGACGCATTCCTGAGGCATGCGACAATATTTGCACCCATCATAATGATATATCCTATCCGCTCTGACTGTGATATGGATTATAATATATTCGAGCCGATCTCTTGGCTCGACTTTCTCCCTCTCTCTTTCTCTCTCGCGTGTCGCTCGTTGCCTATTAATTTTATCTTTACAGCCGAAAAATGGCCCCGAAGCGCATAATCGCCGCCGCGCGATCGCTATCTCTCGCTGACCGGCCGAAGAATGATGTATGAGAGATATATTATATACCTACGTATGTGCCTTGTATACGACGTGCTTTTGAGCGAAGGAAAAGAGCTGTGCGTATATGGCGTTTCCTTCGCGTCCAAAGATTGGATTATTGCCTCGAGCTTCTTTTTCCATATAAAATATAAACGCGCGCGCGTATACGTTATTTGTATACATATCAAGCACGAGAACACAGTCGAGTAATTTGCATAATTCCGACTGTAACGCAATGTTATTCGACGAGAGAGAGATTGGAACGATCGCCTATATGTGTACGTAATATATAATAGGTCTCAACACCCCCTTTGGCCCCAGAACTGCTGCTGTTGCCGCTGCTGCTGTGTTGTTGTTGCCCATTTACATATAATTTCCTGCCTTCGACGTCTTGGCGAATGAAAGCGAATAATAATTTTGACCTTTTTTTGTACAAAAAATTATTATTTATTCATAATTCGTGGCTCTGTCTGTGTGTTTATAAAAATCTTTTCATATAAAATCATCTTAAAACTAAAAATCGTGTTTTTTAAAAACATTGGAGAGAGATGAAATGCATATTTCACATAAGCAATCAGCAATTTAATTACCCGCGAACGAGCGAATATTGCGTATACATAAAAAAAATTAAATAAATGGACGGTTACTCATCACGCGCCGCGATCGACACGCGTTTAACGATCTTCCAAGTGTGGAAGCACAGGTTTTTAGCTTAAAGCGCAATCATAATTATTTAATAATACTTTTATGAGTCTTTTCTTCTTATTCTTTTTTTTTTTTTAGCAGTAATTCATTTCCGAAGACGCTGCTGCTCGTCTCGTCTCTCGTCTAGTGATTGTTATTCTTAACGGCGACACTGCTCAGCGTGAACACCTCGTAATCGACGACGGAAAAATAATAATCTCCCATGAGTATCGAGGTCGAGGCGTTCTCGCCGTCGTAGCTGTGCGGCAGATTGCTGTAGCTGTCCATGTTGCTGTTGCAATTGTTGGCTATGAGCAGATCGGCCCCGGCGCCGAAAATCGGCCCGATGTCCGGATGATAGCAGATGGCGAACGGCTTCTTCACCACGTCGTACTTTGTTGGCGGCACGTCCTGATCGTTCACCAGCGTGAACAGGAACGCCTTGTCCGAGGGCATGTAGCTGTGGCCCTTGCTGCTGGCCTTGCCCCACGGTATGTCGCTGAAGCCGCCGCAGATTTCACCGCGTGTGCCTGTGGAAACGACGACGTACATTTCAATTTTACTACATTGTGTTATGGACTTTTGTCGATATTTTTCATAAAAATTGATAGAGAATCGTTACCTAGAGCAATGACGTAAGTCGGCGCGACACCGTCGCAGTGCCGATGAAAGGCGGACGCCGCGTATCCGTGAGACGAGGCTCGGTAAATCAATCGCCAGGACTGCTTGGGATTGCCGTACCATTGATTCAGCAGCCTTTGAAAACCCATTTTATCCTTGGCCAATATCTGAGATCCGGGAAATAGAAAAGGCCCGATGCGCGGTTGAAGCTTCTTGTCAGCAGCACACGCGTCTGGATTCTTGCTCTGAAGAGCTGCATATCTGTATCTCTCTAAAAGCAGCTCTATTGGTACAGCACCTGTGGGTTCCACTTCGTCAGCAAAAACTTGACTGTCTATGAGTAGCAGTCTGACGTGATTTATAACACCGGCTAGATGTTGACAGACCCTGGCTCTTTCTTCCTCAGTCCAGTGTTGCGTTGGCTGGGTTACACCAGCTTGATATTTAGCCCAATTCAGAACTGCTCGCCACACATCTTCCTCTTCCAGTCCTAAATAATCTGATGAGATAAGCTTGATCACTGCATCTTTAGGTAAACTACAAAAAGCATTGGTTTTTAATGTATCTATTGCATTTTCACCAATGTATGCAAAACAACGTTCAATAAATGAAACACAAGCTCCTTTACCACTGACAACTCTGTCTTGAGCCTCGAGAGCAGCATTGAGTAGTGTACAGGCATTAACTGGACTTAGGGTCACTGAGACATGTTCTTCGCAGCTGTGTCTGAGCTCTTCGACTCCTAGTTCTTGAGCTAAACTGAGCATTTCAAAGATACCGTTGTCTTGTAAAATTATTTGACCAGTGTAAATATAGGTGATAAACTGACGAAAGGTATCTGAATTGACATGAGGCATTCTTACAGTTGCTGGACTATTACCAATTCTTTTGGGAGCTGAAAAATTTTTACAACGTGCCTGCATAATGATTCGATGAGCATAAATAGGAGTTTCTTCTCTCCCAAGTAGAAATATGACATCTGATGAATCTTTGTCTTCGGAAAGGCGAGACAAATCTTCTAGTAAACGAATGACTCCAGAGTGATTTCCATCATTTGGCACAATAGATGTAGCAGTTGCACTGAGTCCTCTAGTACCCATTTTAAAGAAATTTAAATTTTATGAATGAAAATACAGCTAACCAATCTCACTATTCAAAGAAAAAATTAAATAAAATTATCGTTGATTTTAAAAATTGAAATATTTAACGTAAGACAGGGTGATTTTTTCTCTACTTGCAAAAGTGCACTCTTTATAAAACAAGCGAAACCGCACAAACACAATGAAAAAAGGTTAGGATGTTGGCTTTGTTTTTTTCTTTTTGCATTCTCACGCGACATTCTAGAAAAATTCGCAAGCTTCATTTTATTTTTTTTATGCTTTACATTAGCGTCTAACTTTTGAATATGACTCTTGTCAGTGATATTAATTTCTTCTTTCAATACGGCATTTACTGTTATCAAAAAATATACTGCATGTTTTGTAAACAAACATTTTTAAATTCGTACGATAAGTGCATTCTCAAACACCTGTTGAGTGCATCTCGATCGGTAAAGAAATTGCGATAAGGCTTATGAATGAAACGAAGACGTGTAATGTAAACTGTGTTTTTTTATTTATTCACAAAAATTAAACTGTAACATTTCAATGTAGGAAGCGTGCATAATAGTATAACACTTAAGTAACAAAAAAGAAGGTTTTTTCATTGTTATGCATGCGACGTGAAAAAATCTAAAATGGTAAATATTTAGCAGTGAAATTTATAAATTTCAACGCTCCCTTCTTAAAGATCATTTCCAATCTTCACAAATGAAGATACAGTGATAAGTGATTAAAAATCTCAGTCGAGAGAGTACAAAACTCTATTAGTTTGACTCAAGCAAGTTCTAATAATAATATTAATAATAATAATAGTACTAATAATAATAGGAAGCAAGCGTATTTATGAGTTGTGAATCAAAAACGATTCAATTGTTCAACTAGAGAAAAAAAATTATGCAAAGTTTGAATTATCAATACTTTCTAATGAAAATTTCGACAGAGAACATATGCTTGTCCTCCAGTTGCACGCCAAATTAAAGATCCAATAAAAATTAATTCAGATCAACTATAAAATTTGATACTGAGATAAATAAAGTACACATCGATTGTGTTAAAATTTTAGCCACGAAACAACATATTTTTCTAGAGAACATTAGAATTTTTAACATTCATTAAATATCAAAAGTTGAATTTGCGTGGCAACTTTTTTCTGCACTATTTTGATCATAAATAAACATACTTATACTAAACATTTTATACATATCACTCATCTATAATGAATTACTATTATACAAGAGAGAGATGAAGAAGGCAATTTACAGAGACTACTAAATTCAGAAGTGGTTTTATGATTTGTACTGTTTTTCGTCGGTATATTGACCGGCTTGAAAGCCGCATTGAGCGACAAGAGTATCACTAATACCTGGAATAAATGTCATAGTTATTGATCTTAGCTTTGATTCAAAAGTATTGACAATTTTTAAACCAATCTCAAAATCGATAACTTTGAATTTGTCCAATAATATTTCCTAATAAGACTCGAAAATAACGTTTCGATTTGTTTTTGGATGGCGCATAAAAAATATGCATTTAGGCTATGACACACTCTCGCACTTCTGTGCATTGCTGGTCAACTACTTGACGCGCTTGTTACTTAAATTACTATTATTTAAAAAACAAACGGTAACCATAGAAAGTCTCAGATTTCAATTAGAAACTAATAGTAGATACATTAAGAAATGTTATTCATACAAAAATACTCTTCGCACTTTTTACATGGTATATCTGTCTTTTCCTTAATAAATCGATATACTTAAAAAATACATTACGGTATAACGTTGGTGCGTGAAAAAAAATTATGCGTATTAATTATATGGCGCGAGTTAGATCCCGTCATTATTTGGTTTTCAAGGCACATAGGTTATCGTTACAAAGATCGCGCATTCATGAATAACCGCCGGCGAGGTACCGATGGGAATAAAAGTTTAGTTCTATTTAAACGCTGGGCCCTAGATCATGCAATGTTACCATGAACTCGAAATCTGTATAAGCATGTGTAATCTAGCTGCCCATGATTGCTGTGTATCCTTAACTCGACGTACTCATATGGCCAAGTGATAGACGTATTCTGTAATGAGTATGTTAATTTTTACTACTCATTTTATTCTGTAATAAAAATTTGGAATAAATTACTCACTTGTACAGGGAAATATTGAAGACTATCATTGGAATCTACAAATTCATATTCTCCAAACATGACGGGCTCTGCATCGTGCTCAGATGTCAAACCCTGTACAAAAAATTATCAATTCAATACCAATAATAATATTTTACACAATAAAATATTTTAATTTTAAATCTTACCCAAACATTAAATTTCTTTGGTGCACTCTTCATTTCTCCATTAGGGAGATTAGCTTTGGGAGCGTGCTCAAGAGTAAACCCAGTAACGAAAATTGGGCTACGTAATTTGATTAATAAGTAACCGGGAAAATCTTGGAAAGCCCAGCACATTCCTGGTTGTAGGGTGTTTCCTTGAATAACCGTACGTGGGTTGTTACTTTCGTAGTACAACGTTAGACCCAAGATCTTGAAGGCACGCGTATGCATATTGTAACGCTGCGTACAACGAGTACTTATTACCTGACCACCTAAAAAATTGTTGTTTAATAATATAATTGAAAACTTTTTAGTACTCATTACATTTTCTTTCTCCTTACCTGCTGATTCCAAAGCAAAATCAACTTTACCGGTCTTGTCAGCATCGTAAATTTTTAGAATTCCCAAGACAATTCGTCTGATTTCATCGATACCTAAAGCTGTATTTTCAGGATCAGCAACAGAATTCGATTCTTCTTGTTGAATTTTCGAATTCATGATTTGGAATATCCTGACTATATCGTGTTTAGAAATTGAATCACCAAAGTAACCAGTGAAAACTTCGTCAGCTTGACGTTTAATGTCTTCTTCATTGATCTTTGTCGCCGATGACTCGCAACAAGTCTTCAATTGCATGAATAGACTTTTCATATTTTCGAGTTCTACTTTCATACTTGCGATTTCTTCACTTTTGTAGCGATTACTATCACTCGATTCATCTACTTCTTGCTTCAGATTTGATAATTTACTCTGAGAATAGAAAATATTGATTAAATCATATTATTTTTATTTTATAGTTTAAAATATAAATAAATAATGCAAGTTACTTCATAGAGCTTCCAGTACTCGCTGTTGCCATTTTTGAGATTATTGACAGCTTCATCGACGTCAACTAGTTGATTCTATAAACCATACAATAATTTTACATTTCTCGACCCCTTAATTCATGTGACTCATGAATATAACTTACATATTGTCGAGTAGAGTTGGTTTCTAATTCATGTACTCTGGTAATAAGTTGTTCGACGATTCTCTTTAACTCCAAATTTGATTCAACATTTCTCTGATGGCTCTGACTACTAAATATTTCAGGTGTATCAGCCTTTTGCTTCCACCACGAAAAGTTTTCAGTCGAAAATGAAAACATGGCTAAAGAGTGCGGCAAAAACCAACAACCTAGAAGAAGCATAAGAAGTACATTACATTATAGACGCTTTAAAAGCGTATTATGCAATAGCAACATTGTAATATTATGTGTGCTAATCACCATGAGCGTGGATTGTTGATATTTAATTTAAAAAAATAAAAAAAATAAAAAATAAATAAGTGTAATTTGTAAGGCGAGAGAGAAGGATAGACGAAGCTTTTATTTGACAAAAACAGTAGAACTCACCGTATACAACGTCCTTATATCGCCTATAGCTCGTCATCATCCCCTCACTACTCTCTCGACTGAGATATATTTTACATCTAACTCATCTATCTTTCTATCCTTCTCCCGTCAATTAATTCACTGCGAAACGTATGTTTACTTTGCGAAAAAACCTTCGATTTACATTTCAACGAAAATTGTAAAGCACCGTATTTGAGAAAAAAAATATAACAAATTTTCAGTTTACTATGAAAAACTCTAATAGCAATGCCCATGGGTGAGTATAAGCAAGTTCAAGCGGTTAGCACACACACATATAATAAGTAACCATTTATATAATTCAACCTACGAGGTTGATGCAGACTAGTATAGTGTACTGCCATGTTATAAGTCATCAAATTATTTGAAAATCGTTTTTTGGCAGAAGTTTATAAGAGCAAAATTTTGCAAGTATAGTACGTAATTTCGTAAATCTAAGTATATATGATTTCTATTTGAATTAAATCATAAGTTCTCTTTAAATAATTCATAATACTTTTTTTAAAGGCATTTTCAATTTTTTGTACTCTTTAGTTCACAAGCTAGCCTTAATTTTCTTACACAATATAAGTAATTTTTTTTATAGATCATTGTTAGTTCTAATTTAATTTAAGGCACATAATATTCGTGTACTTGACATGATAAATGCAAAATAAATAAATGTTAATACACAAAAAGCTCACAACACAAAATAAACCCTGTGTCACACTAATAAGTGAAATGTACGATAATCCAAAACCAATAAAATTTATACTATAACACTGACGAAATATTAGTAAAAAAAAAAAAGAAGAAAAAAACACCGAAAAATAAAAACGAAAAAGGTTATAATTAGTAGAATCAAAAAAATTATAAATAAATAAAACAAGAATAATTAATTTCAATTCCAGTTAAACTCAAAATGAGGAAATGGGATGGTCACATTCTCAAATAAAGGCAATGAGGACAAATCAATGTTTTTCATGGTCAACATATACTTAAAAAATGATAATTCGTAATCGAAAAGTGACAAATCAGCTTCGTCTGAAGGTATATCGCGATCGTTTCGCAGGTAATTTAGACATGTAATAAAGTGCTTATGTGCAAGGTAAGCGCCTGAAACACAAAAGTACAGAAAAAAGGAATGACCGAAACTCTATAGAATAGAAATAAAAAAATTGAGCTTATAATTGTAGGTATTATGAATGCACAATTGTTACGAAACTGAAAAATAAGAATGTATGAATTGTGCAGTAAGATACGTCAAATATTGAAAAAAGTCTATAATGTCATATAAATTTTGTTGAACTAAGTAATGATTATTTACCTTACTACGGTAATTATCAAATGTGTATTTTTCGAAATTCCTTACCTATAACGCAAAGAAGCGGAAGAAGTACGAGCCAAAGTATTTTTGAACGTCGGCCTTGAGCTCGTTGGCGAATATTGGTAGCTTTGCTGAGGAGCCACGTGTCGAGAAGCATAACGTTGACGAGTGTCAAATAGACTTGACGAAAACTACTGCCTATCCAGCTTTTCACTTTCTGCCATTTTGTTTCTAAAATGTTAATCGATATTCACACCCAACTGTGCTAATTATTCTTTTATTTTTTTCATTCATAGATTGACAAAACGAACCTTCGTAACGCCGATAAGAGTGACTAGTATATGATGAATACTGACTCTGCTTCCTTAAGTATCCAAAAGTTACGAAATGAAATACAGCTGATATACACGTCCAAATGAAGCTGACGAACGTCGATATTTTACTGCTTTGTCGTACGGAATCGAGTTCGTCCATTTCAGTATCCGAATCTAAATTATTACTGATTCGGGATCGACTATGCGAGCTCAGCAAGGGAGTCGCCCAGGCTTCATATCTGCAAACGAATTTCTCAATGAATACCTCTCAATGATGTAAAAAGAATATGATTTACCTTTCATTAATTTTATTATCGTTAATAGAGTTGTTAAGACTGTAATCGCGTCTGATCGACGAGTACTCCATGGTTTTTTTGTAGGACACGGAGAACTGATCAGTATTTTTCGATTTTGAATTATTAAGATTAGCAGCTATATTATTTTCTTCCATCGAGCTATCTTTCAGCGAAGATTGACTATTGCTGAGAAAACTATTATTGCCTTCTGAGTGCAGAGAGCAGCGTGACATATTCGGTCTGGCCATTACTCCCGGTGCAACTTCATAGCGGCATTTGGAAGTCTTCGAGTATGTGTAATCGGTTTTTGGAAACTTACTGCAAAAGAGTTAATTAAATCGTCAATTATTTTCACGGATATCGCGAAATATTGGCTTGATTAATCACTATTTCTGTCACGATTGTTATGAAATGCGAAACGTGCGAGCAGATTTACTCTATTTTGAAAGAACGCTTAGATCGTGTATAGTATAGTATCGTATAGTGTAGCTACTGTAGATTGGTCGAACGATAAATTTTATTGTGTACACTTCGGGTGTTTGTTTACGAAAAATTCTGGGCGATTCAAATATTTTTATCGATAAATTTTTGAAATATTTGTTTAACTTTTAATATTAATTTTCAATGGCGTCTCATTGTGTCGCAATTTCAATTATTTTTATCGATTTTCAATACAAATATTCTATTTTTTTATAAATTAAAGTTTTAGTAAGATATTTATTTACAACATGGAATATTCTTGCTACGGTATTTAATAAAGAGTTAAGTGTATGTATTTATAGGATTAATGTTAGAATTATAAAAAACTTACTTCCAATAATCAGGGTGTTGCTTATAAAATTCATAAGCAGAATTTGCAGAACTTGACTTAGATACCTCTTCTTTTTCACCTTCTTCAGATGAATAATCACTCGTTATAATTCTTTTGCGGGTTTTACTCTTTGTACCAGATTGTGAATCTAAAGAACCATCTTTATTTTCACTTTGTCCATTCAAAAGTAATTGTTTTTTAACTTTTTGACTTTCAGAGCGTCGTTCACTTTTCCTAGTACTTTTAGTCACTGTTTTTTCTATAGTACTAATTGGTTCAATAGTTGTATTGTCATTTGCATCAGACGAAAAACTATTTGTTATTGTGTCATTGATTGGTGAATTTTCAACAATAATGTCCATATTTTTTACCCTATTTTTTACAACTGAACCAGGCCTGTAAGTATAAGACTTGTTTATTAAACATTCAACTTTTTAATGTCAAGTATACACAAGTATGTTTGTATCAAATGCGTAATCAAATAAGCTTGCTTAGTCATTGCATTAATGTAACCAAGAAATGAAATCTGATATATACGTAGTTACTAAATCAAGTTTCAGCCTTCAAAATATTTATCAATGAAACAAAGTTTACAACATAATACAAATTACTTTGTGCACACTTGAATTTCAGATTGTAAAGGTATAACTTACAGTGATCTAGATGATGATCTTCTGCTGTCAAGTTCTGCGGGTGTCATAGACCTTTCTCTACTGCTACGCCTTCTCAAATCATAGCGAGGTTCTGAACCATCTTCGCTTCTATTCGAAAAGAGATTTGGAGTCTCTGATCTAGATCTACTCCGGCTTCTTAAATCATAAACCTTCTCTGGCTCCATGCTGCTTTCTTTACTGACACTCCTCCTTTTCTGCAAAAAGGAAAAAAGGGTTTCAGTAGCTGTGCGTAATAAAAGCTAAAAATATCACAGTATGAGTGAGAAAGTTGGGGTAAAGAAAAGGAGAAGAAGTCCCCTGGATTACTAAAATTGGAAGCATGAGCCGGGTCACCCCGTAGCCCCGTACCAGTGCGCTCGGTATAACCTCGGGCAACAAATAACGTCTCGCGAAATTGAAAAGGCAAATATTTCCTTAAACAAATTTATTTAAACATTTCTGAGGGTTAATCTTACGACTCTTTTAAGAGGTTTCGCTATTTACAACTTTGTGCGGCAAAGGCGATTATCTCTCTCTCTTTCCGAAGGTTTAGTAAATATACACACGCTCGGACGCAACTATAATAACACGTGTAATTGCAAAATATTCTTCATACGCGAATGTCAATCACAACTAACCATTTTGAATGCTATGCGCTAAACAAATTTTATGAAACGACAGCCTTGACGCGTTCTTTGCTGCGATGCTTTTTGAGGAAGACACACATAGAAAGTACAATCGGCCTCGCCTTCCGTTGTACGCAGCTCCTATCTTATAATACGTAAAACTCCTATTATCGCTGCTGCTGTATGCGTCGACTGGCGAGCCAGACCGTACCAACGGCCATTCGATCTCACGCGTGTGCGTAAATGTATACACACGCACAAATACACACTTTCTCGCGAATTATAACATTGTGCAGGGGGCCCGCAAAAGCAACTGCCCAACAGGAGTTGAGTCAAGAATTTACGCGCGAAAGAATAACACACGGACGAAAAGAGGGGAACACGCGATTGCCATGCCTGTGCGTGCAATGTGTGTGCTGCTACTGTATCTCATCATCATCATCGTACGAAGCGTATAGTGTACGATCGCGCGAGTGCGATTATCATTTATTTCTTATAGGGGGGTGCGCCTCACAGCAAGCTGTTCGCAGCTGATGGGAAAAATTTTGCGGAAAATCGATGGGACGTGAGTCACACTGTGAAAATTTAGGTGTGTTTCTACGCCCGTACGGCGAAACGTGGGTGTTACTTGTAAGGGTTCGGTAGAACTGCGCCAACAATGAAATGAGTTCTGCTAATAACGGAGCAAACTTCGGAGTTCGAGGACTGATGACCTCTATTTGGCGCTTCAAAATACTACGAGAGATAATTACACAAAACTTTTTTTGTTTTTACAGAGCGACAGGTGCTTGTTTTGACAAAATGCTTATTTCCTATTGTGTGTACGTGTGTGTTCATTAAAATACATTTCAATAACTGTGTTTTTGGCCCATGTTTGTTTTTTTTTTCGAGTGTACTCGAACACGCACAATGCGCATCATCGCCAAAAGCAATCAATGTTACAGCAGTAGGTTCAATGTGTAAACACAGGCAACAGTAAACACTCGTGCATGTTTCCAGCTGACGTCATTTTTTTTGCATCTTCGTTACGCATGCACGCATGCACGAGGAGCAATGACATCACAGCTGGCAGCAGCAGGACATAATACTTGACAAAAGTGAACGTAAATCCCCGCGGCGCGGTATATCGTAAAACGTTCGAGATTGTATAAGTCCCGCGTCGAGTACATAAACGCAATAATTTGCCGTTCTTCGATGACTCCATTTGACTGCCGGTCGAAAATTAGACGACTGTCGCCGAAGAAAATGATAAAGATCTCTCCGCGTGGAAGCTGTACCGCAGAGAAAAAAAATAGCTTAGCTCGTGCGCGCGATAATTTAAAAGGTAAATACGGAGTACAGATAAAATAATAAATACCGTCGAGGCGAACGGGCACGAGCGAAGTCTCGAGCTTGTATAAGAATCTATATACGTATAAAGGCGGATCCGATGCTCTATCCGATTAAAAGCTTTTAATTAGTCTGCGGGACAACGTTGTATAAAGCGTTCGGTTGATCGTGTGTACCGCGCGGCTCGAGTTCGCTTCGTATCTACTATATCGCCCAGTTTACAATTGCCTTTTGCCAACATCAAAGGGGAGAAGCCGGCGAAAGAGTTTTTCACTCGAGCTAATTGCTTTATCGGAAATTCTCCGGGAAAACAAATATAATTCGTTGGAAAATAAAAAATGGAAATGGCAGCCGATTCCCCCTCGGATTAATCGATGATAATCTAATGAAACGATACAAAATGCAATTAATGGAAATTCAAGATCGGAGCGAGCAATTTAATTCGCTTTGTTGGAAAATTTCAAACTTTTTATACATTTCGGAGCCGTTGCGGCAACGCAATTATACAAAAGGCAGAAACGCTATCTCTGACCTTTACACAATATACCGAGTGAGAGAGATAGCGAGAGAGAGTGAGTGAGAACGAGCGAGCAACAGTACATATATTCTGCCTGCATGGGCATTGTGCGCCCACCGCAGAGAAAGAAATGAGAAGAGGACGTGGTGAGTAAAGGGTACACCACAATGCACGCACACACATGTACATTACATATCCGGAGACGTGTGTGCACCGTACGTGAATGTATGCACACAAAAAAGAAGCAGTAAAGTAAAAGAAAATGACTTAAGTCGCGCCCTCCGCTTAGCTCGGCTGCAGCTCGCGCGCGAGAGCATAAAAGTCATACGTATATCCGACTCCGCTGTTGCTGCTGCTGTTGCTACTGCTGCAGTGACTCTCGCTTTGCAGGCAAGCAATATATGAGTGTATGCACGCACACGGGTATAACTTTTCAAGCGTAAAGAACCGCTCGTAGTCGTCGTCGTCTTCGCAATAGTGCGATAATGTAACACAGATGAAAGAAAAAAAAACGAGAAGTAAAATCACGCTTTCGATAGTGTTTTATTTCATTGCGAAATTATACGGCACCGAGGAGGGCAAGAGTTAGAAAGAGAGAGAGAGACAGAGAGAGAGAAAAAACTGATTCGCATAGTTTACAGAGTTCAAGTATGCGTATTACCTCTATTAATAGCGCCGCGGCACACTCTTGTTGCTTTGCGTGTGTATTAGCGCGCGATTAAACTGCCGTGATGTGTGCACCACGAATTGCAGCTCTGCACGACGATACGCGCAGCTACACATGCATATTATAATTACGATGTATAAAAATCACACGCACAATGCACATAGAAAATAGGCACGACAGGATGTCTGTCGCCGATTACTGTGTATCGAACTGAGCGAGAAATTTTATAATAATTGTTCGGCTCGAGTAGACCGGGTGCGGGTGCTCTGTGATCACACTCGACGATTGTTCTCCTCGGTGTTTTTTTTTTTTATGACGTACTTATTATTATTGCTCACACGTGCACCAGCTCGAGCGTGTAATTAAACAGGCCGCATCGATTCAACACACGATGATTACCGCCCGACTTTTGTCTCTTTATCACTGCTGCATCTCATATAGGTTCACACTTATATATTACGAGCTCGAGCGAGCTCCGAGAGATGCACACGATGATTGATATATGTTTTATGTAACGACGAGCTGCATCCGATGCTGAGCAGATTCGACGCAAAACTGCGCGAGCTGTGCGAGACAGCCGCTAGTACTGGGAGCTTTTTTTGATCCCGCTGCGTGGTTTCGCTGTGCGGCCGCGCCGGGGCGCTACTCGACAGGCGGTCTCGCGCGTTTGTTTACATTTTCAGCACACGGAGTGGCTGATTTCAAATTTTCTTTCTGCTCCCTCTCTCACGTTGTTACATTGCGGCACATGTTTTGACGCGTCTGTCTTTGATGTTTCCGTAATATTGCCAAAGTCAACTGTTTTTTTCGGTGATTTTAGCTCTTTTTTTCTTATCAAGACCTCAATGTTTTGAAAGGGAGAAAATGTTTAAACCCGTGCTTCCACTTTATTACGCAAGAATATTCCCGTTCGATGAGATCCACCGTTGGCTGAGCTACGGTGAAGGTAAATTGCAGCCTGTGATTTACGCCTAAAGGTATGACAGGGAGAAATTCAACCGGTATGAACCTGTTACATTTTGGTTTGCAGATGAATTATTCCTCAACCGAGAGTTCGCTTTGAATTTCGATGGAGAGCGATTTTTGAGGTATCAATTTTACAAGGATGCAGCGCACTTGAAGCGAGAAATCAAATCTCTTCGGCCTACTAAAATCGACATTGGCGCTATTTACAACAAACCGTAATTTATTTTTTAACGACAACCAAATCGATAAGGTAAAATTATTTTCATGCTACTTTTTATTTACAGTCCCAAAAAACTTGATCGTGAGTCGATTTTTCCTGTGAACAAAGAATTCATAATTGATATTGATATTACTGACTATGATGATGTGAGGACATGCTGCTCTGAAGCAAACATTTGCAATAAATGTTGGAAATTTATGGCTTTAGCGATGCAAATCCTTGATGAAGCATTTAGAGGTAAACTATAATTCAAGTATAATTTTGCAAAAAAATTGTTCACAAAAAGTTGAATATTATAAATTTTTTTATTTTAGAGGATTTTGGATTTCAACATATATTATGGACGTTTTCTGGAAGGAGAGGGGTTCACTGTTGGGTGTGCGATGAGAGTGCTAGACAATTAAAAAAGCAAACTAGATTTAGTGTCGCTAGTTATTTGCAAGTTGTCACTGGAGGTGTATATAGAAAGAAAAAGGTTGATCTCAAAGAGCCCATTCATCCTTTTGTTAGGTAAAACAAAATTAAAATTATGAAAAATTTTGGACCATTCTAAATTTAAGCTTTATTTTTTCCAGGAGAGTACTTGATAGAGTTCAATCAATTTTCATAGATATGTGCGTTATAGAACAAAATATATTGGGTACCAATGAAATGGTATCAAAATTTTTAGAAATTTTAAACAATCTCAGCATGCGTACTGAAGTGCACAGTATCTTCAAAAAATATACAACCAGTTTAGAACGATGGTTGGCATTTGTTGAGTGTTTCAGAACTAAAATCAACAATGTTTGTATAAAACCTTTTATTCATTGAAAATAATATTTTAAAATTTAATATTATGAATATTTTTTAGGGTTCTGAAGAATGGAATGAGTTTCCATTTTTAATTGAAGAAATTATGTTGCAGTATACTTATCCAAGATTAGATATAAATGTTACTTTAGGATTGACACATTTATTAAAATCCCCTTTTAGTGTCCATCCTGATACAGGCAAAATAGGCATTCCTTTAGATATTAAAACAATAGAAAATTTTGATATTAAGTTGGTGCCAAATGTCTTTGATATATTTGATCAAGTTGATGCATATGATTTAAAAGCAAAGAATCAAGATATGGCTGGTCAAGTAAATAAAAAAGTGTCAGAAATCGAAAAAACAAATCTAAATCAGTATTTAAAAATATTTCGTGAATTCATTGATGAACTTGAAAAAGACAAAACAGAAAAAGAAATGAAAGAAGAAATTATTACAGAAAGCCAAGGACTTAATGACGAATACTTATTAGATACCTAATGAGCTATTCATTTCGTCATTTATACTTTCTTAGTTTTTAAGTGTTATAAAAATTTAAACCAGATTAATATTTTAAGAATTAATTTGCGTTGTTATAAAGTGTTATGAAAAAAACATTGAAAAATTGAAATATTAATAGACCTATGGTCGAGTAATACGATCTCTTGTTTGAATACGATCGTTTTAACTTTGAAGACAAATTGTTCGACTCGAGAAATGACGCGCTGAGAAGTATAAATTTATATATTAAGAGTATAAAAAAAAAATTAAGTCGCCGGTATTATACAGTTACGTGTATGGAATTATAAAAAGCTGTGATAACTTCCTTCCGCGGTGCGTTGCACAATACGTTCGTCGAATTAGTATGTATTTTGTGTCCACCACGATTGTAACAATATGTAATAAAATATTTTTACAATAATTTTTTAACGTATAACTTCTATTGATGTATTAGATGAATAAGTCATGCGTGTGGGACACTGGGGAAACGAATTTTTCGTTTTTGTCTCACGAGCTAGACATACTCGTTAGATGCGGTTTGGATTGCGGTTAATTTTTTCTTGCATGAACCTTTGATAGAAGATGTTTCATGGCCAAGGCTCAGCGTAATAATAGACCGTACGTTTTATTCGAAATAATATGGTTGCACATGACGTCACCGTTTAATTTATTCGACTAACAACACGTTCCACAGACGCACGTGCGATCGACGACTTTCTTTCTCACATAAAATTGTCGCATTTCCTTAAAAGTAGCAAGCATCAATAATTTATGAGATATTTTTTTTTCAGTTTCTGTTAATTCAATTTTTATTTGGATTAAATTTTCAATAATACGTATAGATTTATACACCTTTGCAAAAATATATTCATCAAGTCTTTCTTTTTTGAATTTGTTTTTTCTTTGTTTTTAATGTAAGAGTTAAGATATGTATGCATACTTGTATACATTAACAATTATCCGAACATTATCAACAAACAAGAACAATTATTATCAAACGAAATCGGAGAACAAGTGTGCCAAGGGTAACGAATAATATATCCGTGAGTACAACTAATTTTTTTTTAAATCCTCTCGTGAGTGACTAATTGATTCACACACGCTTCAATTATTTTTTTTTTTGGTAAACTTTATCACTTCAAACTTCTTCAAGTCATTTTCAAATTCACTAAATCTTCGGATGTCAAATAACTGAAGATTTGGCTTGTCACTATATCCGGTAAAACGTAAGGTCTCACCAGCCAACTGAAGACTACCAGTGAGGGCTCGATCAAACGTCTCCGACTCTCCGCCTTGTGGAATCTTTCTTTCAACATGGAATAGTAGATTGGGAATTCGTTTGCAAAAACATTGGAATGTAGTAATCTTAACAGATCCTGATTTTTGGTATATCCTACAATAATGTCCATACTTTTCGTAAGTACTTTGAAAAGCGATATGTTATCACAGATATTAGGCTTCATTCTCGACAGCTCCTTCAGACAGTTCCTGAAGAATACGCTCAATTTTTCATCGTTGTTTATCATGCGCAGGTTTTCCTCGCTGATTTTCGGCATTTTGGCAATGTGTTTGATGAGTAATTCGAATATATTATCGTCACAACCGATATCAGTGTGTATGGGACAGAACCCGTTCCACGGATTGTAGATGCTTCTCATGTAGGCGACTTCGAACGCCAGCGACAATGGCGTTTTGCCGCTTCTGTCGATCGCATTAACGTCCGCGTTATATTCTAGTAAAACTTTGATCATGTTCTCATCCTCGACTGCGACTGCGACATGCAGGGACAATTTTCCATCGTTCGTACGATCGTCGATGCGGGCCCCTCGATCCAATAACAACTTGACAATGTTCTTATTGCTGTATTGTATGGCAAAGTGTAAGGAACTTTTTCCGTCGTGATTCTTTTTATTTACATTGGCTCCGTACTTGAGAAACAATCGTACCAATTTTTCGTTTCCGTTGATTATTGCAAAGTGAAAAGCTGTTTCACCTGCCATAGTGTCGTCGTTCACGTCAGCGCCTTTGTCGACTAAAAGTTTTACAATTCGATCCATTGTTCTTTCATCCAGATAATTTAATCTGGCTGCGATATGCAAAGGTGTATTTCCGTAAATATCTTTGGCATTGACATCGGCTCCATAGTCTAATAATAATTGTACATTTTTTTCGGCTCGTTGTGTTATTGCTTCGTGCAGCGGCGTTATGCCGTGATTAGTTTTACTATTAACTATAGTGGCTTCGTGCTTCAGCAGCAATTTGGCAATTTTTGTGTTTTCGAATTCTATGGCAAAGAAAAGAGGGCACTTGCCATCACGATTTTTTGCGTTAACGTTAGCTCCATATTGTAAAAATAGAGTTAATAATTCTCTGCTACCATTCATGATGGCATAGTGCAGGGCAGTTTCTCCAGAATCTGTGCATTCATTCAGCAAAGCCTGTATACAAATCATTGATTTATTAACACTGATTTTTAAGTTTGATAAACTAGTGTTAAACTTTTTGATCAATACAAACCTTTGAATCAGGCCCAGTGTCCAAAAGTAGTTTAGCAATTCTCAGCATTTTCCTTTCATCTCTATAATTAACACAAGCAGCTAAATGCAGTGGTGTCTTACCAAATAAATCCTTAGAATCTACTCTTGCACCACAATCCAGCAGCAGCTTGACATTATTTTCCTTTCCAGATTGCACAGCCATATGAAGGGGAGTAAAACCGTCCAGTCGAGCATCATTGATAACTGCTCCAGCATTAAGAAGTATCTCAACAATGCTTTTGTCTGTGGAAACTACTGCAAAGTGCAGAGGACTATTGCCCTCTAGATCTTTGATATTAACATCTTGAGGTGTAAGGCAGCTTGTAAAAGGCAATTTGAAAGACATTGGAAAATTTCTAATGATATGACTATTGTGCTGATCTACTTCTGCCATGATTCTGAGGTTGATATTTTTTCATTAGGGCCAACAATCTTCACCACCTACAAGAACATAACGTAAATAAAAGATTTTCTTTTTACAATATAGTGATAAATTAATGACACATCATAGTCCGCAATAATAATTTTTATATAACATTCCGGTAAAAATGTGTTAGCGTGAGTCATACTTGCATTTTCACATCGAGATTTTGCGTCAAAATTTTTAATGAGTAGAACAAAAAATATGCAAATTACTTCAATTGATCCGACTCAAAACTCAAAAAAATGCATTATTATTTTCTTAAAACGATTTATTTTCTTTTTTCGTGAGAGTAAAGTAGATCAATAAAATTGATAATATTTCATCCGTCGCAATCGCTGCTAGGATCAATATCAAGCCCCGCGCGATTGATAAAGAACGTTTGGAGCAGATTTTCAATCGTGCATTATAAAATCAAATTGGTCGAAAACACTATCGTTACCTTGAATATCTTCGCTTTATGCCTTTCAAATGCGATTTTCTTCAATCGAATTCAGCTGCATCTCACGTTTTCGAATCTGTTTATTTTGATCGCTATATGATCCACTTTAACTTTGACACGTCTCTATGTTACATTCATGTTTACCTTCAGCGCTCGACTACGACTCTGACACTGCAGCGAATGCACTGAGCGCAGGTTAACGTATCAGCTGATTTCTGGGGAAAAATGCACATTACGCGCAGATGCAACATATGTGGCTGATATTTTTTGTCTCCAGCGGAGTCGCTCATGCACGTAGCTCGAAATATTATTCCGAGCGTGTTAACATATCATAAATTTGTGCTTATCCTGAAATGAAAAAAGGAAAATCAACAATTAATTATCAATTTTATAAGTGATAATATTCAATTTCACAGCAAAAGTACAATAGTTCTTACCCCTGGAAAGTTCTTTTCGACACGCGAAAATCAGGAGTTTAGATTAAGGATGAGTGCAGGGAACAAAGTAGTTCAAGGTCGTCGAATACGTAGGTGATTTTGAAAATGATATAGATATATAGAAGACTAGCTGAAGGCAAAGGGTGCAGACCCTACGATATCGATTTTACATGTACGTGAAAATATCAATATAGCCCGAACATATCAAGGATTGATAAAGATTTACAAGAATTACATCGATTAATATACGTCACGCAAAAATGATGTTTTAATGAGCGGACGCTTTTTACAAAAATTATCTAAAAAAAAAAATTAAGTGAAAAGTCGTTTTGAACGACATACTTGTTAGAAAATCTATCATGAGCTTTAAATTTTTTACAGACTGTAATTTTCAGCAAAGTAAAAATCTAATTGCAACATTAATTAAAGAAACTGAAAGTGTTTTATCAACAATTATAACACAATTTTCCAAATTATAGTACTAATTTAATACTTACTTAATACAAAATATACTCCACTTTTATTATACTAAAATATAAAACTTATATCAAGAGCAATAATACATTGTATTATTTCATTTGTACTTCATATCACATTTTTCATTTGTAGTAAAAGAATATCCCAAGTTTAAAATATCACAATTCAAGCTGTTGCCGATTTTTACAAACTGAAACTGAAAGAAATCAAGATTTTACATCAAAAATATCATCTTTTATAAAGAAAGAGTAAACATTTTATAAAAGTAGTTCAACAAACCTAAATATTTTTTTCCAGCATCCATAATTCTTTGAATCAGAGCTACATGATCCAATATTTTATCTCCATGATCACTTGCCACATGAGATTTCATTTTATTCAAACTACTTGTACAAAATGTACATAATTCACACTTTAAATAATCAATTTGACAAAGTATTTTATGAACTTTGAGTTGATTTTCACTTTCATATTTTCTTAAACACTTTCCACATTGATAGTCTTCAGAAACACTGCTGAGTAGCGGTGTCTTTTTATGCATAACACTTATATGAATTTTTACACCATGTTCTGAATGTGCTTGGTATGGACACATACTGCATTTAAATTTGCTACCATCGATTGTTGGAATATTGGAATTTTCTCCTAACATTTCATAAAGAAAGAATAAATATTAATAAATTGCATACAATTTAATATAACAATTATTTAATTTTACCATTACTTGTTGATGTATTGTCTAGTTCAAGTGCAGTTTCCATTTTTTTGGTATACAAACAGTACTCCAAAGGAATCATTTTTTGGCTTTCAACTTTTTCTCTCACAAACGACTTATTCATTTGTCTGAATAACTGAATTCCACAAACATTACAGTAATGAGGTTCTAGACCCTTCCATTTTACATATACTTTACAAGCTGTACAGTAAAATGGAATATGAGCATCTGGGTGATTTTGGGCATTTATTTCATTATCTATAATATTCAATAATATAGAAAAGTTAATTTTTTTATAATACTTTTGCTTTATAAAAAAGTATCAATAATTATACTTACTCTGGATTTTATCTAAAATTTTGTTCAGTTTTTTTTTATCTATTATAATATGCTCTTTCATAAGATGATACTTCATTTTGAGAAATTTTTTAGTACTATAGGAACAAAGAGTACATTTTAAAATTGGTTCTTGAATGACAACGTGTTCTTGATACAAATCTTTTTCAGTATCATCACCAGAACTATTGCAATTAACAACCTCTTGTTTTTCTATTTTTTCAGTTTCTTCATTTGTAAAGTTGGAAAAATATTCTTTGAGTGACTGATTGGATGATTCTGTATTTTCATTTTTAGATAATTGTGTATCATTTGTATGAATATTAGTCACTTCTTCTTTATGTACAGTGCCTTTTTGAAGAATTATACAAGGTTCTATAAAAAAAAGCAATAATTATTGAAAGATTAACATTAAAAAAAATTATTAGAAATTTACCTTGGAAATAATTTCCTTCTTCAGTAATACACTTGTATACTCGGTTATGCCATTCTTGAAAGGCTTTGTCAAATTCTTCTGGATCTATTGATTCTAATAAGACTCTTACTTCAGAACAGATATTGTGAGGACTCATATTTTCTATTCTTTTTTGAATTTTTGGTATTAAAAAAAAATCCATTGGTACCAAATCGGGTGAATTTGGTGGATAATGTAATACCTCTATACCGCTTTTTAAAAGCAAATCATTTACTATGGAAGCTGAGTGCGCTTGTGTCATATCATGATGTAATATCCAATTTGTAATTTTTTTTTTGTTCGCTTTAGCTATTAGTCTGTTTAAAACTTCACAATAAAACTCAGCATCAACTTTGGTGTTTCTAGGTACAAATTCCATATGAACTAACTCTTTATTGTTGAAAAATACTATCAAAAGTACTTTTGAATGTGATCTGCCATTAAGTGATTTTGTAGTATGCAACCAGACCTCATCCCCTGTAATTATACGATTGAGCATATTTGGATTTTTGTCCCAACATCGTCTGAAGTACAGACTTTCTTCTAGTCTTCTGTCCATCTCGTATGAGCTAAGTTTCTTCGGTACTAATCTGCCACACAAATATCCCAGTTCCAAAACATTTTCAATGACACCAGCCAACTGTTCCTCTGTGACTTGCAGCATGAATGACATGTTATCCAACTTGCATCTTGGATCCTGCACAATAGCTTTGTAAACAATTTCCGTGACGGGATCGAGATAAGATTGTAGATTCGTTTCTGTTTCACCTGCTTGCACGCGACTAAGCTCGAGTAACCATTGAGAGCATTGAAATTTGTTGATTTTGTTATCGGAGTACACTGAATTAACGAGCCGCAATGTTTTATTTACATCACAACCGAGCTTGTAACAAAATTCTACACACACGCGTTGTTTGAAGTAATCATCCATTGTTTGATAATGTCAATTTCGATGTAAAATTTGTTACTATGATTCTATTATTAACTCAAGTGCATAATATTCTTGGTAAAATCACGTGCAAAAATGCTATGAGGTGAGCACTAAGCACGCCATACGCGTAATAACGCAGCAGACTGTTTGGCAGTTGACCGGCTTGTTTATTTAGTCCAGTTGGCGGGAATGGCGCAAGTGCAACTGCCCGCACGTCGATGTGTCATTCATGACATTTACTTATAAGCTGAAAAAGTCGTTACATCTACTAATTCTAAGAATGGTAGCAAAGGATTAGATTTGAAAATTTAACTTTAATAGTAAGTTTATGATAAAAGATGAAAATAATAGTGTAATATTTGCACTTTATTACATTTTATAAAATTTATTATAAAAGTATTTAATTTTGTAGACTACAATAATATTAACAAAGATATGGCTGTCAATCTTTGCTGAATGACTTATCACAATTTATGTCTCAGTATATAAAAATGATACATAGGAGTACTAATAATTATGAAAACATGTATCTGTTTTCAAATACTTCTTAAAATACAGTTTTTTTTCATCAATGATTTGTCAATGATTTGTCAATGATTTGCAGTCAATAGGGACATAATATAATTTACAAAAATATTGCTAAATTAGTTTCGGAACTTAATTATTATTTTACATTTTAATAATACTTTGGATTTTTGACTATTAGTACTCAAATATGCATTAAACATATTTGCCCCAACTTCTTAATATTTTTCTATCATTTCTCTATTTTATCATTCTTGTGTTTTACCTTCGGACCACAGTTCAACTGAGCTATTGGAATGTTGAAAGTTGGCCTAGATTTAAAAAAATTGGGATTACATTCATTGAAAAGATGATCTTGAAATAGTTTGAGTGAACTCATGATTGCATTGCAATGTGTGCACTTGAAGAAAGTTTTAGAACCATTTTCAGACTTTGGACTAGAGATTGATGTCGTAAACTCAACTGCTTTAAAAAATTACAAGGATACAATACACATTCAATGTTTTATCAAAAATTTCAATTTGCAATTCCACTATTACTTACTTTTTGAACTAGTATTTGAATTTTTCTTTGGGCTTATATTATTTACACGAGTTCCTTGATGACTATTCATTATGTGTTCTTTAAGATCCAGCAAAATATATCCTTCATATTTACAAAGACCACAGGCATAAATAGGTCCAGTCCATGTACATCGTAGTACATGTTTTGCAAAGTGATCTTTATCTTGAAAAATTTTTTTACATTGAGGACACAGTTTGTAAATATTTATCAAAGGAATATCTCTGCATTTCAAGCATTTTCTCAAACCATTGTGATCATATATTGCTGAACATCTCATACAATATTTCAAGAGTTTTATTTTTTTCGGTGGACTGGGATCATCAGTCAGAAAATCTAAAAATTTGATAGGTGCAATGATTACAAGTTTGAAGATATATATTTTAAATCACCAAGTATGATGTACCTTCTTCAGACTCAGATAAACAGGTATTTACGAGGGTAGGTTGAGTATCAACTTTACAATTATTTTTGAAATGCATCTTGAAATGATAACTATTTACAAAAATACATTTGCATTCAGTGCAGCTGATATTTTCTAAATTTTTGTCTTCTTGATTTAAATTTGGATAACATCCTATATTCAAATGTGTTGTTGAAGATGGGCAATCTTCTAAATGTTTTTTACAATTCATGCAACGATTTTTTAAAGGGCTTTGGCATTTTACACAATATTGAATTGTTTTTTGTTCAATATATGTTATATTGCAATTAGAACAATAAAGATCCATAACTTCCTGAAGATCTAAAGTAAATTCCCAATTATTTATCTAATTCATCAATTTAAATGTATCAAAACTTACCAAGTTTATTAAAACCTTTGTAACTGTAATTAATTTTGTTTTGACAATCTGTAATAAAAATTACAGTTTTGTTATCATATAACGAAAATAAATTTTTCAAAATTTATAAAAATGTTAACTTACTATAAAACAATCGTGGAGAAGTTTCAATCATTTTGTTTAAAATTTCATCATCTGTATCTTCTTGTTCATGCTTATTGAAAAGGTGATGTTTCATATTATCTATGTTGATGGTGACATAACTACAATCCATACATTTCAAATAAAATATTCCTCTACAACTTTCTATGTGTGTTTTATAGATTGATTTACTGCTTTGAAATTTTATTCGACATTGTGGACATTGAACTATTAAAATAATGAAATGAAATTTTAAATATAAATTATTCGTTTGTATGTTTAGTAACTTACTTTCTACTTTTAAATTATTTTGGCCTTCTAAATATTTAGTGACTTTATTTGAATTATCTGAAACGAAATACCGCAATTCAAATTTTATGGCACTATTTGATGGACTAAATTGATTTTTGTCTATGGATAAATCTATTTGATCACAAGTCAAGTCACTTGTTGAAGGAGCAATGTTTTCATTAATAATATTTTGGTTGATACACTGCTCTAATGGATCTACTATTGAAGCATTGGAATTAACACTGCTTAATGACTTTGGTGAATGTATATCACTAATATTTGAGTTTTTGTTTTGCTTATCTGTAAAAAACAAGTAAAACAAATTTAATAAGAAAATTCAATAAATTTATTTTCAGCTATATTATGAACAAAATACTGCAGTCACTTACCACAGAAGTAATCCCCTTTTATATTTATGCATTGATCCCATATTTCTTGCCATTGATTAAATCCATTTACAAATTCTGTCAGCTTAATGTTATTGATAATTTGAATTATTTTCTTTTGTAACTGCTTAACAGTTTGCAACTGTACTCGTTTTAAGCCTTGTTTTAATTTAGGTATGAGAAAAATGTCACACGGTGCCAGATCTGGAGAATTTGGTGTATATGACAGCACATCAACATTTTTTTTTTTCAAATACTCTTGCAGCTTAGGAGATGAATGAGCATTTGTATCTTCATGATGATGTAAAATCCACTTTCTTTGATCGCCTATTCTCAAACTCAATCTTTTGATTACTTCACAATAATAAATCGCCGTCAAAGTCTCCCTATGGGGTAAAAATTCATAATAAACAATTCCTCTCTTAGCAAAAAATACGATGAACGTAGTTTTCACGATCGCCTCATCCGATCCGTTTTCGGCGTACAGAACAACCTCGTCGCCGGTGACAATTTTGTCAAGGAAGTCCGGATCGTTGGAGCATCGTTCGCGCAGCTTCTTGCAAGCTCCGAGCCTCCAGAGCTTTTCGTGCTGGCCAAGCTGTTCGGGCACGAATTTTCCGACGCACCGGACGACTCGCAGCTCGTCTCGCAATATAGCCTCGACCCTGTCGCGCGACAGAGCCAGACGATCGCACAGCTGCGACACGCTGAGCCTCTTGTCCTCGAGCAGCATCAGACGCAGCCTCTCGATCTCCGGGTCGTTCGAGGGGGTGTCGCAGTCCGGTATCCAGGGCTCGCCAGCGCTGCATCGCGTGTACCACTGGTAAACCTGAGTGCGACCGGCCGCGTTCTCTCCGAATCTCCGTTGGAGCTCTTGCAGTGTCTCCTCCACATTTTGCCCGTTCTGATGGCACAACTCGATGATGATGCGTTGCTCCGTCGAGCACAGTTTTGATGGTTTCATGGCATATTCTTAAATAATCGTGCGATGAACACGTCGATCACGAGCAAGATTTATTTAATGCAAATTTTTCTGTGTTACGAGATGAATTTCAAAAGTGAAAGCGAAACGACCTTGCAAATTTTGAAAGCAGTTTTTACAGCAAGTGAGTGGCAGACGAGTTTCTATAATGTATCCTTGCGCCCTTACGGCTCCAATGTTATGGGTTTATCTTATTGGGGGTTGTATAAGGTGCATGTTACAATGAAGTGATCTCTCTTCTCGTGAATTCTGCGTCAGTTTAGCAAATCTCTTGACCGATAAAAAGAGAAGATGAAACTCCAAAATAAGCTGAAAAATTATTCAAATCATCATTTTCATGATTGCAAATTGTAAAACATGAGAACTGCTTTAAAGAGAAAAGAAAAAGAACAAGGTAAATTTGAATAATTCACGAAAATGTTTAAAACTTGTCATGTAATTTATTTTTTATAAAATTATGTGCTTACACATTTAGACAACACTTCTCTTTAAATTTGTACATTTGTTCACTGTTTTTCTTTAAATTAGATGAGAAAAAATCGTATTTACAATTATATTTCATTACATTCACATTTACCTGTTTAAGAAAATTAAACAATAATACAAATGATTAAAGTTTCAATCATTATCTCACTGGCATGAAGTCAAGTACTTTATACTTATGTTTTCAATAACTTTTTTATAAAACAAAATAAAAAATACTTAAACAAACTAAACAAATATTAATAAAAAAATTTCAGAATGGTTAAAAGTCTGTGTACTGCAGTATTACTATAGTCCAATATAGCTATCAATAACAAGATGTTTAACAGAAATATATTGTTTTATACTACTGAGAAATGTAACATTACTTCATACGATTAAGTACCATATCATTGATGGATATTAAACTTTTTTGATATATGCTCTCTGTAAGAGATCTAGCCAATCTATCAGCTTCGTCACAATGACTCTTGGCCAAGGCTTTAGTTTGCTCCAATCCTTGTGATTTGTGCACCAACTCAAAAGCTTTTTCTACGTCTCCTGGTTCTGAAAAGCGTCTCATTATCATTGGATTGAGTTCTGGGAATTTTTCACAAGCAAACAAAACTGGAGCTGTGGCCAATCCAAGTTTCAAATCAGCAGCAGCTGGTTTGCCCAATGCATCAGTTGAAGAAATAAAATCCAACAAATCATCTACCAGTTGAAACGCTAAACCCATATGTCTTCCATATTGATAAGCAACTTCAGAAAGCTCATCATTAGCACCACTAAGCATAGCTACAGCCTTTGCTGAATTAGCAATCAAGCTAGCTGTTTTTCTGTAAGTTTTAGTCAAATAATGTGCAAATCTCTCAGTTTCTGCCTCCTTTGCTCCCAGCTGCATGAATTCTCCCTGAACTAAGTCAGTTATGACTTGACTCAGTACCACAGTGACATCATCGTTCCTAAGTCTAGCAATCATCATTGAAGCAACAGCAATGATAAAATCACCAGCCATCGCAACTTTTTTCTGGCTCCACAACACATTCACTGAAGGTTTACCTCTTCTAAAATCTGATTGATCGATCACATCATCGTGTATGAGAGAAGCACTATGGATCATTTCAGATATCATTGCCACTTGTCTTTGCGATTGTAACAAACCATCCTTTCCCAAATGACAATTAATAGCTCTAGCCATCAGTATCGCTACCATTGGTCTAAGAGCTTTACCTTGACCTCCAAAATAGTATGTAGCAATGGTTTTCAACTCTTCAAGGCTGGTGTTATCGACGAGTTCCTTCCTAATGTCCGCGTACACATCCTTGAGATCATCTTCCAGCAGATGATAGGGATCGAACTTTTGATCGGCCGGTTTTTGCACTGAGGTCGTGAATTTTCGCAATTGGCTCGGGGCCAGCAGTTGCGACAAATTAGAATTTTGTCGTTTTAGCTGCTCGAAATTAACCAAACACAAGGCGGGCGTGCTGGGCTGCACGTAACGGCGCAAAATTTGTTTATTAACTTGCGAAAAAGGGAAGCGCAAAGTCTTGAGGCACGCCATTGTAATTGCGAACTGAAGTGTCGAGTCAAGTGGTGTGCGATACTACGCGAGGATAATACGCGGCTGCTGCTCTCGCTCGTTTGTTGTGTCGTGTGTTACCTGCTGCGTGGAATATAACTGTAAACGCCGAGCAAAGCGAAATTTTGCGAACGGGAAGGGTGAGGTACGACGAGTAGAAACGATGCGACTTTCGCCATACTTTCTCTTTTGCTACATACCGCGCGTTTTAGCGAAAGCATGCGTGTATATTGCCAACTATAATGTATCGGCATTCGGCATGCGCTGCGGGAAATGTAATACACCTGCCCATAGTTGCTACCTATATGTGTGCTACTATAGACGAAGCATCTTCCTGTGAATGAGGCTGAATAATTCGGAGCGAATCGCGTGTGCACATCGTTAAATTTAAATTACGCGTAACTCTTACTATTCGCATAGTTGAGAAATGCGCGCTACTCCGAGCTATTCAATAGTTTTGTAATTACGGTGAAAAAGTTGATTAATATGGAAAATAGTGTACAGAATTCAAAGAACTTTTTTCCTACAAATGTCAATGAAAATTTGTCATTTAGCTTATTTTTATCAACTTCCATCTGATTTATTTGAATGAAAATCAAATTGTTTAAAAAAATTAATTGTATTATACCTGAGAGAATAGATAGATCACGATTTCCGGTCAATGAACTTGACATTTAGTTTAATAATTAACGATGTGGACTATTATGAGGTTCAACGAGGCAGCGTTTTTTAATTTATCAAAGAGGTCAGAAGTAGTCTGTCGAAACGTCAACGAGCAGAGATGGCATAACCAGCCAAAAATTAAAATGTTCAACCTTGCTTGAATGTTTAAAATTTTTACTAGTGTACAAAAGGATCATTTTTGGAACATAATATGTACTAGATTTACTGCAGTTTAATTATATTAAGAAATATTTTATTTTTCTAGAAAAATAATCGTGATTTTCAATTATTATGAATTAGTTATTGTTTACATAGATGTAAATGATATCCAACTCTCCATGTTTTATCAATTCACAATACTTATACACAGCAAGTAAAGCACCAAAATGACTATAAATATGGTAAAATAGGCTTTTTGTCAGAAAAAATCATACACTTAGGCTTAAATTCTCTTTTTCAAAAGTATTACCTTTTTTCTGTTGCATTCAAAGATATTGAATTGAATTAAGTTTTACAATCTATTTACATCGACCCTTGAGCAAAAAAATTAATTAATCTTGATGCACTCTTACATTATTATCATAAAAGTTTGCATTGTTATTGTTATTGAAGTTTTGGTTGTTGTTGTTGTTGTTGTTGTTGTTGTTATTGTTATTTACATTTTGGTTGGGAACATTGTTATTCCCATTTCTATGAGGATCTTCAACAACAATAGTATTACAAATCAAATCATAAAAAGTTCGATTAAATTTGAAAAAGCACATAGCAAATGATATAGGAAGGAAAAAGGCTAAAACCAAATTTTTTAAAATAGATCTTCCTAATGCTGGTAGCAAACCCAAATCGTTTCCAGGAACTACTAATACCAGTTCGTCTTCTGGACGACCAATCTGTGTAATATTTTGGCATGAAACTACTTTAATCTTCATCAAAGATTTCCCTGGCGTTGCACCACCAATATGACCATTTCTTCCGTGTTGCAACCACGATGCCTGAAGTAATAAAATATAAATTTCATTTTACTCAGATCTCAAACAATAAATCATGTAAAATTTAAATACATACCTCGAATATGCACACAAACACTCTATGAATTAGTTCTATAATTGTTAAACCTGATGTTAAATCTAGAGCCATTTTGTAATCAACTACTCTGAGGTTGGTTTGAAGCATTTCTGTATAGTATCGTTTGAAGTCACTAAAAAAATATATCATACTTAATAAGCACCTTTAATTTTAAATAAAAGTGAATTTTAATATTATTTTAAATGCATACTTACATAAAATCAAATAAATCCACAGCAATAAAGGTCAAAGACAACTTCAAAACAAACAATAGTATAGAATCAATTAATTCAGCAACAAATCTTTTCCATATAGGAGGAATTTTGTATGTGACACCTAAAAAAAAAAAAAGAAAAATATTATAAATAAATGTATAAACACTTCAAATAATACCCAGGTGTAATTATCATTTGGTTTGTCATTTTATAGAGTAAAAATAAAATTGACAGTGATTGATATAAACAATGATAAAAATTGTACCTGTCAAATTTCCTGCTGGTACTTCTGCTGTTCTGGCCTCATTTGTTCGTCTTTGGTGAAATCTTTCATCTTGTCTTTCTTGATTATTGGCATTTGTATTTGTATTTGTACTTTCTGTTGATATCCTTATATTTGAAGGTGCTAAATTTGGCATAGAACCTTTAAGTACAATTAAATGATATAGTATTTCAAGTAGCAACTTATTTTGCTTAATTAGAGGTAAAGCTTACCATTAATGACTTGACTAGCTTGCAACTCTATGAAGGGACCAGAATAAATTAATGCTTGTGAAGCATACACTTTGTCGATCCATGCTTGCAGTTTTTTAAAATACTCTGTTCGAGCTAATTTTGCATAATTGACTTCTTCTTGATTTTCAACCATTTTTATTAAATTATGCCTGAAAAACAACGTAAAAAATTAATAGTGTTTTATGATTTCATGTATAAAGGTACAGTATTGTAATAAAGATGAGTTTTAATTTTTAGTACCAAGATGTTTAAACTTCACTAGTAAAACTCTCAAAATTATCATTGATTCACGATTAGTTTTCACCTTCAATTTTAATTTCTTATTTTATTGTAAAATGTTTACATATAGGTAGCAGACTTCTCGGGTAACGTGAAACCGCGATTACATTGAATGTCTACCAATCTTTTTTATAATCATGGAATCAATAATTTTTATGAAACCATTTTCTGTTATGGTAATCCACTATTTACTTGGATGATAATTGTACTTCGGACTACGATATGTAAAAGTGATGAAATGGCAGTCAACAATCCAACCGCGTATGTTATCATATTTTCACGCATACAAGCGCAGTCTTGGGTGTATACTGGATACTGTCAAAGTATGTAAACATGTACGCAGTAATCTGCAGGCGTCTGCTGCAACTAAAGTAGTAAACACGAACGTTGACTACAGTTCCCAGAATCAGAACTTTTAACTGCTCATCTAAATTTTACTAATTGCATTTTAATGTCCAAAAATTTTAATTCCGAGTGAATTAAAATTTTAATTACAAATTATTCTATAACGAAAAATCGGTTTAGTTTAGAGCTGAACAGCTGTAAGCCTATATTTCAATTCAAAATTATACAATAAAATTTGAAAAAAAATTACATATTCATTATTTGCGAGCGATGACAATTAACAGAATGAAATTGCATCAATTTTATTGATACTCAATTGTTTAACACAGTACAGTACCCAGCTTAACTCATTTTGCAAATCAAACCGAATTAGATCGAAAATGATAAAAATATCAAAATTGAGTAATTCATCAATTAATTCAATGAAAATAATAATTGAAATTTGAAAAATTAAGTTATATTCATTCAATCTTTTTATGCGTTTACTTAATTATAACCTCCAATCGTTGAATTACCTTGAAACTGCTCATAACTATCTAAACACACTATGCAGCAGGACGGTATTGCGTCAACTTATTATCTTCTCAGCCCGTTCTTTAATTAAAATAAAGTATCAATGAATGCGTAAAATCTTACTTCACATTTAATAATATTGTCTGCTAAACTTAAGGCCGTGAACTAACGTGCGTACAAAAGTATTGTCTTATTTGCGTTCAATCGATCACAACTATACAGCACCAAATGACGTGTTGCTGTTTCATAGGAGTAAGTAGTCTAATTTCTCCTACTTTTTGGTGCATTTTACGATATGAGACTAGTGCATTTTGCGATATGAGTTAGAATAAAATATGATCCGAAAAAATTTTACATTGTTTGTTTTTTTTTCAATAAAGGATATTCAATAAAAATTTTTAACAGTCGATTTTTTTGCAGCAAGATGTTAGCAAATAAAAATGAAAATGAAGAAACTGTCAAAATAATATGTCCAAGCATCAACGAGTTAACTAAAATCAGCGTTGAAGTACGTTGCAGTAAATGTGATTCCGTTTTTTCTAATGAATCTTGTTATCGTTTTCATGATCTCAAAGTTCATCAACAAAAAAACATTGAAAAAGTTATAAAACAAAATGTGAAATTTCACTGTCCCATAGAAAATTGCATATATGCCATTGGAAATCAAAAACACTTCACTTTATTCAAATACGTGAAACAGGTAAATATATTTTATTGATATAAAATGCTGCATATGCTAACTTTTATCATTTAAATTGTTTTTTCAGCATTATTTGAAGGTTCATGCCGATAAAAATTTTGTATGTAGATGTTGCTCAAAAGGTTTTTCTACTAAGGCTGCCAGAGAAGCTCATGTTAAAATTTGTGGCCAATATTTCATTTGCAATTGCAAGAAAAATTTCAATAGCTATGAAGCTCTTTTGACTCATGCCAAAAGAAATTCGCATAAATTTGATGATAAATACAGATTAAAAAAGTAGAGTTTAAATTATTAATCTTGTTCATAAAATTAATGTTGATTCTAAAGTTTCGTTTTTATTTTTGTTTCAGAAATAAAAATGGTATAAAAAATGTTTGCCAGCAAAAAAGTGCAGTAATCAAGTTGATTCCTATTTTACCTAAGCCTACTTGTGATGTTGGAACACAAATAAATGAGGACATGTTTGAGAAAAAGTCAAATTCAAGGAAAATTCTAAAGAAACAAATTTGTAGACAAACTCAGACAACTGAAGCTTCAAAAGACAAACAACAAAAAAAGTCTGCTGAAACTCAAACGCTGAAATCAGTTCCTCGTGTGATTAGGGTCAAACAAGTTGAAAAACGAAAAAATTCCAATGCCAATGAAAAACAAAATAATAAGATTGCTGAAATCAAAAGTGACCTCAATTTTCTAGATACTTTAAATAGTATTTTACTTGATAGTCCTTTGGCTATGAAGCACAATATCATCTTGGAAGATGCTTGGGAGGAAAAAAGTAATTCTGGAACGCAAACTAGTCCTATTAAAACAGTATTTGAGGATATTGATAATGATAAAACCAAAAACTGTAATTTTAATAAGTTAACAAAGTCTGATCCAATGTTAACAGAGCAAGCTTACAATGACAGATTTAACAGCATAGAAACACAAACGGAAAAGGAACCTTATCAATTAGTCTTTGAATCTGATCCTATGAGTTCCAATATTGAAACACAAACAACTGATAATTACACAGAAACAGAAGAACAACTCCACATATATAGTAACATATGTACACAAACTTGCAATGAAATTTTACCCTCAGACTTAGGTCTTTCAGATATCCAAACTCAAACTGCATGGAGTCATTTAGATGATACAACTGTATCCACAGAAACACAAACGAAAGCATTTAAATGCCTCTCAGGTTGTGACTCTAGTTCATGGTTCACTACTCCAACACAACACATGGAAACTCAAACTGAATTTTATCAAATTTTCAAAGAATTGGACTAAAAATGGATGTTGTAATTATTTGTACAAAATTTAAAAGATAAGAATGTATATATTTCAAGTTTTGTAAATACCCTTGGTTAATAAATGTTTATAGTATACAATTTATAAAACAATTTTTTATTCACGTGACATTCTAAATATATTTTTTGTAAATTAAGAATTTTTTCAATCGAAGTTCACTTTTTTAAGAACATCCTAAATCATAATCACCACATTTTATGTAAAAACTTTCTATTAAGGAAAAATTACACTATACTTTTTCCTTTCCAAAAACGAATTCAAGCACTTTATAAACACAGTATTTATGTCTAAATAAACTAAATAAAAAAATATTTTATCTTCAATGTCTCGCTTCATAACGCTGGCCCCGCTGCGTTGTCTTCATCAAAGTCCGGTAAAAAATCTTTGGTTCGATCCTCTATTCTATCTCCATTTTCCAAAGTTGATGCTAGTACTCTCAAGTTATTTACACCTGACATCAACTGCCTAGATTGACAATTTTTAAAGTAAATTTTTTAGTAAGGCCGTTTTAAATTATTTCCATTATTCTTTATCAGTCTGATTAATTTCAATACCTTAATGATACTTCAGCATTACTTGCTGCATTCCGTAAATCATTTGCTAATCTGCGCATCCTAAAATCTGAGTTTCCTAAACCATTGCTATCCACTCCTATTGCTTCTCTCAAATCTCTATTTTCTGTTCTTAGCATCATATTTTCAATCTAAACAAAATTTGGTTTTAAAACAATGTTTTGAAAATTAAAATTTATGTAATATACTTACAGATAAAGAGTCCAATTCCTTTTTTAATGATGCTACTGTTGACTCTGCATTTACAGCTCTTTTCTGAAATAAGAAATATAATTCAACATTATACATTTTCACCTTATTATAAATTATTGTTAGGGTACCGTACCGTACTGCGTTTCAAGTTATCTTCTATTTGTTGCATGGTTTTTTCTAAATTTGCACTTTCTGTATTTACTGATTGTCGTCTTGTTATTAGTTCAGCTTCTAATGAATCTATTCTGTAAAATCAAATGTTTAATGAAAATAAATTATTTTACAATAAAATTAATAATAGATTTCCTTTTCTGTAAGCATTCAATAGTAATTGTAAAAATAGTACCTAAGGGAGCGCTCATGAGATTGCCTTCTTGCCATTTGTAACTCATTTCTCAATCTTTCATTTTCCAAAGTCAGCTGTTATAAAATTAATACATTAAAGTAGAGTGTAATAAAATGGCACATTTAAATTAAATGATAGATTTACCCAATGATTCATAGAATCATTTGAGCCAGAAAAATCTGGTCTATCTGATGATGGGGTTCCTCTATTACGAACAGATGTATCACTGAGAAAATCAGGTAACAATTTTGTAGAATTTGATATTGCTTCTGGCAGTGTATTGTTCACAGATACATCAGCATGAGAATTGGATTCTGAACTTCTCGATATTTGTAAATCGAATGGGAAGCCTTTTTAAAACAAATTATTCATATAAGTATTTGTTTTTATTACTTATTCATATGATTAAAAAATATTACCTAAGGATTCGGGTACATCAGCTGCTTCTCCATCAACAACTTCAAGTTTAGGCAAATCCAAGGAATTTGCATGTGGAACAATTACTTGATTTTGATTCAAATTTTCTGTCAAATCAAATAATCTCTCCGCTGAATCATCTAAACTTCTCTTCCATTGGTCATTGTGATATCTATTGGGTCTTTTTCCAACACTATTTAAAGCAAAGTCTGGTAAATTATCAACTTCTACACTTGCAACACCAGGAGAATTTTGATCTCCCAGATAACACTGTTCAATCACTAAATGGTCTTGTACAAAATCAGGTAATTCTGTGGGGTTTCTTGTGTATTTTCCAGTTTCATGACAAGAAACTGGTTCAGGAGCCCATGATTGTGGTTCATAAACCTTAGGTCGAGCTCCTGCATACTGATGATTCGTTTGACTTTCATTTTTTAAAAATTGTTTAAGGCTGAACAAACCCTCCTCCCTTTTTGCTGCAGTTTTTGCTAAAAAATAAAATTGTTAATTATTTTGATGTATTTATAACTTGCCTTCTTTCAATGTGAGATATTAATTAGATAAAAATTGGCAGACGAGCCAATGACTCATTCGCCACGGATCTATTTTTGACGTACGCAATCGATAGAGAACAAATAAAAAAATTGAAAAGAAAAAACTAAAGGCAAACAAGAAAGGGGAAACGACGATGATTTAACGCATGAGACTAACCTTTACGTCGAGGTTTTGCGCCGTTGTTGGTCCGCCAATCCTCTCGTGATTTTCTGCTATCAGCCTCGTCACCCGATGAACCCGACGACGACGAGGGTGACATGCTACGCTAGCACCCTTACGTATACACAGAAAACAAGCAGCAACAACAGCAACAACAAAAAGTCAAAGGTCTCGCGAAATAACACAAAGCTCCTCCTCCGCCTTCGCCTCCTCCGTTCCTTACCCCCGTAATTATTGTTTTGTATTATAAACACGACGATGCGGATATTGTTGTTTATTCGCGACGAACGCGAGGCGCGGATGACTCGCCAGACGATACTGTTGATTGTTCTTGAGGACTGTCCTGCACGGCGACTGCTGCACCTCGGCGACTCAGCCGACGATGATTACTTGACATTTGCGGTCTTTTTGAAAAGGGGAAAAAAAAAGTAAACAGTGCGCTTGAGTTGTGTTTCTATAATACGACTTTCTGCTCGCTCTCTGTCTCTGATGGCAGCCTGCCTGCCTGCCAGCTTGCGTCTGTTGCTGCTGCTTATGCGCGATATTACATGCTACATAACATAGGTGTTGGGATTGTGTATATGGGAAGAAAACATGAACGCTTTGAAAGGTTCTCTCTTATCTCCTTGCGTTGCGCTCTGTCGTTCGTTCGTGTGTGTGTGTGTGTGTGTGCGTATGTAATAGGTATATGTAATACCTTTTATGTGTGAGTGTGCGTATATGTGTATAGGCATGTATAAGTATACAAATTGTCTGTAGATGCGTTGTTGCATGCACTAACTCCGTATCGGCATGCGAGTGATTAGGGCTTTTGTTCTAAATAATAATAGCCGCAGCTTGGGTGCGCGAACCGTAAAATGTTATCGAGTTACGCCTGTTTGACGTTTGAACGTCGATCGTCGAAAATATTATTTTAACGATCCATGTCGAAAATCCTTAGTTTAATTCAAGCTCATTCAATATTTGATATAATATTGTAATGGACTTTGGTCAATTTTAACATCAACAGTTATGTAGCTCGAAATCGGAGCTCGAGCAAACTCCGAAAACACCGATTTTCCATCTCTTATTGGAATCATTAGCAATAAATAACGAAGCGCGCGACGGAACAATAATATTGACTCGTATCGAATCAACCGCCAATAACGTTAATTTTCAGCAATGTTGACATACTCTCTCTCTCTCGAACGCACAAAATCACGGAACGGCTTCTCATTAGCTTCGACGCTCTCATCGAAGTTGCTTTTGTCGTCGAAAGCAAAAAAACGTCGCACAGTTTTTATTTTATTAAACTTTTTTTTTTTTTCTAAATTCGTGACGCAAAAAATTTTAAGTAATTCAGTTATTTAAATCAAAAAGGAAAAGATGGCCAACAGAATGAACGAGTCGTCGTTGAGATTAAAACGCGAAGCGTTTTACCGCGAGATAGCCGCGAGAGTTATGCGCTCTAGGAGCTGCAAGCGCGGCCTGGGCCAGGCGTTGGCCGCCATCGAGAAGATAGTGCCGGGCAGCGAGGAGGTGCTCTGGTTCTCGCGTCGAGCCCTGCGCGGCCAGGACACGCGGGTGCTGCGACTGCTGCTCGAGCTCGGCCTGGGCAGCTGCCACGACGACGACGACCACCACCGCCACCGGAACGACGCAACGACGATCGCACTACGCAACAACGGTCGCAAACGCAAACGCGACGGCACGATCGTGAGGGATTCGGAGCGAGGAGCCGAGCAAGACAGAAATCCGGCGGACCGCTACGGGCTGACGTACTTCCACGCGGCCTGCATGAGCGGCCACGTGGCCAGCGTCGAGAGCTTCATCGAGTCCGGCCGGGTCGATCTGGACCAGCGCGTCGTCACGAAGCACCCGAGCATGCCCAGCACGGCGCTGCACATGGCCGTGAAGTACGGCAGGCTGGAGGTGGCGAGGCTGCTGCTGGGGGCCGGCGCCGATCCCCGCGCGCTCGATCGCCGAGGCCGATCGGCCCTGCACAGAATCTGCGAGGACGGCGTCACCCGTAGCCTCGTGGATCGGCCCAAGAGGAAATTCGTGCACGATCACGAGCCGGCCCTCGAGATCGTCAAGCTGCTACTCGATCACGGCCCGGACGAAATCGATCGAGAGGACGATCGCGGCGCGACGCCGCTGCAGTACGCCGTCGCCTCGCTGCAGTTCGAGCTGGTGGAGGAGCTGCTGGCGCGCGGCGCCAAGGTCAAAGACGTGGTCTTCGAAGGTGGCTACTTCGATCTCGCCCGTCCTCGTCCGTCGCTGAGAACAACCGAAAATCTGATCGGTATCGTCGAGACACTGATGGGCTACGGATACGAGATGAGCAGCGAGAGCGAGTTGAAAGTCATGCACTTTTTGATGGACGTCAACATGCACGAATACGATCCGGAGGTTGATCAAGCCCAGCTCGTCTTGGAGTACGGTGAGTTCGCGCGCTGTTGCAATCGAACAATCGTCAATTTTTACGAATCGATATTCAATGAACGAATTACGATCTAACAGGATCGGAACAGAAAATCGGCGATTTAATCGATCAATTCGAGAGTGACTTCAAGAACACCCCAATCCTCAAAAATATGTCCACCTACAGTAAGCTTAGGAAAAAGTCGCACGAGATGATGGCGATTCAGCGCCACCTCGAGGTCCTCCACGTCGGTGGAATGTATAAGAGCGCCAACATCCGGAGGCTCGTGGACGCCTTCAAGGAGGCCTGCGACTGCTATCGCGGCTACTTCGCCGTCGAAAATTTCCACTGGCGATTCGGCGAGTCCGACGCCGAGACGACGTTGCTGCGATCGCAACTGTCGACCGCGTTAACGAACGAGAACACGAACGATGGGAAACAAGGAGGCAACGATCGTATTCAGAACCGCATCACATACGAAGACGATGATGAGAGCGTCGAGGACGATGCGGTTTCCGAACACAACGAGCACAGCCACGAGGACGACTGGGAGATGGAAGCACCGGACGTCTTCAACAGATTCGCCGAGGAAACCAAGAGAGCCGGCGAGATCGCGATCGGACGGTCGGGCACGACCATTCTGGACGTTTGCCGAGCCGTGCCGGAGGAGAGATATAATCTGCTACTTACCGCAACGAAATGGCCCGTCATCGACGAGGAACTGAGAAACAAAGAGTTCAGCTTGGTCGGTGGCGTTCTGGAGGGCATCGTGGACAAAACTCTGGTGCGGGAGTACGCGGCGGTCGTGGCCTCGAAGTATTTCAGCTCTCTGTTGGCGGTCAACATGCCGTACTACTGTCGTCGAAAGATAATCGGCCACCTGTCGAACGAGGATTTGTTGAACTTGTGCACAGCTGCTGTGCGATCGGGTTGAACGCCTCGTTTCATACTCTATATTTTTTAATACTTATAGAAGGACCCTTGTGATTACATTTAAAAATTGCGATTATTGTGTAGCAATATTTGCAATCTTGATTTCAATGTGACGGTAATGTGCTCATTATATGTAAATAATACATAACTGTATTTAACAGTTACTTAAAAAATTTCTATTATTGATTAAGTAGATGTAACGTAACATTTGACATGAAGATTTTATAATAATAAGAAAAAAACATGTTTGACGACTATATTCCTTACGTTTCATTTATTTATCTAATCTCACCATAGAAGTTCAAGAAATCAAAAGGTGCGGCAGCACTTGACAGGCATAACAAATGTAAGCGGACAGGACAATTTCAATTTTGGGCATGAATTAGCTTTTTTCATCCATAAATTATGCGATCCTGTATAAAAACTCGGCAGTAACTACTTTTTTTTTCGAATAAAATTTATGCGAAAAAATTGTGCTCAATGCATTAGATAAAAAGTATTAAAATCACAGGACAAAATCTCGAATTTTCCTCATGACGTTAAAAAAAAATTCGGTTTTGTCCTCGTATTGTACGTTGACGCTAGTTAAAAGCGACAACTTAATGAGTAAAAATAAATAATCAAAATTTTACAAAGAAAAGTAAATATACCTACCTCCGATTGGTGATCCAGCTCTCTCACCAACTCCGAATTTTATCAAAGAACCATTCCATTAATTCCACATTTATCTTGAAAATAGTAAAGTTTACTTGATTCGACGAAATAAATGATGGGAAATTTTTTATTAAAAATTAACTACTAATTTTTTTCAAGATTAGTCAATAAATTTCAAAGCACAAAGAACTAAGGTCGTCCCTTGCGAGGAATATAAAACGTTCGCGTTTCAAAACAAAAGAATAACATCGCAGTTGATTGACAGTTGACACTCGTGCGTCTTTCTTGTACGATCTATCTCTTTGTGGCGAATGCATTATGGAGTATTTGCGCAGCAATAATAAAAAAATGACCGGCACGACAACTATGCGAACAAAAGCCGGCATGAATCAACAAACATGGTTGCGCGCGCACTATCCACAAATACAGTCTCACATATTATCGCTGTAAAAGTATAAACCCTATAGAAATTGCACTCCGCAGTTGTCTGCTTGTATTAATTTTTTATCTAATCGGCACACATTGTTTTATCGTTGGCAGTAAAAATCGAAATTATTATTCAGTCAATTATAACATGCGAAGAATTCGAGCCTGCGCACAGACTTTGGTTTGGCATACATATACATCCCCAATCCCCATCAGCCAATTGGAATCGCCGAATGCGCCTGCCCTTCGTTCTACAGCCGGTAGCCGCACGAGAAGGTCACGTTACACCTAGCCATAGTAGCCGGCGCATTGCGAGCAGGCCATCGCAACTTTGTGTACACATTAGTTCTTTCAGTTATTGCATGTCCTTATCACGATACTTCTCGAGTATCGTCGCGGTATATCCGCTGTGAAACTTTACAAACGCATCGTGTGTAGATTAGAATATTTGTTTGTCGAGAGACCAAGAATTAGCAAGTAATTCAAAATGTCGAGCGAACAATTAATTATTTCCAGAGTCAAATCGGTGAGTAAATCTTGACGAGTTCTTTGTGTCTAATTCCTCGAACCAAGTGTTGTGCATTTACTGTTGCATTGAATATTTCTAACCTCGTTCTTTGTTTTCTATGCACTGTTATGCCTGCATAATATTCATAGTGTTGTGCATAAGAGTGTACAAAATAATGGTGTGTGCTCTTGGTTCACCCCTTTCTTTCTATTTTACAGTACTTGTACGAAAATCAAGAACTCTACATTGACATAACCGAGATGGCAGATACCCTTCAAAGAAAATACAGGGATTACAAAGGGAAAAAACGAGGTCCTTTCAGAGCACTGGTACGTCGTGCTTATGATGAAATAACGGAAAACTTGGCCAAAACTCAAAATTCACAAGACCCTTGGACTGATGACAATGAGATTGAAATTGAGGTATTATTCATATTTCCAATTAGAATATTATCTTATTTTCATTTTAATTAACTGCTTTATTTAAATCTTACCCATGTGTTGTGCCATAGTCGGACAACCAAGCTGATACAGTGCCGTCTGAATATTTACAATGCTACAAACGTAAAGGACCAGATCATCAAAATGGAAACTCAAGTGATAAAGAATTAATTGATATTAGCAGCGATGATGACCAAGACAAAAATACATCAACAGTAGTTAATAAATCTAGCGACATTCTGTCACAAGGTGCACAACCAGCAAAGAAAGCACGACTGTCCCCTAGTGTCAGCAATGCATCTTTAAATAACAGATTAAATGTACCATGGGTAATATGAAAAGAAATAATTTTTTATTTTATCTTTAAACTTTCAAAATTATTTGAAAAATGTCTCTATTATTATAGCCAGATATAACGATACATAAGACTACAAATGTGCCTCCAGTGAAATCAAATCAGTCAAATCAACTGAATCCCTGGCATCAGTCAAGTCAGTCAAGTCATGCAAGTCATGCAAGTCATTCAAGTCATTCAAATCAAGTGAATGAAGTAAATCAGTTTAATCAATTAAATCAGCAAAAACTTTCTAATAATTCATCCCAGTCACATCAGTCAGGAAAACTGAAAAAAAAGCTCAAAGATAAAGATACAGAAAGTACTATTCAAGATGTCATAATAAGTAAAAAGGAAAAACAAGCACCTGTTACTGTTCCTAAAGTTGATTTTTCAGATATTGGAGGTAACAGTAAAATTTTAGAAAATATTGTAAAATTAATGATACATGTGAAGCAACCAGAAACATATGCAAAGTTGAAAATAACTCCTCCTAGAGGGTGTCTATTACATGGTCCACCAGGTTGTGGCAAATCTTTATTAGTTAGTGCTATTGCTGGGGTAAATATAAATTTTAATTTTAATAATTTAATATAATGATTTAAATAGCATAATTAATTTTGCTTCATAATTTTAGGAATTTAATATACCATTATTAAAAGTAGCAGCACCTGAACTAATTAGAGGTATATCTGGAGAAAGTGAAACAAGAATTAGAGAATTATTTGAACAAGCAGCTAGTATTGCACCATGTATTCTATTTTTTGATGAAATTGATGCAATTGCTCCTCAACGTGCAGTAGCTCAACGAGCAATGGAAAGCAGAATAGTTACCCAATTACAGATTTGTATGGATAATCTTAGTCCAAGAGTTCTAGTTTTTGGAGCAACTAATCGTCTTGATGCTATCGATCCAGCTTTAAGAAGATCTGGTCGGTTTGATAAAGAAATATCCTTAGGTATTCCAAATAAAGAAGCAAGAGAAGCTATTCTAAAAATTCACACATCTGGCGTTAAAATTTCACCAAAAGTTAGTTTAAAAACACTTGCTTTATTAACTCCGGGATTTGTTGGAGCTGATCTAGTAGCTTTTATCAGAGAAGCTGCTGTAAATTGTGTTTATAGGTAAACATTTATTTTTCAGTATCTTAATTTTCTTAAAAAAGATACAAATTCCAATAAATTTTATTCTATTTTTTTTCTTTAGAATGTTTTACGATTTAAAAAGACAACAAAATAAAGATGTACCTAGACCTACTCCAATGCAAGTTGAAAAAGATTCAGATATAGATATTGCTGATGTTATTATTGATGATGATATCATTGTAGAACCAGCTACTTCTAGTTCATCATCAACTCACAAAGCAGGTTCGTTTTATAAGTTTTTTTCATATTTTTTTTATTTTTGAGTTTGACTGAATAATGAAATTTCGTACAGATAAATTAACTGCAAGCTCTTCAGAACAATCAAAAATTAGCAATGACTCTGAACAGTTGAATGTATCTTTAAAATCTGTTGAAGAACTGTCACCAAAACCAACCCCTGGTACTTCTGCAGTAGAAATGGAATCTACTGCAACTGAATCAACTCCAAATACTTCTTCAGCAGACAATAAACCTATGGAAGTTACTAGTATTTCTGCTTCAGAAACCAAAGCTATAGAAACTCTTAACACTCCTGATGTGGAAACTAAATCTGCCGAAGCTTCAACCACTTCTGCTGCAGAAATCAAGTCCACAGAAACTTCTAAACCTTCTGAAGAAGAAATCAAAACTACTGAAGATCCTTGTTCATCTGTTGCAGAAGCTAAATCATCAGAAGGTGGAATTTCTGTAGCAAAAACTACAATTACTGATGTTCCTAGTACCTCTGCAGCAGAAATTGAATCAGCAGAAGTTGCTAGTACTTCTGCAGCAGAAATTAAAAAAAAAGAAGTTACTAATACTTCTGCAGCAGAAACTAAAAAAACAGAAATTGCTAGTACTTCTGAGATTGAAACGAAATCAACAGAAGGAGCTATTACTTCTGTAGATGAAAATAAATCAACAGAAGTAGCTAGTACTTCTGCAGCTGAAACCATAGATATTGAAGCTCCAAGTACTTCTAATGCGGTAATTAAATCAACAGAAGTTGCTGAAACTCAGTTAACGGAAATTGCTGAAACACAATATGAAACTGCTAACGAAATAGAATCCAATACAATGATCAATGAAGTTGAAATGCGATCTCCTATTGAAGAACCTCCCTTAAAAATTGAATCCCCCAATAAATTTAAAGATATTTTATCTTGGTTACGTAATGATTCATTACTCACACCTGAGCAGCTTGAATTACTAACTATTGAAGAACAAGATTTTGAATTAGCTTTAAAAGATGTACAGCCCTCAGCTAAGAGGGAAGGTTTTGCCACTGTACCAGATGTAACATGGGATGATATAGGTTCCCTGCAACATATCCGTGAAGACTTACAAATGGCAATATTGGTAAATATTGAATTAAATTCAAGTTTTTTTCTTTTTCAGAATAATGTTGAAAATTTCTGATTTTAGGCACCAGTTAAATTGTCTGATGATTTTGATAATCTTGGATTAGAAGCTTCAACTGGAGTTTTATTATGTGGTCCTCCTGGTTGTGGAAAAACTTTGTTAGCAAAAGCTATTGCCAATGAAGCTGGCATCAATTTCATATCAGTAAAGGGACCTGAACTACTCAATATGGTATGTAAAAACCAAAAATAATAAATTATAAGGTTCCAAATATGATCATTACAAAAATAATATCTATGTTCAGTACGTTGGGGAGAGCGAAAGAGCCGTTAGACAATGTTTTCTAAGAGCTCGAAATTCGGCACCTTGTGTCATATTTTTTGACGAACTCGATGCTTTGTGTCCTAAACGTTCCGAAGGTGACAACTCGGCTTCATCTCGTGTAGTTAATCAGTTACTAACTGAAATGGATGGCGTCGAAGGTCGTAAGAACGTCTTTATATTGGCAGCCAGTAACAGACCAGATATAATTGATCCAGCTGTTCTTCGTCCTGGTAGACTTGGTAAAATTTTATACGTTGGTCTTCCTAATCCTAACGATCGAGTAGACATACTTACTGCATTGACAAAAGTAAGTTAAAAATCCACAAATGATATGAGTTAATGATTATTCACCCATACTTTATCGTTAATTATTTTTTTATTTTTTTTAGAATGGAACAAAACCAAAACTTGCTGCCGATGTAGATCTCAAAGCTTTAGCTGAGCGCTGTGCTGGTTACACAGGTGCTGATTTAGCGGCATTTGTTCATGAAGCTGGCGTTGAGAAAGTGCGCGAAATCATGCGAGGTGCTTTTGGACCAACTGAAGTCTGTGCTAGGCACTTTGAAGCTGCATTTGCTAAAATTAAACCTTCTGTGACAGAAAAGGTAAGATAATGACACGATTTAACTTAAAATTAAGTTTATATACAACAATGAATACTTTCATGAAACTGAAGTAATAAGTGTTAATAATTATGACATTTGCTTCATCATATTGTTTTTTTTTTTATTACAGGATATTAAACACTATGAAAAGTTACGATTACGTTATGCAGCTAAAACAACAGACACAACAGATGTACAGATGAAATTAGAAATACCAGAAGCAGAGATGGAAGCAATGGAAACATAAATATTTTCCATGATGAAGAGTTCAAAATTAATAAAATTTTGATCATAGATCTACCCAAAGTTAGTATTGACTTATGCCGTTCTACTCTTGACGAGAAATTTTTGATTCGTTATATTTTTTTATTTCTTTTGATTAATGGGTTTTATATCCTGTGAATGAAAAGTGATCTGTGTTAGATTAAGTTAAATTTGCAATAAATCTTTCATGTTTATCAACTCAAATACTTAAAGTTTGCTATAACTTAATTTCAAGGTATTTCAGTTGTAAGTACAATTACCTTTTAAGTTCATCTTAGCAATTTATTCAATTAATGCTATATTATATTATTTAATGTAAAGCCTCTTTTCTGATAAAAATTGTGAGAAATTCAATGTAATTTCAATACATTCTAAAAACACTGTACTCATGAATTCAGAACGTTACGGAAAAAGGTAATAAAATTGTTAAAACGACCATAAACAAATTAATTTTTACTTTTTATTGAAATCAAATACCCTGGATTACGAGTTGCATCTCTCGTAAATCGATTGAAATGCGACCAAGAGCCAAAAACTACGCATAAAATAAAATATTCGTCGATTAAACCACAACTTCGACTAGTAAATCATACTTTTAGCAATTGGTTTACATCGTATGAGCTTTGTTTTACGCAGTTAGAAAATTGTCAGAATTTAAGAGATCTTCGATGCATTTCTTAACGAATTCGTTCTGCTGATTAAATTACATGATGACGATAATAGCCGTTGGCGTCTCCTATCGTGAAAATCTTAGCTCGTGCATCGTAGAAAGTCAAATTTATTAAGAAATTGTAGTTTCATCGTGAATAATAAACCGTAGTAGAATAGTTCATACATCAAGATTACACTTTTATTTTTCAATTCAATTTGTTGATTTATCCATGTGAATAAACGTGGTAGGCAGTGGTTACTCGAGGTCGTACAAGCATAAATCTACGGAAGTTTGACACTTGTCGATACCGAGTCCGTTTTATAAATCGAGTCATTAAAACAAGAGTCAAATTGTGCGACGATTAAAGCCATGAATAAAAATTTGACCTAAATAAAAAGGAAAATAGAAGCGAACACGAACTAGAATAGTTATCGTGTATTGTGGTGTACGTATGGAAATCTGTAAATTCATCGTGATGAATAGTTCTCGTCACGGTCGATGATCGTGTATTTACAGCTATTGTTCAATATAAATATTGCGCGCTCGTTGCATGTGTAATGCGTGTGTCGCCTGTTACCGCTATATACGTAAGCACACATCCAGCAAATTGACTCTCGTGTCAACGTTTCGTTCGTAAAATTTACAAAGAAAAATAAATTTTTAATAATTTTTTTTTCCTACCGTGGCGTAACGATCTCAAAAAATGGTGCGATCATCTCGCGCGAGATTGCTCATCCTTCGAAAAACAAACATTGGAATCGATTTGACTCCGAATAAAAATTGACGTAATTGCAAATGAGCTTGGGTTTTTCAAGGAAAAAAAATCATAACATAAAAGATGAATAGAAAGTGTTTAGCTTTAAAAGGTAATAAGCGTACCCAGGTATATAACAAGTGTCTCCGAGACTAAAAAAAGACATCCGCAAAGACATTAAGTGCAATTAGTATGTATATGAACAGTATTAAAGAAGAAAAAAAGTGGACTCTCGAAGCTCGAGAGAGCGCGATAAAAATACAGTTTCGTCCACTTCGAGCTCTCTCTCTCTTTTTCTTACCGTCGAACGAGCCTCGCGTGGATGTGTCTTTTTTAAATAGTCGCTACATGTATTATAGATAACGAAGCAAGTAGTACGGCGCGCACAGTGTCAAGGACGCGCTCTTATAAAATAAAGCCCCGAAAGAGAGCAAGAAAGAAGGAAGGAAAGAGCGACTCGACTGTCCGTGTCTGTGTGTGTGTGTCACTTTTTTATATCTGTATATTATCATGCACACAGTGAGAGAGAGAGAGAGAGACAGTTTAGAGGTGGTACACGCGCCTGCTTCGGGGAGCTCTCCCGACGATGACGTTGGACGCGCCGATGAAAGAGAGAGAGAGAGAGAGAAAAAGAACAGCAGCGAGTGTGAGAAGAGATGCGGTTCTTTCCGCGTGTCCGCACCGCGCGTATATGCGAGGCACCCGCAGCTACCAAGCGCCGCGCTTCTCATTCATGTTTTTCGCGAGCTCCGTAACGCATCTCTATCTCTCTCTCTCTCCGTGTCAATAAACGATACGCGACTCACTGCTGCCGTCGTGCGCGAATTTTGGTTGATCGACTTTCGATTCGATGCACGAGTGCCAAAAAAATAAATAAAATAAAAAATAAAAAAAGGTAAATCGGCGTCGGTGCCCTGAGAGGTACGAGCAAATACACACACAGACAAGTACATGCACAGGTGGACATGCAGCTAATTTAATGGAAGTGCGTTTGCGTGTGCACGTCGTCCTCGTGAGCAAGAGAGCATGAACTGGGCCAAGCGAGACAACAGCGAGTCCAGCAGGTGCATCGTCTTTTGACGCGCCTATCCTCGTCGTCGACGATTTCTCAGCATCTCCAAAGTTTCTACGCATACGTACGTAATTATAATTATATTGTTATTCATCGATTATTTATTTACTGTTTGTATGCAGCAAGACCAACGCATTGAAATTTTTTATTGCATGAGCTGTCTCGATCTCGTGCCGCACACACACACTCTCTCTCTCTCATTACTTTCTTGTGCAACATTGCAAGTTAAAATGAGCAGCTCGATACAATGCAAAGTTCGTATTTCAAATTCTCTTTTATTTTTCAGCTCTTTGTTTTTCTCGCCTCCCTTTTTCGTGAACTCGAGAAATTTCGTAACCGAAAAACGGCTCTCGATCAAAGAAAAAAATAAAAATCATGAGGACTCAAGCCACGCTCCGTTTCGCGCTCGTCTTCGCTGCGACAGTGGCCAGCTTAGCAGTGAGCGAGGTCCTTGCCAATTATGACGATGACGCCGATTCTTTACCGTCGATTTATGGGTAAGTTTTATATCATATTATTATCGTGTACACAGGCAGGCACACATCCAATCGTTTGAATCGAAGCAGCCGCAACACAGCACGCATAAGCTCATGCGCGCGCTGTCAATTGATTATTCCTTGAAAACGCGTCGGCTCGCGTCGGCCAGCCGAGCTTTATAATAACATCGTTTGCGCTTGAACTTGAATCTCGATCAAAATCATGCGCCGCCGCCGCCGCCGCGAGTGCGATCGCGCTTGCACTGCAGCCACATCATCGTACACTTTGATATTATTATAATTTATCGATCGCATACGATCTACACGCACGTATTTATCACAGAATGCAGAGTCTGGCGTTGCGCTGCGACACGGAGTCGAAGCTGCGGCACGTGCTCGCCTACCGGGGCCAGCCGGGCTTCGATTTTCTGCGCGTGCCCCGATCGCCGCTGGAGAGCGTCGATCTGCTCGTCACGGCCGAGCGCGTGGCCGATTTCAAGGATCGGCTGCGCGCCAATGACATTGAATTCAGCGTCGAGCACGACGACGTCGCCAAGATCGTCGATCAATTGGCCCTGGAGCAGGAGCGCGCCGAGCCATGGACGATGATGCAGCAGCAGCCGCAGCAGCAGTCACATCCGCGTAGCCGTAGGGACGTTGGCCTCTTTCATAAATTTCCACGTTACGACGAGGTAAAACAATAGCGAGGCACTTGTCTATATAAAATGCGTACATGTACGATGGAGGCGCGCGTGGAAAATTATCGAGACCCTGTGCACTCATTGCTGCCGCTGCGTTTTTATTTCGCGCGCACAGATCGAGCTCTACCTGCGCCACTTGAAGGCCCTGCACAACGACACGATGGATCTCTTCAGCATCGGCAAGAGCTACGAGGGTCGCGACATCTGGGCCGTCAAGATAAGCAAGAGCATCTCCGCTCGGGCCCGCAAGCCCATCATGCTGATCGACGCGGGTATACACGCGCGCGAATGGATCGCCCCGACGACGGCCCTCTACGCCGTGCACCAGCTCGTCGACAAGCCCCACAACTCCTACATCTTCGACCAGATGGACGTCTACGTCATACCCGTGCTCAATCCCGACGGCTACGAGTTCACCCATTACAATCGAACGGTATAATAATAATAATAATAATCAATAATTGCGAGAAAAGCTCGGGGATTAGAACGATCGACTTTTTTAATACATCGATCGATTGTTCATTTATCTAGACCAGATTGTGGAGAAAGACGATGTCGGGCATGTCGAAGAAGATCTGCATGGGCGTCGATGCCAATCGAAACTTCGATTATCAATGGATGAGTGAGTACACCACGATTCAGATCAAATGTAACGATGCGCCATTGTTCCGTAACTCTGTGATGTTGTAAAAACAGGTGTCGGTGCGTCGCCTTACGCATGCAGCTCGCAGTACGCCGGTAGTCGACCATTTTCCGAGCCAGAGACCAGAGCCTTGAGAGACTTCATACTGTCCAGGAGAGGTCTCATTAAAGTTTACTTAACTTTGCACTCGTACGGCAATGTGAGTATAAATCTTGAACGATAATCCAATGGTCGGTTTCTCGAAATTTTCTTTTTGATTCGACAAGCTTATAATTTTTTTTCTTGCACTTTAGTACATGCTGTTTCCTTGGGGATTCACGAGCGAGCTCCCACCAAATGAGCCAGTTTTAGTAAGTTCAATTTTTACTCGCATCGAGCATTTAATTCAAAAAGTTGCGGCTTTAAATCAATATTTTTTTCTACAGAGATGCGCTGCCGAATTAGCCGAATCTGCCCTAGCGCGTGTTCGTGGCACGCGCTACAAAATCGGTAGCTCTACCAACGTCCTCTGTAAGTAAAATTGACGACAAATTTATTATTTAAAAACTCAATAACGAAAAATTCATTTCAACTTCCATCGCAGACGCAGCCGCGGGCGGAAGCGACGACTGGGCCATGGGCGTAGCCGGCGTCGATCTGGTCTACACGATCGAGCTGCCCGGCGGTTCCTACAAATTCACGCCGCCGACCAGCGAGATTTTGCCGGTGGGCCAGGAGACTTTCGAAGCCATCAAAGTTTTCGCGCGCTACGTCACGGGCGACATATGCCGCGGATTTTGAACAAACCCGTAGATTGTAATACGTCACATTGCTTATGATATAATTTAATTTTTTTTCCATTCATCTTCGTCATACTTGTACATAAGAGCTCAGAGAATTTCTCATCACTGTTATATATGTAACTATATAGAAGTACTAAAATAATATATTATTTTTGATCGCGAGATTTAATTAACAGATACATGAGTTGTGCATTTAAAAATGAAAATGATAATACGTAATTATAGATTTACGAAGTTGTATCGAAATACGACGATTAAGATGTTGCACGTTAAAGAGAGAAAAAAAAAGATGATCACAGAAATTAAATAAAAACTAATGAAAAAAAACTAATTAAAGCAACGATAAATTATACAACTAAAATCTTGGCAATTTCCCATGTGCACGATTAATAATACATTTTTTCCAACGTACTCATCTGCTAAAACCACTCGCAAGCTGACGGTTTTTATTTTTTCTTTTTCGTATCTACGAATATCATCACGACTTGGAACGGTTTTAAAGAAAAAATAATGTTTCACGCCGCTTATACTCTGTCAATAAAAAAAAACTTCGCTATCTTTAGATGCAAAGCACGCGCTGCGCTATGCGCTTGCTCATCGATTTCACGAAAACGAGTTTTTCTCAGTGAAATCGTACTTTTTTTTCTATTCAGCGACATTGGTCGCTCACATAGTGACATCAAGAAAAAAAAACCATGAATGTAATTATTGCGCTTTTGTTCGTGATAATTCGCATCAACGCTGCCGAAGAATACATACCACCAGTCGATGGGTTTGATCTTTTTTCTTCATTTTCCAAATAGTTTCGTTAATTCATGATGATTTTAATTTAAAAAAGTTCAGGATGCAAAAACTCTCGATAACTGTCGATACCGATAAAAAATTAAACTTGGTTCGGTCGTATCAAGACGAAGAGGGATTCGACTTTTTGCGAGTACCGGAAAAACCATCGAAAAATGGCGTCGTCGAATTATACGTAGCTGGGGACAAGGTGAACAAATTCAAAGGCACGTTGAAAAAGAATCACTTGACTTACAAAATCGACATCGAGAACGTGGCCGAGACGATAAAGAAGAGCAACGACGAAAATCACAAGCGTCATCGTCGGACGCGTCGTGATGTCCATAATTTCGAACATTTTCCAAAATACGATGAGGTATTTACGAAATTTTCCGAATACAGTGTTGACAATATTTAATTGAAATGTATGACCGCGCAGATCACAGCTTACTTGAAACAAATCCACAAAGAACATCCGAGTTTCACGAAGATAGAAAGGATCGGAGGTTCTTACGAGAATCGAGATATCTTTGCCATTAAATTTTCTAAACGAGACCGTAACGTTAAGAAACCGATTTTACTGATCGACGCTGGCATTCACGCCCGCGAGTGGATCTCCGTTACCACGGCTCTGTACGCGATCGATCAACTGACGAAACATCCCAATTTTTTGAACAATATGGACGTTTATGTGATTCCACTGCTCAATCCGGATGGTTACGAGTTTTCTCACGGCAGCGATAAGGTACAATAAAGTAGTGAGTTCGATATTATTTCCGACTTGGGGGTTTGAAATGACTCACGTTGAAATTACACAAATAGGCAAGAATGTGGAGAAAGAGTCGATCGGAAATCAAACGATGGGGTTGCACGGGTGTCGATCTCAATCGCAATTTTGGATTCCACTGGAACAGTACGTGCTAACGCTATTTCCTCTTTGATTCTTTGTTTATCACATCCGTTTTCTATAAGTATAGCCGTCGGTGCCTCAAAGGTTCCGTGCAGTCCTATCTACGCCGGTCCCCACGCATTTTCCGAACCGGAGAGTCGAGCACTCAGGGATTTTATGTTGCGTCTACGAGGACGAATCAAAGTCTACCTGAGCCTTCATTGTCCAGGAAATGTGAGCGTAAAGTTGAAGTTGTAAAATTTTTAGCGCCTACTTTTATAATATTTTTCGTTTTAGTTAATTTTGCATCCTTGGGGTTACACTTACGATGCTCCAAAAAATGCTCATGATTTGGTTAGTTATGCTGCGTTGATTTTTTAACGAGCTCGTCAGTGAAAATGCATCATTTTCTTACAGGTATGCCTCGGTCGCGAAGCTAACAATAAATTGGCCAAGGTACGAAAATCTTCGTATCAAGTCGGCTCTGCATCGAAAGTCGTCTGTAAGTTCTATAAATCTCATCTACAATAAAAACATCTTCTAAATTTTGTATAAACATTAATTGGTGGAACCGTAGATTTGAGTTCGGGTAGCAGTACCGATTGGGCAATGGGAGAGGGTGGCGTCGAGATGGCTTACACAATCGAATTGACGGAAAAAATGCACGGGTTCACGACGCCGACCAGTGAAATTGTTCCCGTAGGTAAGGAGTTTTTCGAAGCCTTGAAAGTTTTTTCGAGTCACGTTGTTGGAAAAGATGAATGTCATGAGGCTACAGAAGATATGTAAAAAGTAAAGCATGAAATTTACAAGAAAAAAGGAATAAAGATAATTTCATTACAAATGACAGAATAATGGATATTTTTTTAGAGACTCGAAGACATATTGTACTATCTGTAAGTATTTGAGTAAAGCTTTGACTTTGCTTATAATAAATGTAAGGTTCATGATAAAAAATATCGAGAATGATTTTATTATTATGATTCGTATTGTAAACATTTGATACATTAAACTTTATTATAAGAGTTATTATAAGAGTTTATTATTAGAGTAAAAGTAGCAATTAGGCTACATAGGATGTGGACAAATCAGAATGACATTACAGTTTCAGAATTCCATTTCTAATTTATAAAAAATTTTTTAATATCTTGTTTTTCTGTAATGAGATTTTAATAAACACAAGATATATAATGTAATTTCTTCAATGATATGTACGCAATAAAATTGTTCCGTTTCCTTGGTTTACATCAATAGTTCTGACATTTCATATCACAATTTGTAAATATTAGCAACACGGATATACGGACGACAACTGCTGTTATGTGCTGTGCTTAGGAACGCGCAAGTATGGCAATCCCTGAGGCAAGTAAGGCAGAGATATAATAATTTTAATTCTATGAAAAGATAATTGTACTATTTTAGTTACATGAAACGTTTTTAGCAATAATTTAATATTATTAAACACTACAGCGATGGCAAAAAATGTAATGGCGCTCTTTTATATTAGTGCACTGTGTAGAAATAAGATTAATCTTTGTTTACACGATCTCGTTTACTCCATTAGGAGGTGTCGTTTGTTCTAGATCACTTTCTTTTGTCCACTCGCACAAGCGAAACAGGTCTCCGTCGCTCATGTGCCCAGCAATCGTTCGGCAGACAGTATATGGAAGATTCAGTTTACAATGATCCGTCATGAACAGATCGGCGGCCAACAGTTCGAATTGTAGCCTCAACAGAACGTTGGAAATGTGTTTTTTTACTATTACTTGAACGAAGTCCTTTAAATCATTTAGTGCTGGTAAACGATAATCTTTAATTTTGCTCAAAATGGAAGAAGCTTCCTTATAACTCATTTGGCAAATTTGTAACAGCGAGACGTCTTTATTTACCATAATGACTTTCATTTTCTCAACTCCGAGTTTTCTGATGCTAGGTAGGGATGTAGTAATAGTATCAACAGTCCCTAACATTGGCCGATCGAGTGTTAATCTTATTTGTTCTCGTTTTTTATGCAAGTAATCGGCAGTTTCTGAATCGAAATAAAAACCAAATTCTTTATGAATAGCCAGGTATTGCTGAATGCCTACAAGAGTCGATCCGCTCGTTAAGTTTTTGGATGATTTACCATCGTTGTTCAAAATCAAATTTTTGATATCTAAACTTCGATATTTCATAAAAAACTTCAAAATCTTCAGTCGAGTGTAAACGTCACAAGAAAATCCATTTGACGACAACAACCGTACCATCTCAGCGATGTAAAAAGTAATAGGATAATCATTCAATTCAGATGATGTATATACTGTGCTAAACGTAATATTCTCGCTCAAACTGTCCAGACTCGCACCTCGTTCCAAGAGTGACTTTGTCAGCTCATAGTCCAAAAGCGACACCGCCAATTCCAGAGGTGTGAAACCTCGAGCATTTCGTGCCTCGATATTTGCTCCTTTAGCGACGAGTAAGTCGACAATCTCCTCGACTGGTCTTCTCTTTTTCTCTTTCTTGTCGTCGTCTGTATTGTCGATACAAAATTCGTCACAGTCACACACACGCAGTCGCGCCAATGCATGAAGCGGAGTCGACTTACTTTCTTTTTCCAATTGATTCGGTTCCGCGCCGTTTTCCAACAGTACATTCACGACATCCGCTCGGCGGTACTTGCAGGCTATGTGCAGCGGCGAGCACGTGTACGAGTCGACATTCACGTCCACGCCTTGGCTTAAGAAACGTTGCACTGTCTCGATATCGCCGCTGAAGCAAGCTCCGTGTAAATAGGTGTATCCATGATCGTCGCAATGATTTTCCTCGGAATTTGTCAAAAAAAAATTGATGAGGGACTTTGTCTCTGGGTCATCGTAAGCATGATATTTGTTCCATTTGCTTTCGTGTTGATTATCGTGCCACGCAAATTGTGGATCGTGATAGTTGAGACGATTATAGGCACGTAACTCCGATTTGCATTTGTAGTTGAGATTGGACGAATAATGAATTGCAGACTTTCCATTTATAAATATTCTATGAATATTTAGCTCCATGAACTGCTTCATAAATGTAAATAATGTGTAAAGCTTCTTGTGTAATGCGATTTTCAAAAATGTAGATGGGTCACGTTTAATCATATCTTTTAATTCTTTCATTTGTTTAAAATCCATTTGCAAGGGATTACTTCTAAACTTTTTCAATATATCTCTTATGTTATTCTCGTTGAAACAATTATTTTTAAATTTATCTTTTGCCATGATGGATTTGGATTTTACTAGTGAACACGTTTAACACTTGGTCGAACTTGACGACTCACCAACACTCGAGGAAATAGAGACGAAGATGTGAGCAGCTTCGTGTACTTGTACGAACTGATCTCTGTGAAGCACACGTCTAGCGATTAACCATGTATTTTAGAAAGTAGATTAAATTTTTCTAACGTGTCAGCCTCCAACACGTGCGTTGCGCAGTGCGCATACAATGTCGCGCATCGGGGAATCGGGGAATGGCGGCTCTTGGAAATTCGAGAAAAATACTCGAACTTGATGAGTCGAGTTTTTTCAAGTACTCGCACAGCCCTATAAATTAGTAAGTAATCACTTTACATACGTTTTTATCGAAGTAGTTTGTACTTCTGATGATAAATTTGTATATTATTACTTCATGTACGATTACTAATTAGTTTTATTTTTATCAGCGTTCAGTTAATAACATGATCTCGCAGTAATTATTCCCGCATGAGTCGGAGCTCATATCTAGAATTCTGAACATGTATTGGAATGAACCTTCACTAATAAAAAAGTGCATAATGAATCAAAACCAACCACTGACTATCAATTTCCTTCCCCTTAAAAACTGCATATAAACATCAAGTAAGTATATTTATCATTTTAATTTTTTTGTTTCCTTCAAGTTTTCAGAAAGCGAAGCGAAAGCTCTCTTTTGCAGAAAGATGGTAAGTATTTTTTACTTTTTCACTGAAAAGGAGGTGGCTAAGTTTATTCTTTTTAAACTTTGAGCCAATAATGGTATTTTTCATATTCACGAAAACGATACTCGATCTCGATATTATGCAGAAGATTTCATAAAAACCGTCGTTGAAAGGGATTTAAGCAGTAAACTCATTTGTTGTCTCAAGTGCAAAATAGTACGTGAATTTTATTCGATTATTATTTTCACAAACTTACAGCGGGTGTATAACGTAATGACGCCCTTATGCATAACTTTCCATTATCACGAATAATCCATTGTTTCAAAAAACAATTAATTGTCAAATTCATTAAAAATATTCTAACTTTTTTTACAAAGACGTGTATTTTGTTACGATTGAGTATCAAATTAGAGTAATTGACGTGAGTTAGTACTAAGAGCATTGATCTTATCAAATAATATGTACAATATTATCATATTTAATTTAAAATAACGTAAACAATATCTGTAGAATTAATTTTGTTATCTACTTATACAATTCTTAGTAGCTAAATATTTATATTTTTCGCACAAAATATTGATCATTTTAATAAAAACAAATTTTTTTGTCTTTAATTATTTCTATCGTAAGTGTAATAACTTTGCGGATATCTAAAAGTTTTTCATTGCGTTAATTTGATACCCTTCGATTTATGTAGTTTATCAAATACATAAAGTAATAATTACGCCTTATAAAAATATAAAAATCACACGACATCAAGCACGCGTATCGTCTTGCAAACAGTCAGTCATTCAATCCCTCGATTCTTCTGCGCAAACATAAATCAGTCTTTAATTAAGTAGTAGTTTATTTTTTACAATTTGCCAACGGCGTCGAAGCCGTTCCCGCGCTATACCCTCGTGTTATCGAAATAATCCGTCGGGATTGCTGGCCGCGCCGCTGCAGTTGCGCTCGTCGCTGCCGTCCGAGCACTCATGGAAGCCGTTGCAGACGCGCGACCTCGACAGGCACCTGCCCAGCGGGCAGCGATGCCCGCGGCAGTGGGACGTGGCCGTGGTCGGATTCTGCCGCGCCACGACCTGCTGAATCCAGCCGATGTAGTAGTGTACCTTCGTGTAGACGCCCGGTCGGTCGGCTTGGCCGCAGCCGAAACCGTTGGACGTGATTCCTGCGACAGACGGCACTTCGTTGAGCAAATGTCTTTTGATCGAGTGTGCTGGTTCGTAGCTAAATGTGGACTTACCGTGCAGGGTATACTTATTGTCGGGACCAGGACAAACCAGAGGTCCACCGCTATCGCCGAGGCAAGCATCCCTTCCGCCCGCCTTGTAACCCGCGCAGAACATTCCCGGCGAGATTCTGTACAGAGACGAGAAGACCGTTTGCATGATGCACATCCCCGTGGAGATGACTGGCACCTCGACCTCTTGCAGCGTCTCGGCTGCTCGAAAAATGAGACGATGCGTTTACACGTTTTGTACTTGAACGATATGCCGATTGTTGCAGTTTGTAATGAGTAATGCGCTTACGGAAAATCCTGCCGATCTCGTAAAGTTGACCCCATCCGGTGACCGTGCACAATTCGTCGTGTTGCGGCTCCCTCGACGGCAAACAGACCGGCCTGACGTAATCGCTGAACGTCATCGGCTTCTCGAGCCTCAGCAGGACGATGTCGTTGATATAGCCCGTGTTGTTGTAATTGGGATGCGTGACGACGTAGTCGACTCTCAGCACCTGCTCGTACGGGCTCGGCAAGCTCTCGCGTTTCGTCGTACCGATTCTCGCCACCCAATATTCGTTCTCCGATCTGCGAGTGAAAGATTTTGTCGTTTTTAAATTTTACTACAGCTCTAATATTTCAGTGCGCTTCGTGCGCCGTAGAATTATTTATTATTATATTATTTTTCCGTTATGAGATATTATTCATTTTAAAATGTTTACTGTTCATAGGATATGAGATAAATAATGTCATTTCTTCAATGATATAATATAACAGATGTATATAAAGACTAAGTTTTACTTCGTTCACAGCCCTTCCACGTACCGTAGACAAACACGGCACAATACCGCGAGCCGAGCAACACTATACACAGAGAGGTCATGCATGCCACGCACGACGTAAACAATAGAACGAGCACAGATCTCGCTGCTCTTTGCGAGTTATTCCTTGCAGTTAGCTTGATCATCACAGAAAGGTTAATTGTTAAAACAAATTCCAAGTGAGAACGATGGAACACAGAGCTGTCAGGTAATTTTCATTTTTTGAGAATTTTAAAAAATATTATGCCTAACTATCTTGACCTTATTCGAGCTATTTCAGAGTAAAAGAGAAATCCAATGAGAAGTCGCTTATTGAAAATAATTGTGAAATGTCCGACATTAAAAACGTACAACTTTTACCATTTTTACAGGAAGATTCAGTAAGTATTGATAACTATGCTTAACTTGTATTGTACTTGTTTTTCAATGAAAATTCTAACACAGCTATAATTTTTTATAGAATCATATCCTTCAAAATTGTGAATTGAATGATAGAAGTTGTGAATTTGATGACGAAATGGAAATAGTTGTTGAATGTGCAGATGTCAAGCCCAACATTAATTCATTACCAGTTGTAAAAATCGAGGATGGTTCTTCAAATCCCCTGCATAGTGTAAAAAATAGCGATAATTATAAAATTCAAAACATATTCAAAACAGAACCTGTGGGTGAAGTGAAACAAGAAGTTGTTAATGACGCTGTAGAGGAATCGAATTTGAATTTCGACCATGAATTTGTTCAACAAAATAAAAAAAAGGGAACTACAATAGATTTCAACAACAAACATAACCTCAAATCACAAATTGGTACGGTACATAGTGTTACCACCTATGAATGCGATGTATGTAAAAAGACGTTTAAACGGAAGTATGATCTGAATAGCCACGTTCAGTCAGTTCATAATGGTATCACTCACACATGTGATATTTGCGGCAAGAAATTTTCAACGAAGAAGTATCTCCAGGTCCACATTAATGCGGTGCACATGGAGGTCACACATGCATGTGATATATGCGGAAAGAAATTTTCTCAAAAATCTAATTTGAGAACTCACATTGATACTTTGCATAGGGGTATAACACATACTTGCGATATATGTAAAAAGACGTTTAAACAGAAGTATAGTCTAAATTACCACGTTCAACGAATTCATAATGGAATCACTCACACGTGTGATATTTGTGAAAAGAAATTTTCAACAAAGGGTACTCTCCAAATCCACATCGATACGTTACATAGAGGTGTCACACATGTATGTGATATATCCTTGAAGACATTCACACAAAAGGGTCAGCTGAAAATTCACATTAATACGATGCACAATGGTATTGAAAATGTTTGCGATAAATGTGGGAAGAAATTTTCAACAAAGGTTTATCTCAAAATACACATCGATTCGGTGCACAACGGTGTCAGACATGCGTGCGATGTATGTCAAAAGACATTTAAACAGAAGTGTTTTCTGAGTAGGCATGTTCAATCAGTTCATAAGAGTATCAAGTATACATGTGATATTTGCGAAAAGAAATTTTCAACGAAACAGTATCTCAAGGTCCACATTGATGTGGTGCACAACGGTGTCAGACATGCATGCAATGTATGTCAAAAGACGTTTCAACAGAAGTGTGATCTGATTAGGCACGTTCAATCAGTGCATGACGGTATTACTTACATGTGTGATATATGCGAAAAGAAATTTTTACAACGAGGTACTCTCAAAATTCACATTGATTCAGTGCATAATGGTATCACTCATGCATGTGATATTTGCGGAAAGAAATATTCATCATAGAAGTATCTCAAAATCCACATCAATTCGGTGCACAGTACTATAAATACTTGAGATATGCGCGGAAAGTTATTCTTCTACAAATGAAGTTCGAAATCTACATGGATTTATCACACAACGATCTCACATTGCAAAAAATAATTTTCACAAAAGTCTCATTTAAAAACCTATGATGATTCGGGGCATCCCTCATGCATTACAACTCAACAAATGTATAAAAGCTTATTTAAAGGACTAGTTCAAAATGTTTTAATTTTAAAAAATCAGTAAATTGTTTGTAAAGCATATCATTAATTTTAAATCTAATAAAATTTGGAACCATTATGATCGATGACACTTTTTTACCTCATTTCGACTCAAGACAAAAGTAACTCAATCAATCAGAATCAGTTTCAAGTGGCTTCATTTTATTACTTTTTATATAATTAAAAAAGCCAAATAGTGGTAAATTTCTTTTTTACTAGCTAACATAAGGACTTACTTGTAAAAGCAGTGAGCTGCCGATATGATCCAGCGATCACTTATGATTGAACCGCCGCATTGGTACTCGCCCTCTTTGTAGAGCGCAACCTGCCACGGCCAACTTCCGGTGCTGGAGCTACCACCGCCGACGACTCTGTAAACACGAGTATGAGGCCCTTGTCTATGTCCCCAATTGTTATCTCAAACGCGCGTCTCGATCTCATTCATATTATAAAAAAAAAAATAAATAAAAAATAAAAAGCACCAAGCGACCCTTGATCCATTATACTTTAATGCACGCTTAAAAAGAAGAAAAAACTGTGTAATTACTACCTCGCTTGAGTCGTTGCCTGCGTTCTGATGCCGCACTCGAAATTTTTGCACTTCACTCTGAGGACCTGGCGATTGGGACACTCCGTCGGTGTGAAGGTCAGACTGTTCTTCTCCAGCGGTCTGTCGTTGCTCAGCGACAGACTGTAGTAGTTTTTGTCCCGCGAAAAACGATCCTCCTGCACCTGCTCGACCTTGGCGAAATCTCTGTGCATTCGTCAAAGTACGCGGCGTTGAATATAATTCTTTTGCCTTTCAAATATATTATAGAATAGAAAAACACTCACTGATAAGTTATGGTTTTGCACACGGCTCGTCCGAGATCCTCGATGGACCAGGGTAAACTTCGCCTCTGCAGCAGCTCGTCGCTCAGACACAGCTTTCCCCACTTGCCGTTTTTTCGTATGCTCAGAAAGCCTCGATCGTTGTAATTGTTGACTTCAGGCCTGTAGTTGTACTTGGCGTAAGGATAAGCGGCTTGGTTCGAGTTCGTCTTGGCGGACGACAGCGAGGGACGCAGTAAATTGTTACGGTTCTTCGACTTGTGTATCTCGCGGCCGGAAACGACGTCGGTCAAGTTGTCGTCGGTGCGCAGCAGGCTGTCCTCGACGATGGCATCCAGCGAGCTCGAGCTGTCGTCGTCGTCGTCGTCGTCGTCGTCATTTTCGTCGTCGGCGTTGTCCTCGTCCGAGATTATTCTGTCGGCCAACGAGGGCTGATCGCTCAGCAGATCCTCGAGATCGTCGCCGAACGGATGACGATAGGTCTGCTCCAAGTTCGGCTGGAGGATCTCCTCGTCGATCAGAGCGGCGCACTTCTTCTCGTCCTCGCCGTTCGGGCAGTCCGGTGCACCGTCGCACACCTGGATCTGGTCGATGCAGTACTTACTGTTGCCGCAGACGAACTGGCCGTCTTTGCACCAGTCTGAGAATGAAAAACGAGTTATTTTTCGTTCGAGTAATTAGTATTTTCATGGGATAAATCGATTTAGGACAATGGAATAAGTTATTGGGAATAATTACAACAACAAAGAATTCTTAAAATTCATCTGAACTTCATTATATTTATATTGAAGTTTCTATCCAGGCGCCAGTCCATGCACCAACGAAAAAAATTATTCTTTTCATTTTTGCTTTTTTTCCTCAAACTAACTGGGGACATTATGTATTTACCAAAATATAATCGCGAAAAATGTGTGACGGTGTACAGTTTTTCGATCATATCTTGACAAATATGCAAAATTTTGAAATAATAATCGCATCAATCGATTTTTCATAAAATTTTACCATAAAACTGATAATCCACTTAAAAACTATCAGTGTAAAATTACTTACAAACTCGATTGTAATACTAGCGCGGTAACTGTGAAACAGGTCTCGCTTCACCGCGACATGATTGTTGTATCTCGAATCGAAATTAATTTTTATCCTATCCAAGAGCCTAATCTGCGGTGAATAATGAAAGCTCGAATAAATAGAAAGCTATCATTTCTATTTAGGAATTTCATATGATTATGATGTAAAAATAAAGAAACAATAATTAAGTATCAATTGTACGTCTCAAATTTTAATTTTTCAAGAGACTATTTTAATAGTTGGTAAACGAATTTGAAGGCAAATATTTCATTCAATTCATAAAAAATTGTGTCACATGTAACACGAAATACGATATAACATATACTATACATACCACAATCAGCCTCATCCGAGTAATCCCAACAATCTACATCGCCATCGCAAATCTTTTTGTCGTGTCTCTGAGCCTTCAAGAACTCAGCGCAGGTACAATTGATCTCGTCCTCGGAGTCTGAGCATTCGCCAAACATGTTGCACTTTGCAGATCGTGGTAAACATTTACCGTCGTTGCATCGAAAGCCGTCGCAGGGAACTGTAATTATCATTTTTTTTCAGTAACTAATTCAGCGCAACGAAACAATCATTTAAATTTATGAGCAAACTCTTACGATCAAGGGTTTCATTGAAATCAGCTACTGGAAAAATCATTTTGTCACTTCGTTCCTCGACTCTGGTTAAGGTTTTGGTCAACACCGGAACGCCGTCACGACTGAACGTAAAATTGAGGGTAGTTTCTTTAGGTAATGTAATTCCGAAGGTTTTATTTCCTTTTGCTATGACGTCTGCTATTTTTTTCAGCTTTTCCAGGTCGATGATATTCGACGGTTTTGTTCTCATGGGCAAAGGCGGTGCTTGCGTTGCTTCGTTCCTTGTCTTCGTTGGTTTCTCGTTACCTGTTCTAATTGCTGCTAACTTTCGAAGATTGTCCATCAAGTATTGTTCTTTATTTTGAATTGCATCAACCTTGTCATCAGCTGCTTTTGTTGAATTTTCAGATGTCTGATTTTTTACTGATACCACCGCAGACTCGAACGTAGATGGAATTTGATCAGCTTGAATGCTCGACGAGACCTTTGTGCTTATCGTCGTGACAACCTCAACAATCTGTCCCAAAGTTGCCATAGCTGGTTCCTCGATCACGTCCTTATGCACCTGAGGCTTTTGCAGTGTATTATTTTGCAATCCGAAAATTCTCTCCAAAAGAATCGTGTCCGCCGAAGAATTGGCATTGGTCACGCTCAGCCTGGTGGCGATGGTCTGAGGACGCTTATTTTTATCGATTTTGGGTCTTGGTCGGATGGGTCGACCCACTCCCGAATTGCTCTTGACCGGGGCCAAGGTCACCAGATCTACGACTACATTGGGTTTGGACGTATCGTTGTAAGTTCTCATCGTGGACTGCTCCGATGTGCTCGGTTGACTAGAGGTTTCGCTTAAATTTATTTGTGGCGTGCTCGTTTGACTCTCGCTGACCTTTAACTCAGGTATTATTGGCTCTATGTTTACCTGCAAATCCAAAAATGTTCTTTTTTATTATCCAGATAAAATTTGTACGAAAATATTTTTACTTTTTTAACAAACCTGAACTGATGATAAGTTTTTAGGTACGTCTACGTCGATTTCTTCGATAGCAGCGATTCCAACGATACTACCAATTACCGGCTGGATCAAGATTGGACTTTCATCGATCAAAGTTTCATTGAAAGCGTCAAAATCAGTAATTTTTCCCGTAGTACTAGCAGTAATACTCGTAGTAGGAGGAGCCGTCGTAGTCGTAGACGTAGACGTAGTTGTTGTTGTAGTTGTAGTTGTAGTAGAAGTAGAAGTAGTAGTAAGAGTAGATGTATCTTTTTGGGAATTTGCCTCTTCGCTATTGTCTTTGACAAAAGTTTCGATTTCGACGATTCTTTCGAGATTGGGTATGATCGACCCCGGAGGTCGCTTCGTTGGCTTATCCTTTTTCAGCGATTCCTTGGACTCGGAACTGATCACTATCTCATCCTGTATAGGATTAATTTTATCCACTGGAATGGTGTGACTGAAAGGTTTCAATGTTCCGGGATTGCGGACCAAGGGTGGTTTCGAGCCACCGTTCAAATCGGGAGTTTTGTAGCTCGTGTAAACCGGCTGCTTTGGCTCTGATTCTTGCGAAACGCGATGGTGATTTTCGATATTTTCTTTCGTATTGGTTGCGTTGGAATTGTCCGGCTCGTCGGCCATAATTTCGCTGTATTTATTTCGGCTTTCTAAGTCTGCAAATAAAATTTTCGAATTATACAAAATGCAGCTGTTTCAACATATTTTCCATATAAAATTGTATTGCCTTTCACATTACCCAATTCAGATTCAAGTACTGGCTCCGCTACTCCGATTCCAGTCAGTATGGTTGGCTCACTATCACCTTCGTTATAGATCGGATAAGTCGAAATCTTACCCCCCATGAAATCTTGATTATGATTGATGTAAGTAGTCGAGGGCTCTTCATTGACATTGGAAGACGTTTTCAACCGAACATCGTAGGAATCGGGATGCAATTGGCCGCTGGTTTCGATCGTAGTCTTTTCGTCCTCGGGACTTTGAATGCCAATAGTCGAGGGTTTGTTTTTGAATTTTCCATTCGGTCGGAAATTGACCATGTCTTCTGGGACCAAACGATCGTGAGGAAAAACGCTATCCTCGTCGTCCATTGAGCTCAGCATCGGCGGTATCAACGTATTGACTGACATTACTGCAAGTAAGTATTAAGTAGGTATTCAATAATTAAATTGAAAATGTTACATCGACATGTAGATGTTTTCAAATGATGGAAAATTTTATTTTCGATAGTTGAATTCAATCGCATTTTTTAAATTAAAAAATTATGAGATCATAAAAATTGTAGCAATGATCATAGTTATTATTGCAAATGAAAATGACTGGATGAAAAATTAATAAAAATGTTTGCTACTATATTGAAAGAGACGAGGATTGTAAGCTCAACGTACTATTACCCAAACATTTCATATACTGTTGGTGCAAAAATGTTATCTCTACTATTGATAATGATACCCACCCGTATCAGTTTCTCGAGACGGATCGATGATTGTCGTAGGGTTGTCGGTACCTTTTATCGACGCATCAGTACTGGACGTGGTGACAACATCGAGGCCGACTTTTGGCAAATCCATAGCCAGATGCGGCGGTACGATCGGTTTCCAGGGCGAAGTCTCGAAGTCGGGCTCGCGAAACTCGTTGACAATTTTTTCGGACGCGTCGAGTACTCGATCCGTCGGCGTCGTCGTGATCGAAGCAAGTTTGACCGCAGTAGTAGTAGCAGCAGAGGTAGCAGTAGCTGTGGTAGTAATTGCACTAGTCCTCGTACTGGTCGTACTGCCAGCGACAGAAGTAGCGGACGCAGAAGCAGTACTCGTCGGGTCGGTCGTGGCCGATTCCGCTTTGTCGCTTATACCGCTCGTGCTCGAGATTGGGGTCGACGACGACGACGACGACGGGCGAACCTTGACCGTAGATTCGATTTTCGTCGTCGTCGGGTCAAGCGTCGAACTACTACCGCTACTGCTCGAGCTCGTTGCAGTCGGCGTGGTTGTCTCGGCACTCATTGCCGTAGTCTCGTCGTCCTTGTTTCTGTTCGTCAGAGTCGTTGACCTAGAAACATTGAGCTTCGTGGCTGTGAACGTGCCCTTGACCGTTGGCTGATGAGACTGCTGATTAAAGTCTATTTCGGACACGTCCAAGCTGCTCTCGTGCTGCTGCTCGATGCTCTCGGTTGGGCGCATTTGTTGCTGCTGCTTCAGCTTCGGAGTCGATACGAGGGTGACGTTGCGATTGGGCCGCAGTATGCCGTTCTTCGTTATCATCGTGTTGCGCTGCTGCGACTGCGTCGTCGGCGATTGCTTTTGATTCGAGCCCTCGGCGTTTAGTCCTGTAAACGGATCGTTTGTAGTACTTTTTTTTTCTTTTCATTGAATCTTTTACGTCAAAATTCTCTTTTCGATATGATCTTACGTTTAACAGACACACTCGTCAAGTCCAATTCCATATCTTTAAACAGAGATGAGATAGAGTATGTCTCGTTGGCTATTATGTCCTCGATGGTGTCCTCGACATTGGTTATTGATCTAGGGATCTTCCTTCTGTCTAAATACAGTCTGAAAAATACTTTAAGGGTATTGTTTTCGAATTTGTCGATCATCGTCTGTTTGTAGGCTGGGCCCAGTACACTTCTTCGGAAGAGTAGCTCGAACTGCAAAATTTAAGATCAATAAAAACGGCGTGTTACGAAAGCTCGCCCTCACTAGCTTGTACTATTTATCAAATGAACTTACGATATTTTTGTATTTTTGTTCTTTCTCACGGAAAACCATACTAGTGTTAAGTTTTAACATTGGATTATATTTTTCGCCCCTCACCACTCTGAACTGTCCTGCGAAACCTACCACTGCTGTAAAATTATTTTGATTAGTTTGATGAAGTATAATTGATGAATGCAAAAAATGAACTTGAAAATATTTCTTACCAGTTTTCGAGTCTGTGCGGAGTGCTGAAAGAAGAAAAATTCATTGCATCATTATGAAATGTTTCAAAAGTCATTATTGCATGGTAAAAAATGGATCAATTCAAATTAATTGAAATATTTGAATCACATAAAATAAAAACCGCTGCCAATTTATTGGCAAAGAGCTTCCTCATAAAAAATAATATTAACAAAAGGCATCGGTTATTAACTTGAAAATTCGTATTTTTAAATTTTGATTCACTGCCTAGTGTCCTAAGTACGTTAGATCACGACCATCAGGACCTACACTACCTACTACATTTCTATTCTATTTAATTATTATTTCTAAAAAACAACTTTTCATTTCGAGTCGTTAATTTTGAAAATATTCGGTGAATTTCTATTTTTTTGGTCTTAAATTAAAGTTTGACTGCTCTGCTTCCATTCTACCGTAAAAAAAATATAAAAATTCCTTCATTTATACATGAAAAATCGAAAAAAAATTTTTTTTCAAAAAAAAAACCATTTTTCATCCCGATACGATGAAGCATAACTCTTTAACTACTCGGTGGATCCTAAAATAAGTTTTTGACGCTTCTTACGACACACAAATCCTTCAAAACGAGCCGAACAACTTCGCGCTGCGTGTCTCCGTTCAAAAGTTACACTGGTTCCAGACCACCAGACGTACATACACACACACACACACACACACACACACACACACACACACACACACACACACACACACACACACACACACACACACACACACACACACACACACACACACACACACACACACACACACACACACACACACACACACACACACACACACACACACACACACACACACACACACACACACACACACACACACACACACACACACACACACACACACACACACACACACACACACACACACACACACACACACACACACACACACACACACACACACACACACACACACACACACACACACACACACACACACACACACACACACACACACACACACACACACACACACACACACACACACACACACATACATACAGACATTTGTTGGTAATTCAATGTAGTTTCCAAATATATAAACCAAATTGTCCTACGAGGTCTGGTTCAAAATCTCGTTTTCGAGCCTATCACAGAGCTTCCTCTATGAGGAAGCAAAACTAAAGAAAAATAAAATTCAAAGTGTACAAATGAAAAACTATTCGAGTTATTTCAAGTGCCATGCAACTGAAGAAACAATGATGTACGTTAAGTAGCCTGTGCGTAGGCGTCAACTAGCTTTTATAAACTTTTTGATATAACATTTATAAATTAAAAATTCTATTTCTTCAAACAATTTGATCAAAAATACAGTCACGAAAATATTGTTCATTCGAATAAATTACATTGAAAAATCATCAAAACGTAAAGTAATGATCGTTACGTGTTCGTGTGATTGTGCAGTGAGACTCTTTGAAACGAGCTTCTTACCTCCCATCCAAAGTGCCAATCCAGCAATTGCAAGAACCGCTATGAGGACCAGCATCGAAATGACGATCAGCATAGCACTGCCGATTTTCCATGACGAGCCGCTTCGGCCCGATTTTGACGAGTGCGGCGGTACTCTGGACCATGCCGAACGCGCAGGCAGGTAGTAATCGCTCTGCAATCAACAAATGAAAATACATTTATAGATGTATGCCACACCGAGGCCGATAAACGAATTTCAACGTTCGTAGGTAAAAAAAATTGTTGGAAACATTCGAGCAAGGTATAAAATCATATCATAAACACAAATGAAAACTCCGTTATATAAAAATATTTGGCACATCGGACGCATAAATGATTACTAAGTTCTTTCTTTCTCTCTTTCTTTTTTTTTATGGGAGGGTACCAGAGCTGTGCCCAGACTCTGGAGCAAATTCACGCGAGGCCTGCATAATACGTTTTAGCTAGCGGTACACCTCGAGCACACACACACATGCAAGGACTCCGAGAGGCGTGTTGTATTATATAGACGTATGTGTTCACGGCGCGCTTGCGGGTGATGTGCTTGAGAATAGATTTTTCGAAGGCGCGCGCAGAACGTATTCCGTGTCGTGTGTGTGTGTGTGTGTGTGTGTGTGTGCCTCCTGCTCCGCAGCTGTATTTGCAGCGCGCCGCGCACGCACCAGCACCGAGATGATGATGGTGATTTTGGAGCGCCAGAGTCTGACCGACTTCGAATGCTTTTGTGTCCGCGTACACGCGGCCACTATTTATCGTAAACGCTGTTCGAGAAGTTTTTTTTTCCCAGCGCGTACTTGCGCAGCGCACCTCAAAAAATTTTACCGTACGCTACGAGTGAATTTTTCACGTTTCGCGTTAAATCTTGCGCGGACCCGAGATGTACGCATCGTAGGCGAATTGCGAGCCACTGTCTCGTGCATTAGAATTAATAGCTTAATTAGAGAGATGCAGCTCTTGCGCTGCCCGCGCATTGGTCGCTACACACCCATCGCATCGAAATGAACACATATGTACAGTCGTAGGTAATTTTTTTCCTGCTAATGAACTGTCAGGATGCATTTATATATGTAGAGGTAGAGCGAGATGATATCGTGTTGGCGCGCGCGCGCGCAAGCTTTAACTGTTTTTTTCTTCATTCTCACAGTCTCGGCACTTGGCGGGAGGAAGTTGTTATAGAAGTATATGTGTAAGCCCTCTGCGCACCGCGTAGCAAGAAATTATCTCGCACTTGTTTATTAAAGCTCCGTAGCTTAACTTGGACAATCTGTACGTTTTATTGATTTCGTTTTTCATTTATGCAAAAAAAATATTTGAAACAAATATCATCAGAATCAGATCATTTTTGATTAGTCAAAGCACGAACAGAGCTTTGAATATTTTTTGTTTACTTCAATAAGATTCTCTTATTTTTTTACTGCTTGCAGTAAAACCCAAATATACTTCGAGAATATTATGGTTTTCAAAATTTCACGTAGTAATTCTGAGTCGAATGTAATGTCGCATGACACACGAGATTCCACGACTTTTTTAAGAGTCTGCACACGCGCAACCTAATACTATCACTTCTAGCAGCCCGATTTCAAGCGTCAATCGTTCTCAGAAGTCGAAAGATCGTTGAAAACGAACCCATGATAGATGTGAATTGACGAACTATGCAAGTCTTAAACTGCAAATAATTTTATTGAATATATTCAATGATATTCAGAATATATTTATAAAAACTTTTTTTTTATCACTATAATAGCTAATAGTCAGTAGAGAACAAACGTTTGAAATCTAAATATCTCTGAGCTGTTACAATTTCTATCGGTTTTGTAGCTTCCTAAGTCCTATTTACGAAAATAAAAGTAATGAAATAAAATTCAATGAGAAGTTTGTGTGAGTGAGCTATGAAAAGAGTTGTCCGAAACAGACAAAGCATTATTAATAAATTATAATAGAGATTAGCAAATATGTATGATGTAAAATAATACGCGGAAAGGATGTAAGATAAAAGTTTGATCGCTTCGAGATCGCTGAACAAAGGCCCACAAAGTAAAAGAGAAAAAAAGTACACATCATTGCCGCTGGTTAAAAAACGAATTGAACCAACTGACATTCGAGAAAAGCTATAAAAATTGAGCGCCGCAACAGCTACTAAACCGGGGTCCCTTGTTGACATTCATGTAACTCAAACTTCGTCAGTTGCCTTGTACACTCATAACTGAGTACTCGCGCGTGTTCAGTGCTTTAGTTTACTCAGTGAATTCTTCTGGCCTTTGTTAGATGACCACGACGAAGCACGGACAAACGCATACTACCCAAAAAGTTAGTGTTTGTTTAGAATTTAACTTATAGTTTTAACTTAAAATTGAAGTGCAAGACACCGATGCACGATAATGAATTTTTTTTTACATTTTTACAAAGACAGTTGAATCTGTTATTGCCGATTGAAAAATCTGTATCAAATTTGTAATTGAGTAAAATTAAGTCATTATTTTATAGTCATTTATTACTTTCATTGTGACACGAATACGCACAGTAACTATGTGTGACAGAAAACCACTTAAGTGGCATTCAAATGTCCACAGAAAAACCTATTAAATACATATGGTTTTATATTGTTCTAAAAGTCGATTTGTCCTATTCTCGCGCATTTTCATTATAATTCATTATAATCCCCATTTAAATTTAAATTTGAAGTTATATTTGAGCATTGCCATCTTCAGTTTTTTGGCATCTTTTTTATATTAAACTAAACTTGCAATACCGTATAAACCCCGGGGTAAAACTTTTTTTTGCAAAAAGAAAAATGCCACTGAAGTAGTTTTCAGTCATTTGAAGATTCACGCTAGAATATAGGCCTGAACTAATCTGATATTAATGCTAATTTTTAACAGTAATAACTTAATTATTATACAAATTTAAAGTTCATGAAATTTTTTAAAATGATATAAAAAGGTTGATTTACTTTTTCAATATAATGGAATTGTTATTCACAGATTTTTGGATAACTACTAAGAAATTTGAATAAAGGATAATTCTTGGTGCAGCCTCAAAATGTTATCGACATTTCAACTTACCAGTTCCATCAGGTACTTTTTCTAAAATCTATTAATATACTTGTATTTTTACGTAGTAATTTTATTGATCTGATCAAATATGTGCAGTGTAAAACAAGAGCCAGAGGAAACCAAGCAAGGTAACGAAGATCATTCAACTTTACAACATTTCCCAAGGAATATCAATGAAAATAAAAATGTAAGTAGATTTGATGTATCGATACTTTCTTTAATTTTAATTGAAACAATTTTGTTACATATAATTACGGACAATTAATAAGTACATTTTGTTTCAATTCAGCAAAATTTTTCAGAAGATGAAATTGAATCAGAATTTGAATGTAAGGATGTAAAACCTAACTTGGATTTTTCATTTTCCATGTCACCAGATTCAAAGTTTAAAAATTATCATCGTGACGTAAAGAAAGAAGTGTTGTCCAAAACTCAAGACGATTGTAAAAAAAAATTGAATGATAGAGGTGTGATAAAATTTATGAATTTTAAATCAGAAAAAATCAATGAAAAAAAAGTAATGCATATGAATGGGATTCAAGCAATAACCAAAAAGTATGAATGTGATATGTGCAAAAAACTATTCAAATTCAAACGTAATGTTAAATTTCATATGAGTGCAGTACATAACTTGTTTAAACCTCTCAAATGTAAAGTATGCCAGAAAGAATGTATATACGAACATGTTATCAAAAAGCATGTGTTCGTACTCATACACAAACTTATTTTACACAAATGTCAAATATGTCAGCAACAATATGTAGATGAATCTACTCTTAGAAAACACATTAATACAGTACACGAGCATACGAAATTAAACGAATGCCTGAAAAATTTGGGAAATGAATATAATCTCAAAAAGCAAACAGATTCAGTACACAAACATATTAAACCGCACATATGCGGCGTATGTAATAAAAAGTTTAAACATAAATTTACTCTCAATAGGCACATCAATGTAGTGCATAAACTTATAAAACAGTACAAATGTGAAACATGTCAGCGAGAATTTGGACGGAGGGATTATCTCAGAAGACACATGAGTGTAGTGCATAAACTTGTAAAACAGTACAAATGTGAAACATGTCAGCGAGAATTCAAATTTGCGAAGACTCTCAAAAATCACATGAACTTAATACATATGAATATGAAACCTTACAAAAGTGAAACGAGTCAGAAAGCATTTGGATCATCTTATTATATCAAAAGACACATCAATGCAGTGCATAAAATTATAAGACAATACAAATGTGAAACATGTTATAAGAAGTTTGCACAAAAATCCGATCTGAAAGTACACATGAATATTGTGCATAAACTTATCCAAACCCACAGATGTGATACAAGACATAAGGAATTTGGAGAAAAATCGAGTCAGAAAGTGCATGTTGATGTAGTACATAAACGCATTAAACAGTACAAATGTGAAACATGTCAGAAGGAATATGGATATAAACAACTTCTAAAACAGCACATCAACGTGGTGCATAAAAATATTAAACAGTACAAATGTGAAACATGTCAGAAAGCATTTGGATACTATCCTAATCTCAAAAGGCACATCAAGGAGGTGCATAAACTTATCTACTGATGTAACAATAGAGTTGTGAAACATGTCAGCAGGAATTTTTATGCCAATATCACCAATGAGGCGTATTACCTTATTATACGAATGAAAAATATGTCAGAAGCAATCCTCTCTTAAAATATCCTCCTCTCTTAAAATAATAATGGACCTGAAAGTGAAGACATTTTATACGGCCTCTGATTGGTCGACTGACTTTTGACTCGAATCGGAATTGAATAAAGTTACATTTACAGTCAAAATATTAACTATTTCAAAGGGCGACTGAAAAGCTGATGCGTGCGAAGTGCGTTTGAAAGTTACTAGTTTAATTTAAAAATGTATCGCAAAAAGTATAACAAAAATAAAGTGAATTTTCTTATTAAATCTCAATATTATCAATTATATCAATAGGAATGCATATGGAAAAGTAATAATTAACAAGAAGCTGTAAGGTAAAAAATGTAAATACTATCAATCAGCTCATTTTTCATGAGGTACCAAACTGTAATTATACTCAGTTTTTATAGCTTGACA